TGTGAATAGTTGTGGTTATGTTACAGTTTATTGATAGTATTGAAAGTGCTTTGAAACACTGCTATACTATTTCCCAGCACTATCCTAGTGGAACCCTGCTGTGTGGCCAGGCTGACAGAAGGGGGCGACGTGTGTATTGACGTTGGCTCAGACCCCAACTGTCTCCTGGGCACTGAGCTGAACAGTGTGCAGCTCTCCATCTTTTCCCATCGCTTCATGAGCATCGCAGGTACTTTTACACCATCTACGCCGGATCAAAGAAATCTACACCATAATAACAGCTGTGTTTTGATTATTTTTCTCAAAGAACAAATGGGCAGGGTGCTCCAAAGAACTTCAATCTCCACAAACATAAAAGAACGCCTGGACTTCTCCTGCGCTGTGTTTGGGCCAGATGGAGGCCTGGTGTCCAACGCTCCCCACATTCCTGTCCACTTGGGGGCCATGCAAGAGACTGTCCAGTATCAAGTCTGTATTTTGAATCTAATTCATAATAACTTTTATATATTTATATAGTGAAAATACTTGTATTGTTATTCATGCAGATTAAAGCTTTGGGTAGTAACCTGAAAGAGGGTGATGTTATTCTGAGTAACCACCCGTGTGCAGGAGGCAGCCATCTCCCAGATCTCACTGTAATTACTCCAGTAAGTATATAATAAATGATCAATACATTAATAATCTTTTGTCTCTTACAGTTGTCTTTCTTTGCAGGTGTTCAGAAAAGGCATAAGTGCGCCTGTTTTCTTTGTGGCCAGCAGAGGGCACCACGCAGACATTGGAGGAATCACTCCAGGATCCATGCCGCCACACTCCACCTCATTGCAGCAAGAGGGCGCTGTATTCATCTCATTTAAACTGGTCACTGCTGGTGTCTTTCAAGAAGAAGGTATAGAATATTATTATAGTGTTGCTATTTGGTGTAGAATCGTACTCATATGGATTCATTTCACATGTCAGTTCTGTTTCTATGTTTTACACTCCCCTAATAAGCTTGACTAAACTTGGCTCAGTTCAACATTTTGGCTGGGCAGTTTTGTTATTTTAATTAATTAATTTGGGCAGGTCATGAGATTTATCTGAAGGATTTTCTGGTAAAATAGTTAAATAAACATTTCATATAAGCCTATAAGTTTTTGAGTATGATGTGAGTTTTAATTTTGCCAAAATGTAAAGCTTGGTTAAAAAATCATGCCACACATGGTATACCATCTTTTGTTTTAAGTTATACTAATTCACAATACTTACTCCTCTAATTTAATTTTTTGTTGATTTTTAGCTGTAACTGAAGCACTCATGGCTCCAGCTCAGTACCCAGGATGCTCTGGGACTCGAAATCTCCATGACAACCTGTCCGATCTGCGGGCTCAGGTGGCGGCCAATCAGAGAGGGAGCCAGTTGGTCGGGGAGCTGATCGACTCTTATGGTCTGGCTGTTGTTCAAGCTTACATGGGATATATTCAGGTAATAACTAGGAATATGTTGTGTGTAAAGGCTGTATTATGCAATATTGAGGAAAAAAAGGATAAATTCGATAAAAATGAATTGATAAATTATTTTACCTTTGGAACTAAAGTAGCAAAATAGGAAAATACTTCTAGCAAAGACTATATTATACGTATTACAATATTATAGTATAAATTAAATGCATCTGCTTGTAAAAACTGCAAATTTCCAATCATTAAGACATATACATTAAAACAAAAGCTTAAAGGTCCTGTATTACCCAATTCACTCTTGTAAGCTTTAAGCCATGTTAGAAGATTGTTACCTCCTCAAAAAATACCTGCAGTTGTATTTGGTTTCATTCACACATGTTTGAGTAACCTTTTATTATTAGTCTGCCTATATCTCCCTCAGTCAAGAGCTCCACTCCACCTTGTGATGTCATGAAGTAGGTTGTTTCAAGTTAACAGAGACTGGATATTCCAGTGCTGAAAAGATCCAAATTATTCTAGTGAAGATGTATGAAGTTTAAAAAGACAGTGGAGTACTTTTCTTATAACCATATCACATGAGGTGGAACTGAGTGGCTTCTGAAGAACAGCCTAAATATGCAGAGTTTGTGTATTAAACAAGTGTGACTGAAACAAAACACAACTCCATGTATGTTTTTGGTGCAGAAACCATATTAAAACATAGATCTGAAAACAGCGTAATATGGGCCCTTTAACATGGTAAGAAGTATGTGTCTGAATGGGACTAGATGCACTTGTACTGTTTGTGTTTCAGAGTAATGCAGAGCTGGCTGTTAGAGACATGCTCCGAGACTTTGCCCAGCGCAGGCGACATGAGACCGGTTCTTTGGAGGTGGAGGCTGAGGATTTCATGGATGATGGGTCACCAATCAGACTACGTGTCCAAATTAATGAAGAAGAGGTACTTAAACTATAAGACAGATATATTAATTATTTATTATTTATTGAGGATTTACGTATTAGTTTTCAGGAAGACTGGCGACAGCGTGACTGCACTAAGTAATGTTGTAACCTATTGCTTTTTCAATTATTTTATATATTCTGTAATTGTTCAGGGCAGTGCTGTGTTTGACTTCAGTGGGACAGGGTCTGAAGTCTGGGGGAACTGCAATGCTCCACGCGCCATTACACTCTCTGCCCTCATCTACTGTCTGCGCTGTATGGTTGGACAGGACATCCCACTTAATCAGGTAAAATTATAAATATAAATTATTCTAAGTGGTGTAGATGTTTATATGGATGCTATAAAGTTCTAACTGTTTGGTCCAGGGATGTCTAGCTCCCATCAAAGTTATTATCCCTCCTGGCTCAATCCTCCAGCCTTCCCAAAATGCAGCTGTAGTAGGTGGAAATGTGCTCACTTCACAAAGAGTTGTTGATGTTATCTTTAAAGCATTTGAAGTTTGTGCTGCCTCGCAGGTAAGACCCCAAAACATGAAACATGATTGGATTATTTTCATTTTAAAAGTATATTATTTGTAGTTAAAGACGCTTTTTAAATTACAGGGTTGTATGAATAACATCTCCTTTGGTAGTGAGAAGGTTGGATACTACGAGACAGTGGCTGGAGGAGCTGGAGCAGGGCCAGGCTGGAACGGGCGGAGCGGAGTGCACAGCCACATGACCAATACTCGCATCACAGACCCGGAAATACTGGAAAAGAGGTGACAAATGTTACCCAAAAGTGCATAACATTTTAAAAAACTGATGGTTTAAATATTCTTTTATTGACTGTTCACGCTGCAGATATCCAGTGATTTTGGAGCAGTTTTCATTACGACCCAACTCAGGGGGTGAAGGAAAGTATTTGGGAGGTGATGGTGTGATCCGGAAACTGCTGTTCAGAGACAAGGTGGTTTTGTCAGTGTTGACTGAAAGACGTGCCTTCCGCCCCTATGGACTCAGCGGTAAATATTTTGATTGACAGTTACAAATTTGCAGTTGGCTAAAAGTTTTATTAAATGTTCAATTCTATGGTCAGGTGGTGAGGAAGGAGCTGCGGGACAAAACCTCCTTCAGAGACAAGATGGTCGACTTCTCAACCTGGGAGCCAAGACTAGTGTTACTCTTGAACCAGGGGTATGTTTTCTTATTTATTTCTTATTCAAGCATTCAATTCTGAAAAAAATCACTACACATTATCACTGTATGGCATTCTTTGTGTTCTTACAGGACATGTTTTGCCTGTACACACCCGGAGGAGGGGGTTATGGAAGAGAGGAGGAAGAGAACGGAAAACCCCAAACTAAACGCCGACGCTTGAATGAAACATTCCCAGAGAGAGGCAGTGTCTTTGAATACCGAATGGCACAAGAGGGAGTGTGAGCAGGCAGGGTAAGCTAACTAGTAAGAAACAAGAGGAAGAGATGAGTAAAGCATTATAAAAGCCATGAAATATAAGGTCAGTTTTCAACTTAATACTGTGACAAACCTAATGCACACTATAGAAATTACATACCATACTTATGGTGTTATTTTTCATACGGTTACAAGATTGCTAGATTCATATAAAATGTACTCAAATACTTTGTATCATGTTAATAAAATCTAACCAAAGCCAAATATATGTCTATTAAATATTTGAAATAGAAAAGTTTATATTTATACTAACAGCTATAACAGCTAGTGCTTTTCCTTTTTAATAAATGTTTTTAATTAATAAATAATAAGCAGTAATTATTAGCTGTAGTATTCCAAAGTTATATAAGTCTAGTGAAATTATTTATTGACTCTAAAGTGAAAGAAGACTCTCAACTAACTGTATTGTCTCTATGTGTTACAGAGTAAACTGTACAAAGTAAAATAGGGACTTGCCCACAGTGTGAGTCAACATTGAAATTCATTAGAAAGAGTTGGAGTTTGTTACAGGATAGTTTTGCATGTTTGGGGGAAGTGCCTGCATTATGCGGCGCCCCCTCCTCCCCACAGCTCAAGAACGACCAGAAAGAGGAGGAAGGATGGTGGGGCAGAGCAGGCATGCGTGAGCTCTGATAAAGAGATATGCAATGAAAGCAGCAGGAGACTGACGGTTGCAGATTGTCCATGTAAATCAGATGGGTGTGTTTGTGTGAATCATTTACAAAGGCAAAGAATCAAAGAATTGTTCTGAGGTTTATTTTTCCATAAGTATCCTTAGACATCCTTGACGTAGTGAACAGTCGATGTCCATTGAGTCAATTATAAATTTTTGAAAATTTGTCTGTGTGCGCAACTCAACTGTGCTGAAGAAAGTTTATGCTATTGTAAATTACAATTGTTTCTTTAAATGTGAGAAGTCTAAGACTTCACATACTGTAGAGAGACGCATGCCACCAAATGAATACAGTGTAAAAGTAAAGTTACTCTTGTTCATATATAGTTCCTTTTTATCTATATTGATCCATGACATCAAAAGTTGCAAATGTAGTCATCTGGACAATGTTTTGCAACAGAGAAATAATTGAAGAATTATTAATGTTGATTAATTATAATCAATATATTATAACATAATCAAAATGATTTTGACACAGACCATTCTAAAAATAAACAGCATTTATTACATACCCTGTAAAATATTTTTAAAACATCTGAGCTAGCAGACAAAGCTTTTTGAACACCATATAAAATGGGCAAAAAATAACATTACATTCACCTGCTGAGGTTGAGCCATGATATCCCTATTGACATCAAAACAGTGCAAATAGATCAGCAGGAAAAGTTCATTAGAAGGTGAGGTAGTATGTTGTGATTTTTTTTTGCTACATTTGACAGTAAAATAAATATAGAAATATAAAGACTGCCCATTGTGACAGTGGTCTGACATCAATTATACCAGTTATACAAGAGTCACATTTGGCAAACAACATTTAAAAACAGTGCAAGTTAACTGGCAGTGCAAAAAGCCCATGGAAACACATACCTATAGGTTTAGACTGAGGTAGTTTGTGTCTTTGTAATACGATAATACTGAACGCATGTATTTAAAATGTTAAGAGTACTATTTCTGCAGCCTTTCCCTTTATATTACATTCACTGGTCAGTCCATATAACATATTTTCAAGAAGCAGTTAATATTGTGGATATCTGTTAAGTGATGGTCCATTTTGCAGTGTGTAATGGCTGGGTGGTTGATGATGCGAGTTCTGATTGGTTGGCACAAGGACGTCAAACACACTTTTATTTGGAGGCACTGATTGTAGCATATTGTCCAGGTCCATAATAAGAGGAGGTGCTTGAACCCGTCCGTTGGGCAGTATAGGCCAGTATGTGTGGCCCAGAAAGTGTCCTGGTGCAACAGGTGAGCTACCATAACCATAAAGAGGAAGCCCGCCATGAAGAGGCATTAGTGGACTTCCATTAAATCGCATACTGGGTGGGGCAACAGCATTTGGGGGGGCATATTTGGCATAGGACGTGGGCAGCTCCCATGGAGGCGCCACACTGTCTCTTCGGGCTGATTTGTGCACTTGTTTGTAGTCCTCATAACCATCTGATTCAGCCTCATCTGGAGCACGTTTCCCAGAGAGAGACACTCCTCTCCACTCATCATCAGAGGAAGATGATGTGGAGGCAGGGCTGGCAGAGCTGGCTGATGCGCTGCGGGCGGAGGAGGCATAACGGGGGTGAGGAGGGGAGCCCCTTGGTCTCTCCATATCACTCCAACAGTCTTTGGTCACCTGCACCTCTCCTGTTCCACTGGAGGGCCTGAAGCTGTGCAGAAGGGAATCTATGGCAAAAGACGAGTCCAGTTTGGGTCGAAACAAGTCGTCCTGAGGAGGAGACAGGTTTCTGGGGCGCATGGAGGGGAGGGAGGGAAGAGAAGTGACAGGCTCTGCGGGTGGTACCTCTGATTCAATCTTCTGCCCCTGGAGAATATATGGAGCCAGGTCCTGAGCAAAGATGGTCTCATCCTGTCGAGAGACAGCTGTGTTCTGCCTCTTCAGCAGCTCCAGAGGAATCCGGCTCAACTCCACAGCCCAGAAGTTTCCTTTGCCCTGAGGCTTACCAGGGTCCTTAAGGACCTACAAGAAGAGATGAGAAAATGAGATGACAGCTCTGAAAATCTTCACATTGGAAGACCAAAAAAATTATCTTATCAAGACAATCATACAAACCTTGACAAAGCAGTCATATGAAGACAGGTTGTGTCGGACGGAGTCCCTCCAGCCTTTGTAATTTCCTTTAAAGAAGGGAAAAAGAGCGCTGATCTCCTTTAAGATCTAAGAGAAAACAAATACAATTGATTTATTTCCATTAAACATTATAATAAAAGCAGAAAGTGCATTTAATTGAAATTGTCAAGCTGTGTTTCATAGCAATCATTTGTTTATAATGTATACATTAAAACGAAGATAAAACACTAATTGAAGTCATTACGTGTTACTGTATATCTTATCTGCTCTGATGGAGATCCGTGTCTGGTTTCACTACAAACGTTATCAGAACAAACCTGATAATGATGGCATGCAAGTGTCAGAGCGATGTGTCTGTTTAGTGTCACTGTAACTGTACACAGCACAGGGTCATTTGAAACTAAGTAAACCCTGACATTTTTTTTTTTTTTTACACAAATCGGTGCGTAAGACTGCGCTTTGTTCAAATACGGATTCATATTAAAAAGACTATACATTTAAGGTATAAAACGCATTTACCTCGGACAGCGTTAGTTTCTTCTCAGGAGACCTTTGTATGACCATTGCAATCATGGCCAAATAAGAGTACGGAGGCTTGGGATATCTTTGATAGTTCTTCTTCTTGCCTGCGCCTTTAGTGGTCTTTTCTTGTTCATTGCACCACGTGTCCCGTTTGATTGCATCCTGTTTAAAGTCCATATCCTCCGGGCTGGGGTACGTTGAGTCCAGAGGTACCGCGGTGTCCATGAAAGTTGAGGTAAGGTGCTTGGAGCGAGATAGGGGACCCTCCTGCAGCCGCGTTTGACCCGCGTAAGCCGGGTGGGATGAAGACCAATGCTGAGCAGGAGAGGTCCGTGTTACTCCGCTGGAAGGATGCACCATATGGTGCGCGTTTCTTTGGAAGTCAAGTTGATGGTCGTGGGGATCTCCCAGGTGGGACAGAGCGGGTGGTGCCAAGAGGCTGTGCTCCGGCCAGTGCTTTGTCATGTTGATCAGCGGGGCTTGAGCGCAGGAGTACAGCAGTGGAGAAGGGGGGCAGGGGATGGCACTGCGGAGCCGGTCCTTAACTTCTGGTAGACTGTTGGCTCCAGGCTGGCTCTATTTGAAGAGCAAACAATTAACAGTTTCATGTAAATCCTGCTGCGTAATCGAGGGAAGAATGACGCGTTATCTGTGAACAGAAAGACTGATCACCGCGGGGGGTTGGGGAGGGGCTTTGTACAGAGAGTGGGGAAAACAATACGCTTGTAAATACAACTTATTATATGTAGACACAACTAATGCAGAAATATTTAAATACATAAGTACTAATTTGTGCATCAAGAGTTCTATGTACACTAAAATTTTATTTACATACAACGTGCTTGATGGGCCGTTAGTCATAGGATGATCCGTATAAAAAATGCTATATTAAAAATGAAGTTATGACATTTTGCTATTGAAAAATAAAAGTAGGCCTATTGCTTAGTAAAATGTTATTTTAAAACCGTAAGGAAATTGTGTGCGTAATGCTTGGCCTTTGTGACCTAAACCAAGACCTCCACTGGCTCCATTTGAACAGAAGAATGCAATCAACAATTTCTGCATTGCAATATACATAAGGATTCACTAATAAACAATTAAATACACACAATTTCCAAAATAAAAAAAGTAAATTGGCACGTTTAATTTTAACAGCACAAGACAAGATGTCAATACTGTATAAAATGTAAATCTGGAGTACAGTTACTCTATCACTCATTTGTCATAGCCTCTTTATTTAATGTTTATTTTATGCACAGAGAGTGAGAGTAGAGTGCGGCGCAGTTCTGCACCCAGCAGGGATCCCTGACACTGCGCGCCGCTCCATTCACTTCGTAAAGCCTAAAGTTTCGGGAATGCGAGTCTTTTGTCTAACTTAATGTAGTGCTAATGTGCAGAGTCTTGCTTCCCAGCAAGACAGTGAAAACAAGTTGGATTAGAAGAAACCCCATTGGCAAAAATCTGGAGCCCGTTCCTTCCCGAAAACCTACTTTGCATGTGAGGAAATACAAGGCCATTCAAAACCAGCCGTGTGATTTCATGCACTTAAAAGATACTAAGTGTCGAGACAGTTAAACCATTCACACCTCATATTTAGGCAATTGTATTTCTACACGGATGGAAACATGTACAAAGCTTCTATAAAACCAAAATCACTATAACAAAGAATCAACAAGCTGCAATACATGTAATTTAAAGCACCTACACATCACAGAGTTACCGAACCTGACTAATGGACATTGGTCCTATGGGCTAATTAAACATTGCACGCATTGACTGATCTAAAATAATTTTGCAGAAGGCTGTTTGTATTAAGATGTTTGAACTTTCACACTTATTTATTGATGTGTTTTGTTTTGTTTTGTTTTGTTTTTAACTAAAGCATGCCTAATCAAGCCCAAGGAATTTCCACTCATTTTGCTTCTGTTGTCATTATTCTCTTTCGACCCGTTTTACATTTAGTAATTGCTCTTACCCTGTGTTTGGTATAGCTTTTGTTTCGGCGTGTTACCTTCTCTGACAAGCCAACTCACCTGCTTCAATTTGCATGAGTAGCTTTCTTCTCTGGTTGACGGTGTGTGTGCAAACCGTGTCCCCCTCTAGTGGTTTCATCCAAAAGTAAGACGTACAACACATGAAGTGTCACATGAAAGTACTGTAGTAATTGTGGATTGGACCAAGTGTGCTGAGGTTGTCAGACTCTGTACTAGTAAAATATAGTAGCCCAATGAAGGACATAATATTATTAAATTACAGATTAAAATAATACAATTTATAATTACTTTAAATTGTGTTTATATTTAAATATGACACAAAACACAAACAATAACAACCCACCAGATAACTTTATAACTTAACAAAAAATTTAAATAAAATGCCCCCAAACATTCTCAAATAACACCTGTTTACCCTTCCATATATCTCACCCTTTTTAATAGAAATTTGGCAGTTTACACACTCTAACCCCCAGTGGAGATGTGCAAAATGTGAAAACACAATAATGTCATTCCACCCAGGCCTGGAATCAGACTGACTGCTGGGTACAAACTCAAGTTTAAAACGAGTAAACTAGGGGCAAATATTTTAAATGCAAGTGCACCCCTGACCAGGCCTGTCTCCCCCTCTGAGGAGTGTGAGTGTGGCTGCACTGAGTGTATATGCCTACACATGCCTCAAACATGTACAGGCAAACCGGTCAAACATTATGCATGTGATAGCAGCATATTTACATTTTCTAGAAGAGCTCATTTAAATACAAAATGTCAATCCATCTCTTCCTGCCTGCTGGAGAGCTGCCTAATAGGTTTTCCCTGGATTAGTGAGCTATGCATGAGAAGAATGGAGAGCCATATGAATAGGATACTTTCCACAACAAGGCTGTTCACATTGGCCGATTGTGTCTGGACAAATCCTCTCTAAGCTGGCCTGTGATTCACCCACACGTAGATGGAGATTACTTTGAAGAAAAAAGTTTATTAAAGCCATGTTGCCATCGTGTTGATTTTGCAACCAGAGCTATTTTGTTACCAAACTTGGAGATACTGTACTTCAAAGGAAAGAATTATATTACATTATATTTCATTACTTTACATTAGTGACAATTGTACCCACAGAATATAATTAGACATATTAGATGGGTAGGGCAGCATCAGTTAGGGGTGTGACTGTAAAATGCACTGTTACTCACCAGCAAGCTCCACTTTAGGACAGAAATTTGTTGATTTGTTGAATATATGTTTATATTTAAATACTGAAATAGGAAAAGTTTTTATGCCATAAGATAATTATCTCACGGTTTCATCTTGTCTTTCTACGAGCCTGTTTGCCATATTGTGTGGTTTTCTCACATTAGGGGGCAGCTGATCCCAGGGCTCATCATTGTAGGGTTGTTTTGGGATAGGTCTACATACCAGAGAAGTACTCTTTGGATTAATATCAAGGACTGGTTCAGTCACTGAGTGGTTCATAATGACATAAATAGACAAGTTTACATGTTTGTACTTGTGAAGAGAAACACAATAAAGGCTAAAAATAAGAAACCTAACTTAACATATCATCAAATAGTAAAAAATTAAATAGCCACCAACAAGCACTTGTTAATGATTAAAAACAAAATGTATGTGGATAAATGCATTCAACAGGATATTTGACATTTTTATTGCAAACAGTACAAAAGAATGTCATATAAGATTATTATTATTATTATTATTATTATTATTATTATTATTATTATTATTATTATTATTATTATTATTATTATTATTATTATTATTATTATATTATTATTACTACGTTTTTAATTTATGTATTTATTTTATTTGCGTGCACCGGGGGTTTGGCAGACTGGCGTCCTCTAGTGGCCGCTGTGTGAATGTTTCAGCTATAGGCGGTTGTTATGGAGAAGCCCTCGCCTGGGGGACTGGCTCTGGTCTGTGCTCTAGACGCAGCTCGCTTCTGGGACAGCGGCTCATTCAGTTTGACTTCAGGGCAGACGACAAGTTGATCAACAGGTAAGAAAATCTCCTGTCCTGGTATTGAGGGTAAACTAGTCTGATTTTGAACGGGTAACTCCAATGCGCACCAAAAAATGAATGTTCAGTTTTTACTACGGCGGCAACGGAACATGTAAATTACCGGTGCGGCTCTAGTTGCAGCCTGGAGGAGGAAGCTAACCTGGGGCAGCTACGGTCGTGCTAATCGCGTGGATCCACAGGTCTTTCATTGTTTCAAAGTTATTTAAATAACTTAAGTGCTACTTTTTCTACTGTGAGGCGGTAAATAGAAGATTACGCATTGGGGAGGTTGTAGACACGGTGCGTTACCTGTCAAACAAGCCACCTGTCGAGCATGAACCGCTAAGGCTAGGCTGCTACTGCTCAGGTAATCCGTCACGGACCCGCACATGATCCATGACACTTTGAAATGAAATATGTCCGGTCAGTTATGGAAACAGTGGGTTATAAACTATGAAACTATAATTTATTATCAGTCCATTTATGGCTATTAAGGAGTCAAAGTACAAGTCTTATCTGTGTATTCCCACATTTACAGTTGAAGCTCATGTTTTTCTGGGATTATCATAATGACAATATTCAGATATTGTTGTATTTGTCCCTTATAACTGTGTTTAAAGGTGCACTATGTGACTTTTCTTGTAAGGGGTTCACCAAGCTGTGAACAAGTGGGCGACACCACAAGGCCAAATTCCTGGTCAGATCTGTGGAGAGGCAACCATGCCCACTGTAAAATGTCATCAGGATATCTTTTTGCCATAAATGCACCTTCAATTGAATAAATACAAAGTAGATAATTTTAATGCCAAACTGTAGAAGATTCCAGGCAAAGCAAGAAAATCTCTATGGAGAGAAGATTTTGACAAACCTCCCACCAGAAAAATAACATAGTGCACCTTTAAAACATCCTTGTCTATTTTCTAATCAGCCTTTTTTATGGCGTTTCATTTCAGATTATTTACCCAATAATGCAATATAGTTTATCTCCAAACTTCTATAATATCCCTGTTCAGTAGTGTTACCCCAGTAACTTTAATAATAATATTTACTATTGCATATTATAGTTTCAGCCATTGTCAAACACTGACAGTTTCTATATGTGATGGATGGCAAGGCTTTTTTATGTGGTTGAGTATGACTAGGTATGGTGACGTTAAGGGATACTCTTTAGCCTTTAAACCGCATTTGTATGTGCCCTGGTTACATTAGACTTCTACAGCCAAATGCATTTTTTCCTCAAAGAACACTTAAAATCTTACTTGTGGGATCAAAATATTCCACCCATAAGATAAAATAAAATGTATTGTAATGATAAATAATTGTATTGATGATTGTATATTAAAGGTTCTATATTATGCAAAGTTTACTTGGGAGCTTTTTAGCAATACTAGAGTGCTTGTATTTTGTTGCATTCACACATGTTTGAGTAATCTTGCGTTATTGGGCTATTTGCATCCTCAAAGCTCAAAATGCTCATTTCCACCTTGTGATATCTAGTTTTCAAATTAAAATCTACCTTTGATGCTTTTGCTTAGAAAAGGTTGGAAATTCCAAGGCTGAAATTATCCAAATGATTCAAGGTGAATGGAGTTTAAAAACACAATGGAGCACTTCCTGTATAACCCCATGACATCACAAGGTGGAACAGAGTGCGTTCAGTTTGAGAGAAGAACTGTTTCTGAATGAAACAAAACACAACTCCAGGTATGTTTTTCATGAGGAAACAACATTATAACATAGATCAGAAATAGCATAATATGATAGGCCCTTTTTGTGTTGCTTGCTAGACCACATTTGGTTTGTTTTTATAAAGAGTTGAGAAACCTTCAAGTCATTGCTACATGTGTGAAATTCTGCATGAAGGTGTCCACTGCCAAGTACAACATTTGGTCCAGTTCTGTATTTAGGGAGTATGTTTTTTTCTATTTCATTTTTGGACTGTCAAACACACATTGATTTAAAGGTCCTATACTATGCAAAATTAACTCTTGTGAACTTTCAGCCATGTTGTAATGTGCAAAAAGATACCTGGAGTTGTGTTTTGTTTCATTTACATGCTTGGGTAGTCCTGGATTATTAGTCTGTCTTCATCCCAAATGATCAAAATGCTTTGTTCCATCTTGTGAGGTCATGAAGCGGTAGTTTTCAAGTTAGGGTTACCCCTACCCCTAACCTTTTGTTCAGTTTACCTTTTAGGCAATTCCAGGGCTGAAATTATCAGATGTTTTTGATGGGGAAACACCATAAAAAATAAACCATAAAAATCTGAACATAGCATAATTTGTGCTGTTTTAAGGAGTAGACCTGTCATGATAACAAATTATTGAAGAAGGTAATGTAAATGATGAATAATAATTTCAAAATGTCCCTGGTCCAATAAATTTAAAGCACAATTATCCATCAAAATATACATTGCTCTAAAAAAAAAAAAAAAAAAAACTTGATGCAATAGCAGACTACAAAGAAAGAAATTATTATATTATATTATATTACAATATTGACTCAAATCTTTTCATGCAAACAAAAATTCTCCTCACTAGTAATAAAGAAATACACATGATAACTATTGAGCCCTTTCTATCATTTACTGAACAATAAGTCAATAAAGTATTTATCTTCACAGGTTAATTAAGGAAGCTTATCTTAAAGTTTCCTTTCATGCTTTTCTGTGGAATTCTTCAATAAAATCCCATTTACTTGTATCCTTGTTACAATGAGAATCAGATTCTGCTTTACAATGTGTATAGTTTCTTAAGAAGCGTAATATAAAAAATGTTGGTAGTGTTACTTCACTTTTATCTTTATTTCTATTTCCAAACTGTAACATAATCTTCTGCTGGGTAAATATTAGCTTTATCACTCATTCTGAGGATCTAAAGTTTATCCATTTGTGAGACATAGCTCTTCATTTTAATGCATGTTATCGTAAAGCCACATTACTGTGTGTTTGGGATTTGACTTGTGTGAAATTTAATTGGGAAAAAAAAAGTATTTTTGTAACAATGCTCCCTTGTGTGTTTACACCAAAGAGTTGAAAAGTTGTTTGGGAGTGAAATTCATAATCAGGTTACATAATAATTTTTCATTAACATTTGGATCATTGTTTGTCTGAAAGATTAATCGCAAATTGAATCAAAATGGCTGTTTGAATGACTGCTGAACTGGAAAATCACAAAGGTCATTTTATAAGTTCCATAATTTCTTCCATAAACAACAAAATATTATTTGTATTATTCTTAAAACTGCTAACCCTCTAGTTTCGATCTGTACAAGTAAGTTCTGAAATGTGATTCTTGTATTAGTTTGTTAGTTCATATTGCAGACCTTTTGTCAGTTCTTCTGGATATGTTTCAAATGTGTCTTGATTGTGGTAGATGACCCATTGAAGACCAAAAAGTTTACAAAATTTCCCTCCCTTGACACTTTTATTACCACTGTCCACTTTCTTTTTATGGTGCTTCTGTGCATTTCTGGGATTATCTGAGATTATAGGGCAGCACAAATCCTCTCACATGATATGACTTACTAGAGGTGGGCAATATTGATGAAATAAAATTAACAGAAGTACAGAATTTCACATTGTACATTTATACTTTTTATTAGTCAACTACTTTTAAATGGACATTATACTCAATATTCTAATCTTGCAATAATGATATTAAGAATTTTTCATAACATCTCTCACCTTTTATGACTTTACTGCACCCAGCCCTTCTCATTTAAACAATGACCGCCTCTCTTTCTCTGTCTCTCTCTCTCTCTCACTCTCCATCCTCCTCCCTCCCTTTCTTTTTCGGCTCCTCCTCGGTTCAATCAGAGTTACAAGTATTTGCATAGTTCACAGGCAAATCATTGGCAGCAGCTCCACATACCAGAGCCTGGATCACACCGAATGGTCCAGATGAAGTGAGTCAGCAACAACCGTTCATACTGACCCGGACAATATGACAGATAATGGCTTTATGTAATGAGCTATGACGTAAATGGGGAAAAAAAAACTAACACTTTAATGTTCTCCAAAAAGCTTTTTAAATTTTAATGAAATATTGGTTTCTTGTAATTTGATGTCCATAATGGCCTTAATATCAGAAAACAACTGATTTACAAAAACATGCTTTTTCAGATCAGCAGCTCTAGTCATATTACACTTGTCAGCATTTATTCAGCAGGTAGTTAGTGTATAACTTGACAAAAGTTTTGTGATGTATCTTGTATCTTCTATATATTGCCAAGAAATCACAATATATTGCTGTTGAAAGTTTAAAACAGACCAAGTCTCCTACAGTTTCACCTGATGACGATTATTGGTCTAAAATAGAAGTTTAGTCACTGCTTCTGTTTATTTTTCAGACCCTCCCTCTCAATGAATGCATAAAACTGTAAACTGTGTACGGCTCACTGTGGTCTATTCATCGCAGTCGTGGAGTGTACATGAGGAGGTAGCAGCCACTCCTACGAGCTCAAGGGAGCAGTCTATAAACCTGAGAGACTTTCACAAAACCACAAACTTTACTGTAGTTTACTTTAAATTCTAATGAGTGTGCAGTGTATTTGTGGGAGGACAATCAGATCAGAAAGTTATGTTGTGAAGGCATTTTCTTTTGAAGAAATATATATTGTAGTTTATAGTTACTGCAGTAGAAGGTTTTCTTTTAGATGCAGATTATGTGAACTCTGGACCAAACTAACCAGAGAATGAAACTGAAAGAAAAATTATGACCTTGACACATTTTACATTGCAGTTTTTTTTATTTTGTTCATGAATCTTTTAATTACTTTACAAATCATCTGAATCGTTTTAGAAAACTTTACATTACATTTAAAAATTTAGGGCACAACTCAAACACAAGAACGGCATAACCACACACATTTTAGAACAGTTTAGGCTTAAACTACCAAATGTTAGGAAGTGTAAGATGGGGGTTTAGTTGTTTGCAGAAAAAAGCTGTCCAAAGAATTGCAGTCTTTGCGATTTGCCACTTACCAGTGAAATTGCAATTTTAATTTTACTGAGGTGAATCCAGCAGCAACACTAAAAATTTATTTCACAATTTACTTCAGAATAATTAAATTTCTTTTTATATCTGTTGTCATTGATGCCCATTGTGTTCAGAGTATTGTCCTTGGGGCCATGACTCTGTGAGCTGTTTGTTTACCTGTCTGAACTGGAGTAAACACCATCGTGTCTATTCCCCTGATACTGTGCACTAATTGGCTTTACCTGAGATTTGTGGCACTGGTCAACTCTGTAGTCTCTGCGGCTTTGAGATTTCTCAGGCAAAGCGTAGATCCCACATGTGGGAGGATCTGTCTGTCTAATGAAGTGGGAAATCTAAGTGGCATATTTATTGTTATACAGAATCTGGCTTCCCATTAAATGATTTTATGAACATTTCCTTCAGTGTGTGAAGGTTAAAGGTAGCTACTGTCACCCAACTATGACAGGTTTATTGTTATAGTTGGCCAATATAACATGAAGGCTGGCAGTTTGAATCCCAGCTCTCTCTGATGAATACTATTGTTGTGTAATTGGGCAAGACTTTTAGCCTGCCTCCCCTGGTGTCTGAGTAAATGCATATGTATGAGTGGTTACTTGATGTAAAGCATTTTGAGTGCCTTGAAGGTGGAAAAGCACTGTAAAATGTGACAATTTATCATGATCAAAATAATAAAATAAAGCTGTACACTATAATGGCTATCCAGTTAAATATTGTATGCATGTTCTTTTTAAGTACATTTTCCACTCTATTTTGGATCTAAAATACAAAATGACTTGGATCAGGCTGACTTGTTCTCCCATTAACGTTTTTGGAATTATAATTTTAAGAATAGAGCTACTTTGTGGCTTAAGTGCATTCTTGCTCTGTAATGATACAGTATTTAGATTGATAAACCTACTTAACAGAGAGCCTATTAGTCTATGGCGGAAGTGGCAAAGTCTAAGGAAATCCTGACATTGTTGCATTCATCAGGTTGAAAGGTCATGCATCCTAAAAATACAAACTTTATAGTATGTACCTATCCCGAATTAAGTATTGTTATTTGTTATTGTTTGTATGCATGGACAACCTGGCTGTAGTGTGTGGCGTTTTAATGCAGCCACGCTTTTGTGACTCCAGTCTTGTCAGCCTCTTGCTATTTCGGTGAGTGCCTCTAGTTGACCTTCCTCTGCACGCTCGCTGGCCTGGCGCTAAATTATAAATGAGTACCCTGGAAAGAATCGAGTGTGAGGGCCTCTAAAATCACCTGGGAATTTAACGAAAGGTAACAAGACCGATGCTGGTAGCTATGCTGAACTAGATTAACGCAACAGCATACATCTGCAATCTTACTTTTGTGTATTCCTGTCTTTGCTAGCTACTTCCAAGTGTGTGCGGTGCTACATTGTGTCAATCATTAATGAAAAGCTTGGTTGCGTCTCAGATTTCCCTGGAAAAGGAGTGAGAGACGAGGGAGCAGGGGGTAGGAGCACATAGGGTTAAAGATAACAGGAGCAGAGCATCATGTGTGCATTATGCAGTAACATTGCACTTTGAATTTACATATGTCCCTCTCCCATTCTGCTTACAGATGCAGACAGAAGATTAAGGAGATCTAAACAAGACAATGCGCTGAAGTTAAGAAGTTGCAATCACCAGATATTTGAACAATGCATTAAAACTCACCAATGGCTATTTCTAAGTTTTTTGTAGATATTTTCTTCCAGTGAATATGTCAAACATTTAAAAACATGTCTCCTTCATTACCATTACAATGTATTCTCAGTATTGGTGGGTTTTCCTTGGACCATGTGACCCTGAATACACACTAAGAGCGGAGATGGGACCCCGGAGCTGTGGATAATCAGACCTATGCTGCCTCTCTCTGGACTGTGGCCTCATGACCCATGTTTGAAATGGATGGAAGGACTGAGAGCCTGTTTCAAACCACTGTGCCTGTGGTTAACATTGAGCCCTCCTCCAGTATATTTCTATTGGAAAGATAAATGGTTGAAAATGGGACATACACATTACATCACATGAATTATATTTTGGACATTTTTGAAACGTGCATTTCATATTTTTCACATTTGGGAACTACTGAGGACTTTTTGTTTGTCCTGGTTATTGGACTGTAAGGCACATTTCAGAAACTGGACACATTTCAATTCTGACGATAATTTGCCACAAATATAATAACATTTTTTTGTTAATTTATTTGTGGTGACAATGGCGGCAGATCACAGTGAACTGGTGGCAGAGATGGCCACAATTGGGCGTCTCAGTGCCACTGAGCGTCTGAAACATGCGCAGAAGAGGAGGGCACAGCAGCTCAAAGCCTGGGCTCAGATGGAGAAGGAGTCAGTGCGGGGGTCTAGGGCCAAAGCCGATAAGAAAAAGACACGGACCATTAAAGTGACCTTTCCTCACGCAGTCACACTACTGGATGCAGCCGCACGAAACGATGTACAAGAAGGTAAAGTCAATAATAAAAGTGTGGGGAAAATGTATTATATTTAGCTGCTAGTTAAATTCAGTAGGTTGTGTTATAATTTCAGATGGAGGGTAGAGGCCTAGAAAACTCTGTTAACTATTTGTTTGCTATAGTGTTTTTAAGTATTTTTTTAAAATAAATTTCCCAACCTATGAGTCACTTGTTCCACAACCTTGCCACATTAATCTAATGGCTTAAAGTCCTTGGAAGTCTTGAGTTGAATAATGAATCATTTCACATTTGTTTATAATTGCTGACAGAGAAAGTGTTGAACTTTTTTGTTTCATGTGAATAGGCCCAGTAGATTAATTAGATTAGAGTTATTAACCATAAACCAGGTCATCAAGTCTGTAATCAGTCCAAATGCCATCAGAGAGTTCTGACCCATCCTCCAGCTCCAGTATAAACAACACAGATAAAAGAATGTTGTGATGACGTGAACACAACCTATTAGGGGTGAAGGATGTGCCAATATATTTTAATCTGAGCCAGTGACAATCAGACAAATTCAAAGCGATTGCTTAAAGGTGCATTGTGTAACTTTTGTTTGGGGGTCTGTCATCTGCTTGTTTTTATGGATATGTCACTGCTCTGTCTGGAATGTTCCACAGTATGACATTGAACAGATTTGCCTTACATTTATTCAGTTAGAGGTGAGAGAGTTTTATAGCTCAAAAATACCTAGAAAGAGAGACATTTTGACTGTGTGCAATGTTGCCTCTCCACAGACCTGACCTGTAACTTGACCTGGTTTGGTCTCAGTGAAGATAAAGGTTTAATACCATACTGTGAAGCATTCCAGACAAACATAATACAATCTGAATTCTTACCAAGGCTTACCTAAGGAAATCTTAATACATTTTTTTTCATATCATTGCTACCTGTAATACCAGGCATTATGGTAGGTGTTGTAAAATCTCCAGTAAAATGTAGTCCTTACTGATGTGGATCTCATTTAAAAGGAGTGATTCAGGGATAATTTGCTCTGAATAGGTCACATGATTACTATAATAGGCTAGTCTCTTGGTTTTCAATAGCTTTTTGTCCACTGGATCAAGGCTTATCATTAAAGTGAATTGTAAGTCCATTGTGAAGCTAACTCTTGTACACACACAACAATACAGTAGTACTATGCAGAGTACCTGTATATCACTAGTTGTTATAATTTTGTGTTTTTCAATAGTATTTGTAATAATATTGTATTTTTCTTTATAGTAAGGGAGCTGCTTAATAAAGGTGTCAGCCCAGATCTATATAATGAGGATGGACTAACTGCTTTACATCAGGTGAGGCTCTTCTCTGTGTAATGGTGTAATGTGTTTCAATGCGACCCACTTCACTCTGTTTAATCTGCAAATATCAACTGTACTTGAGGGGAGTGCAGTGTTGATGTTTACCAAAGTAATGGGCAGTGGTATCATTTATGTTTCTTTGCTCTAACTGAAAGGAAAGTAATTGGCTGTCTTTACATGCACTCCAAAAATCTGACCATTATCTGATTTCTGGAGTTATCAGATTAAAGAAACTATTACATTACATAAGGGCTGGAAATCACTGGTCCTTCACAATTCTATATGATACACAATACATGCTTTGGTGCTGGAAGGAAATTTACCATTCATTTTTCCCACTGACTTTTTGAAATTTCAAATATTAAAAGTTCAAAAGCTTTACAGAGGCTAATCAGCTATGTGGTAACGCTGTTGTTCTAAGTCCAAAAAGCACATTTAAAATGCATTATTCTACAAAATGCTTTAATAACTTTATGGTTTATAAAGCTTCAAAAACACATTTTAAATAAAGTTATAGGTCTTGTGGTCATTAATTACCACATACCTGATTAGCCCTGAGCAAGCTTTCAAACTTTGAATATAATTTCTTTTCAGAAAGTCTGAGAAATATGAATGAGAAATTTAGTTCCAGGAGGAAGGCGGTCATTGATGAGCTCTGTTATTGGATTATCTAGTTGACAGATTTTTACTAGCCATAAAAATGTACCCACTGTGTAAAATGTCCATTTGTACTTATTAATATTAGTTTGAATCCCTTATGTCTTATGTCAGTGCTGCATAGATGACTTTGTGGAGATAGTGCAGTGCCTGTTGGACGCTGGTGCCTGTGTAAATGCATGTGACAGTGAACTGTGGACGCCGCTGCACGCTGCTGCCACCTGTGGTCACACAGGGCTGGTACAGATCCTCATTCAAGCGTGAGTTTGAGCCTTTTTCCATTGTGTCTTTGACTGTAAGCATTATGCTCTGCTAATGTTACATATTTTATGGTACTTATCAGTATTACATGTACAATAATATGTGTTATCTGTATGTAGTGGAGCAGACCTTCTGGCCGTGAATGCAGATGGGAACATGCCCTATGACCTCTGTGAAGATGAAGCCACACTGGAGCTGCTGGAGATGGCTATGGCTGAGCAGGGTTAGTAAATATAACTATACTTTAGCAACATAGAAATACATTATATAATTAAGGCAGAAATATTATTACTTCTTAATTTCTACACTATTTGTGCAGTTGTGATTGAGCTTTTATCCTACAGGTATTACTCAGGACCGTATTGATGAATGCAGAGGGGCTAAAGAGAAGACCATGTTGGCTGATCTTAAAGGCATGATTAAAAATGGAGCTGATTTAAATGCTCAGGATGATAATGGAACAACACTGGTAAGAGATTGAGAAATGCTCTGTAATATCCACATGTAGCTGATGGTTTAAAAACATCTAATTAAACAATAAATGTTTTCAGCTTCACATAGCAGCTGCCAATGGTTATGTGTCTGTAGCTGAGTTGCTGTTGGAGCAAAAGTCTCCTCTTGAAGCAAAGGATGCTGATGGCTGGACACCGCTACACGCTGCCTCCTGCTGGGGACAAGTCAGTGCTGCACAACAATAAAACACTTCTTTCCACTTTTACACTTGTATAATGTGTGAACTGGTTTTCTAGATCCAAATGGTGGAGCTACTAGTTGCAAATGGGGCTGATTTAAATGCCAAGTCTGCTCTCGATGAAACGCCTTTGGGTAAGTGTCTGGTCAGGTTTGCATAAAAATATTACAGTATGGGCACAGTACTTTTTTTTGGCTCTTATTGCTGTGCTAGTTATTATCTTGAATCATAAAACACAGAAGTAACAGTCATAATGTCATCAAATACAGTTTCTTTGAGCTATAAAATCAGTAGTAAATTAAAGTTTGAAAACTGGCTATAGTCCTATTATAAGGTAACGGATGCAAAATATCCCCGCAAACATGACACATATGTTCTGGTCATGTCCTAAACTAAAACATTTCTGGGCAGGCATTTGCAAATACCTCACAAATGGAAATTGCCTTGACCCCTTCTGTTGATTTTGCTATATTTGGAATATTACCCAACCAATATAATAGACGCGACATGGATATCGTCTCCTTTTCAACTCTTATAGCCAGAAGATGAATCCTAGTAGAATGAAAGTCACCGACTGCTCCAAAAGCCTCACAATGGCTTAGTGACCTCATGTCGTTTCTTGACCTTGAAAAAATTAAATATGACTTGAGAGGCCAACCATCTAAATTTTACACTGTGTGGGTCTCTATAATGAAAAATACAGGAACTCTCAAGTCAATATAAGCCTTCTCAAGAAGGTGTCACCGCAAATTTCCATTTGGGCATATGCCTTCTAGTTTAGGGTGCTTCCACTGATACAAATGGGAAACAGTTGTACAATGGAGATTGTTATATAACCTATGAAAGCAGAGACTTAATCAGTGCATCTTAAACCGGTGCGCCATAGGTTTTGACCATATATCTTCCACACTTCAGGATTTTTTTGTGCTCATGTGTCTCGTTTCTACGCTGTTAGAAGTATTAGTAGTGATTCCTGTAGTAAATGGTAGTGGTTACTATATGGTGCAGCGTTGCAGATATTTTGTTGTCTTGACTACTTCGACTAGAGTATTATGAATATTCCAAGTAATTGTACCTTTAACTCTTGTGGTTGGGCTTTAAGCTGCAGGTGACTCAGAGTATTGTGGCTTTAGTGGTAGTGGCTTGTATCTGCCATTGAGAATTCCCCTATAGAGATACAGTAGGCCAGCTGTATTACCTTACCTAAAATGAAAAAGTTTTGAGCCATTTGTACCATTACCATGGTAGAGCATGGGCATTAGATAAAGTAAATATGCATACCCATTTATCAAAGTTGGCCTACTGCAGAGAAAGTTAAAACTCCAGCTCCAGTTTGCGTGAGTTCAGGCCTGAGTAGAATTTTATTTGGCAGCTGGAATAGACATTGGTTACCATAGCGACGATCTTGGGCTTTTGTTTAAAAAGATTTCTTTTATTTATTTATTTATTTTCTTGCCATGACTTGATACACATCATCTGAGTTTTTCTGCCCTCTGGTGGCCATTTTCCATGCCTACAATCCCTGATCATATATTGATTACTTTGATCAAATGAAAGATTATAGTTATACGGGTCTTTGGCACCTCTTTTGTTCAGCAGCACTGTGATCCAGTGATTAGCGTGGGCGCATAGGAATGGACCAGATGCGGTCCTGCCCTGCCTCCTGCCTTGTTTTTTTTGGCATAATTGTTGTGAAAACTAGCTGCTGGCAGCTTAGAATTCTTGACTCGCCAAACGGCCGCGGGTTTGAGTCCAGGTTGGGCCAGGTGAGACTTGGGGAGTTTGCGTGTTGGACCCGTTGATTTGAGTGCGTTCCTCTGTCACTCTGAAAAATACGCACAAACACTTAAAAGCTGGAGGATCTTGGCTTGAAAAAAATCTGTCAGTAATTATGGCTTTATTAATCCTCGGTTAAAGTTTCCAAAAGCAGACATTTAGCAACAGTTGGAGAAAAAACAGTTTTAGCAGCAGGAAAGAAACTGAGAAGAAATCTGGATCAACTCCATGCATTTGGCTTAGCTTCATATTTCCAGATATTGTTTGGGGTAAAACAAACCTAAGACCTAAAAAAAAATCTAAGAAACTATAGTCACAAACACATAAGTCAAGGCAGAAATGACAATTTATTCAGAATTTTATAACATATTTTAAAAAGGGGTTCATTTGGGCATTTGAATTTGCTGCTTTTTCCTTTGTTGCTGTGGTAAAGTCAATAAAAACAGAAGGAAAAAAAATGAATCCCAGTTACATGAAAAACAACAATAGGCTCAAAGAATACAGACATTTTCTTGGAAAATAGCAAATGGTCACATTTTTATATAGTGCTTTTCCACTTTCAAGGCACTCAAAGCGCTTTACATCGAGGAAACAGCTTTCCTTCGAATCACTCACTGCCACACACCATTATGCCTGCCTCAGGTGCACAACAAGAAGGGGAGATGACACCAGGTTTAACGTACTCATAAAGAAAAAAGAAGATTGTTAAGAAATTGGCTATAGTCTTGCTTAAAGTGCCTATGGCAATTTAAAGTAGTTGTTTCCTTAAAACATTATATTACCACATTACACAAGATTAAGATTTTACAACAAATCATATATAATATAATAATATATTTTGGATAGGTTTAATGACATTTTTTAGAACTAACTTACTTCCTATATTTTTGCACTGTTCTTTACAACTTCCTTTCAAATAATAATCAGAAAACCACAAAAACCTGTCATATGCAGTTTATGTAACTATTTCCTCAAGAATCTCTTACCACTATTACATTATGTAGAAGTCTCTGTCCTAAGTACAACCAAGGTAAATGGAAATGTCTCTTCATGTTACAGATGTGTGTATGGACGAGGAGGTCCGGGCCAAACTCATGGACCTCAAACACAAACATGATGCCATTATGAAGAGCCAGGATCGACAGAAGGGCACTCTGCAGAGGAGGGCCTCCAGCACTGGGAGCAGAGGGTGAGCGCACAGGCGATCAAAAGACATAAAACATTACATATTCATAACTAATAATGCTTTAGTATTCACTGTTTGCCTGTTTATTCCCTGTGCTTATAGAAAAGTAGTGCGTCGCGTGAGTGTGAATGAGCGGTCGAGTCTGTACCGACGTGAGCACCACAAAGAGGCTATGGTGTGGCAGGAGCGTGGGAGACAGTTAGAGCCACAGGACGATGATGAGGACAGACAGACAGACAATGAGCTGCACCTGCAGGCAATGGTAAGAACTGACATAACCCTGTCCAGGGGGTCAGGAGATGGAAAAAATGGAGCTGCAGCAATTTAATGTTTTTTCATGGACAAATGGGAAAAAAACCATCATATCCTGTCTTTTTAAATGGTGAAATGTACACATAATTTTGCCTATAGTAAGATGAAACCCATAAATAGGTTGGTACAATGTTAACAACTTAACTAGGAATAGTTGCATTAATGATATTAAGAAAACAATTGGAACCACTTTCCACTCATTTAGCCAGATCAATACCTGATAAATTATTTCTTGGTCCATCATGTTTACTTTGTTTTGACTAGTTTGTGGCTAATCTCTAAAGAAAATTGTGTATTTGTATCAAATTCTATAAATATTGGGTATTGTGTGTTTCAGATGGCCAGTGGCGCCACATCTCGTTTGGAGGAACTGGAGGCTGCAGACAGAAAGATCATGCCTGCACAAGAGAACGGTGAGACCTCTGTTTCTTTGGCCTCCTCTGTGCCCGGAGAGCTGTGGACTGGGGGAGGACTTATGGACCGCAGTGCCTCTTATCAGCTCAGTGTCCCCCCTGAATCAGAAGCAGGGTCCGCAGATGGCGAAGGGCTGGACAATATCAGCCGAGAGAGGTCGCACCACACGTTAGCGGACCTCAAGCGCCAAAGAGCAGCAGCCAAGCTTGCCAAGTACCCAGCCCCTCAGCCCCCTCTGCCCCCTGCGCAGGAAGAGGAGCCCACAGTGCAACCAGGGGATGTGTCGACTCAACAACCCCAAGAAGAGAGTACAGAGCCAGCCACCATCGAGCAGGTAGCCCCCTCAAGTCCAGTGTACTTTACTCCTGCCAGTGGAGACCCCCCTCTTCTTAAACTACGCGCCCCTGAAGAGGAGCAGTCTAAAACCAAGGAGCCATGCTGTGGACTTATGTAGACTGACAAATGTTATATTTTCAGACTGGACCAGAATGGTCCAAAGTGGCACTGATATTTATGACCACATGCCAAGTTAAGGTGGGATCTATAAACCATTTCACTGAAGCCGTTCACATGCAGTTCAATTCTTTAAAGGTGCACTATGCAACTTTTTGGCTGAGGGTCTGTCACCTGCTTATTTCTATGGATATGTCATGCCCGTCGACATGCCTGGAATGTTCCACAGTATGTAGAGCTCAAAAATATGTACAAAAATAGGCATGTTGACTGGTTGAACTCTCTCCACAGATCTGACCTGTAACTTGTTTGGTTGAAAGGTTTAATGCCATACTGTGAACCATTCCAGACAAAGCAATTACATCTCCATGAAGAAAAACATTTGACGGATTCTCCACCAGAAAAGTTACACAATGCACCTTTTAACTTAAAAAAAAAAGCCATTATGTATTTCAGTAATTTGAAATGAAACTTGTCAGTACATACACATACAATCTTATAAAAATAAAGAACAGAATATTTCTCTCAGAGCCATTATGCAAATTTAAGAATTTTTTGAGATGCACCTGTATTGAATAGAAAATAATATTCTCATTTGCTTATTAGGTTATTAATTTATACATTTCTCAAAATTATTTATTTTCGTGATTGAATTATGTGACTTATCTATATTTAAAAATTACTAAGGTTCTATTTGATAAGCAATAATGTTTGACTATAAATTTACTTTATGATTTTATTTATGTAATGGTCCAAATTCTCTACATTTCATTTTTGCAACATTATATTAGTAAAAAAACATGTGATGAACTGTTTACAAAAAAATAATGGATCTATTTCACAGCCCATGAACATTTCTACTCTTTATAATTTTTGATTTTCAGAGATTTTTACATCACTAAGATAGATACAAGAAGCCCATAGGATACAATATTTAAAGGAAGAGTGTGAACAGGCTTTGTAACTGTTATCATTTAGCTACTTTTATGTTTGCCTGAAGAAACAAATTACATTTATCAAAGGTTAGTGCCTTTTGTGATATTCTGTTTTGCGATTCTTGCACTATGTCCCATATGAGCAGTGGGAAAACACCCTCCACCAGACCTGGACTCTGTATACTCTCTGATGCATTTGATTAATATTTTTACTGAATCCAGATCATGAGAATTATTTAAGATAAAAGCTTTTTTGTTTTGAGTAAAACTGTCTCGTGTTGAATGTCTTCCCCCTTGTGGTATAAGTGTGCAACTGCATTTAAAACAAATCCCAGTGTGATGATCATGACATGTTTGCTCTTGTTCTGTAAAGGTTACACTAGTTTACTTTCATTGAGCGCTTTCTCTGGTGGTGTAGCCTGTGATAGTTTACTTAAGTTTTTCATAGTCCTAAAAGGGAAATCTGTCATGGTCTCACGGTGCTGTAGGACACAATTCACACATTCAGCAAACACAGGACAACAGTCAGCTACACATAAGTAGTGCCATGTCAGAGTGTTATAGCACTTCCGGAGTTAAACGCTGTGTAGATACTGTGACATAAATAACACAATTTTACTTCAGATAATTTTTTAAACCTCAGCCATAATTACCTCTCTCCTGGTACATGCAAGTGTGTATATGTAGTTTATGCTAAAAATAGAAGACTTTGGCTTTATTAGCATTGTGTTTAGCCCCCAAAGTTGGTGTTTGGCAATTAAAATTATATTGTTATATGGTGTAACTGTGACGCATGCCCGGTGCTTATTAATAGGGCACTAGTCTAATGGGACAAACTGTCTTCTGACTCCCTAACGCTGTGACACTCACACGCGGGGGGCTGTCACATGCTCCTGTCTGGATCCTTTTAGTTTGGGGTATCAAATGTCTTTCCAAAGTCCCTCCAAGACCTCTGAGTTGTTTTCCAAGCTCACATTCTGTTCTCCCCTGACAAACTCATGCAAGCGGACCAAACAAAAGATATGCTAATCACCCCTGCATTGAAGGCATGCAGCTTCTTGGAAGTTCCACCCTGTCATTACCAATCTGATTTTGTTTTAAAGATGTACAGCACTTCTGTCGCTGATAGAATAGATTGTCCTTTTGCACCTTGGTTGTGGATGTTGTTACGCGCAAATGCTTGGTGCAAATCCATACGCCTGTCCTTAACGTTCTCCTCCCCCTAATAAGTATTTTAGGGAAGTGTGTAATAACCACGGAAGGCGGCAAAATCAAGTGTGAACATCTGGTAGCCTACGCCATGCCTTTGGTATGGATCATCTTGGCTACACGATGAGAGAACTTCACTTGCCCCCTGTCTTCCGCGCACGTGTAAAGTTTGTTCACCATCTAGACAGCAGCTCGACTGAGCCATGGTGGACAGCAGCAGGCTACAAAGCAAAGCGAGGTCACTACTCTGCCTCTTGCGTAAAGACTTGCGAAAGTTCAACCAATCGACTTTCGGAGCGGATGAAGGCGTGGCGTTGGTGAGAATATGAAGAGGTAGAATATCATGTGTCTGTCAGAGCTCTGTGCAGCTGTGGAGGAAACCAAGGCACGACTCAAAACAGCCCGCTGCAGCTCTGCCTCTCCGCGGGTGAGTAGCCTCTTGATCTGCAGGACCTGTACTTTTTCAATCCTTCTATCCAGCAGCAAAGTTGCATCTCAACTTTTTGGTTCTCTCTCGCTCTCTCTGTTGCACATAGACCCCTCTTCTCTGCAACAAGACAAAGTGAAAGAAGCAAAAATGTCCCAGCAGAACGCGGTAAACGGGGTTTTGCCCAAGGGTAAAGTGTTAACTTTGGAAACGATGAACCCAAACGTGAAGAAGGTGGAATACGCTGTCCGTGGACCGATCGTGCAGAGAGCGGTGCAGCTGGAGAAAGAGCTGAGAGAGGTAAAAACCGAGTGAAAAGTAAATGCATTAGTGTAAGTTAGTTTTGGCACAAAACTTTCGAGACTTAAGAGCTTTGGAGACGCCGTTACGCACCGCAGGAGTATTTAAGCACATTGATAACAAAACCTGTTATGATAAAGATAATAAAGATAAAGCGATAATTGTACTGATTATCTGAGTCAGTCAAGGAGAAAAATATGCATAGACTGACTTCAATGATACAAACAAATGTAGGCTTATATATATATATATATATATATATTTAAAAAAATTACTTTGCCATCCAAATAATGTGGACATGCCAACAACTGAGCGTTGCCATGGTAACACAAGGCATAAAAAATAACATTAACTATAACCACCAAAATGTATGATTATATAAATAGGCCTAGCTTTAACAAAGTTTTTCATGTTACCCTAAACAACACCCATCCATTATGTCACTATATTGAAAGTATTGGTCGCCTATTATACAGAGACCTGTGACACCTGATTCAACATTAGCCAGTCTTTTGAACTTTCACCTCTTCTTAAGCAGAAGAAAAATTCAGAAGATCCTAGGGATTATAGCAACAAAGGAAAGCTACAAGGTTCATTGAGAGTTGCTTTTCCAAAAGTTTTGAATACTGGACTGTACTGTAGCCTATATTTCATACAAACTTACTAAATACTAAGTACTAGCCGAAAGGGTGAGAGGCTTAAGTGGTTAAAATTTACATCAAGTAGGCCTAGTATTGCATAGTTTTGATGAAAATATACCATTCAAAACACCTATAGCTGAGAACCCATGAAAGAAATGAGAAGTTGGAGTTTAGCTATCAAAATGACAGGCTCTATAGACCATGCAGCTTAGTGTCATGACATATTCTTCAAAAGGCATTTAGTGGCGGTATGTAAGCAGGTCAAACTGGGTTGAAAAGTAAATCTCTGGGGCAGAGGAGGGGTTAAAGGACGGATCAGTGTGGTTTGAGAGCGTACGATACATTGTCCAAGCCAGTTTCCGGATATATAGAAGGCCTGGTGTGTGTGGAGTTATTGCGCAAGTAGTGTCTCCACTCTGTGTTTTGTCTCTGTGGGGAGAGGGTTTACTGGAGTACACTGCAATTCGAAAGCCAAGAAAGCGAAGCCACTCCCTGCTTCGTACATTATTAGAAAGCACTGCTCCTGTTAATCACATTAAGTTATGATTGAACTGGGATAATATCAGTGATATTTCCTTTGAATACTTTTCATTTCGGAGTAACTTTTCCACACCATAATTGACAAAACAAGCACTTTGATGTAAAATGCAAGAAAAAAAAACTTGAACTGTTGAATTGCCTTGATTCTTGGCTCAAAGGTATCTTCTCTGCACTGATACATGAAGCTGCAGAGGTTGTCAGCTGGCCCTCTGTTTCCTGTCTCATATACACTACACTTTATGAGCTACTCAGCATTTCCTTGTGTCCGCATTTGAACTGAGCGTGATCCCTTTTTCCTTCTGGCTTCTCCCTATTTGGGTCATCACACATCTTCATTGTAAATATTGATTTTGGAGTCCATTAGACAGTTTTTATGGTTTTATTAATACTTAGTTTGGAGTAGTACCTGTGGTAAATATTTATCATAGTTTGATACCTGTTAAGTGATAGTTTGTCAGTTGAAGAAAAACTCAGAAATACAGGAAGTAGCGCAGAGTTTTAAAATGCAATACGTCTACCTATAACATAAACACATTTACACAGAAGGAAGGTGCTTTGTCTGATTATTTAACACTTCATTTAACAAAATAAGGGTGTTGTCATCTATTTTATTTGTTTAATCAGAAATATTATGCTGTCTGCTTTTGGTTTTGTGTCTTTGTTCCTGGGTTGGGAAAGTGCTATGATGACTATGGCTTAACTAAACTATGCAGCTGTGTGTAAGCCAAGAGTAACACGAGTCCCAACCTCAGCTGATGGAAGAAATGCATTGTCATGGGTTTGCATTCAAGATATTTCAATTTCATCAGAACAAAGATGAGAAATTTTTATCATGAGATTGATTTTATTATGAGTTTTGGTATGATGTAAGACCATGTGACTCAAAGTTTTCGGTAAACCGGTAAAGTAGCATTTCAGTATTCTGCCCCTTAAGCTACAAACTGTTCTGAAACTAAATGCTGCTTCCAATAAGACACTTGAAATCAATACTGAAAGACTTTAAAATAACAGTTTTTAGATAAGTAATTATTGTGATTGTCTAAGCGCATTGATGTTATTATGACTGGACTTTGGTGCTGTCTCCAAGTTAAATACAGGTTGAATAAACTGAAAATCACAGTTTTTTAAAAATAAAACAGGGCATTATCCCACAGAAGTTACATTTGTGTGAAATAAACAAAGTAAAGTTATAATTTTATGCTTTTCTGAATTTGTAAATTGATTTGCCTATGATTCCAAGATGAGTTTCTCTCTGCATCATAAAGACAGGTATGTACTTGCTAATGTTTTATAAGGCAAGTGAGCCAAAAATGTCAGTTACTTATTTACAGTGTGTTGTAGAAGCAGGTTTGTTCGTTTTGGTTTGAACAAGCAAATGAACACAGCCACAAAATTTGCATGTCAAGTCCAAAACCTGAATAAATAGAAATATATAAATGCGATTTTCCAGGAAGACGTAAAACATATGCCAAAAATAACGGACTAAACGCCACGTATTAGGAGGCAGAGTGAATAACTGTAGTATGATTTGATTTGACTGAGTCTCAGTATTTTATGTTAGGAGTTAATTTTGAGGGTGAGTCTGTGCCTGGTGCAGCCCGAGCAGGAGAGCCCTCTGAGCTGCCCTCTTTAGCAGAACAGCAGTCTCTTTGTTGTTTGATAACCAGGCAGGAGCCAAGAATGAAAAGGAAATGGGGAAAACAGGGTCTAATTACTCTAAACCCCCTCATATCTGTGTCAGTGTAAATCCCACAAACCAAACAGGAGTATACTTGAGTGCAGACTGAAAGTACTTGGGAAAATAGTTCAGCTTGTACTTATAAAAAATTGTTGTGCATTTTACTTATTTTGTGTTTTAAAGCTCTTAAAGGCACTGTTTTCTTTTCTTTGGGCCTCCATTCTCCATTACTGGAAGGTAATATTTCACATGAACAGTATTGCTGGGTTTCACATTACATCACAGCATTCTTTAGTCCAGTAATATTTAATACAGATTGTGGTATCTTAAATTCATATTATTAAAATTATGTTTTTTGGGTCTAGTCACTAGAGATAGACTGATATTTCAACTGGCTGATATTTGCCCTTTTTCACATATCAGCTATTGGTCATAAATGTCCAGCAGATGCCGATATTTGGTTTGGCTCGATTAGCAGCCGAAGTATGCATGAATAAAATATAAAAATATATAAATGCATAAAAAATATATGCATAAATCTTTGTTTGAGCACTTAAGTTCAGTGTAAATCGGGTACTGTAAAAATGTGACTACACTGGACTCTACACAGTTTCTAGTAAAAGAAGGTTGTTAATGACTTGTTGATAATTTGGGAAAAAATATCTAAATTGGCTCTATATATCAGCCGAAAAATATCTGCAGGGACTGATTCCTCTGGTTTCTAAATGATCTGCATCACCCATGAAAAAATGCACATTGGTCACTGATCGAACTAGTCACTGATTGAAATGATCAGGCTCAACATTTAGGAATTTTTCTATTGGATATTTCATTTCAAAGTACAACAGTCTGACCCCAGCCCTCGATCTGACATCATCACATTTGTGAATCTGAAACCACCAATATACAGCTATGGCTTTAAGATGCATGAATTTTTAGACTTGGAACAGACCCAAAAATGCATTGCTGGTTAGATGCTGCTATGGCACACAGTAACAGAAGTTAAAATTGTCTCGTGACCTTATTTGATAAACAAGACCATGTGCTGCAAATTACAACAGACCAAAACATGCAGCGGTTAAACAGAAGCTCCCACTTGGACACAGCCTATTTTAACATATTATAAAACAAGAATAAGAAAGACGGTTTTGTGATTGTCCAACCAGTGATACAGGAAGTGAGGCCGGTTACGTTGAGGTCACCTTTTGTCCTGTAGCCTGTCAAAGCACCCATCAAAGAGTGCTAATGAGCGAGGAAGCCTGGTGAAGATTTGTGACGTAAACACATGGACACCTGGTTTAGTCATGATAACCAAAAATAAACAATAAACAATGTGTTGATTTATGGGACTGCAACTAACAGCTGTTTTAGTAATCACTTCAACAATTACTTTTCCAGTGGTCAACTAGTCAAATTATTATTTCTATTTATATATACATATTTCAGTGGTGACTGAAGAAAATCTGAAATGATTTATTCTATTTTTCCATTTTAATTTAATAATGTCACTGTCTTTATTATAATATGGCATGTGTTTTAAGGTCTGTATAGTCCACATAACAATTGCAATGATCAAAATATGCTGAAAATAGTTGCAGCCCTTTTAATTAGTCAATTAAGTTGTTAGTTTGAATATAGAAGCTAAATTGGTGAAATGGACTTGCCTGGCTGGTTCTCTCTGTATATTTAGTATAGGAAGGGCATAGTTCTGGCTGTCAGGATACAAATGCACAGTACTGACAATTCAAATTTTTTCTTCTTTTTAGGGTGCTAAGAAGCCTTTCACAGAAGTCATCAGGGCCAACATTGGAGATGCTCACGCAATGGGTCAGAAGCCAATTACATTCTTGAGACAGGTTTGGTAACTTTTTGGTCAATTGACACAAAAATCATAGTTGTTTGTTGTTTGTTTTTATTTTAAATGATTACCTAAAATAACCAGTCTAAGATCACTCCAGAAAAAAACTGTTGTCTAGTTAACTTGTGTAAATAGGAAATGCTTCCTACATTTCAATGCTAAGGACAAAATTCCCACCGCTGGCTGATTACCCCAAATACAATTGGTTTTACTCAATTTACCTTTCTGTGGTTAGTTTAGCTGCCCCTCAGCATCCATCTCTCACTCCAAATACTCCTCCCTACTGGTCGCTGCACCTCCTCCTGTCCAATCAGCACCCAGTCTGCCCAATTTAAATCCCCACTGTAGGTGCACGAGCACTTGAGTTTATGCTGCATCCCACCTCCTCACCTTTTATCCCCTTCTCTCTTCTCCTCATCCTCTCATTGTCCTTTTCCTTTCACTCTCCTCAGCCTCACCTCTATCAGTGTCCAGGTCCTAGGGGGAAGACACCTCCTAAATGCCATATAATCAGCCACACCCTTCGTTGCACTCTCCTCTACCGGTGTCTGAGAGCCAAAGATGACCCATTCAATAAAACTACTAATACTTAATAGTCTCTCCAGGCTGAATTGGTTTTACTCAGTGTACCTTTCTGTGGTCATAATGTAATGCCTATTTCATTTTGAAGTACAATACAAGATACTGCTAGAGTAAAAATGCTGTTACTTTTGCATTTCCAGGTCCTTGCTCTGTGTGCGTATCCTGACCTCTTGGAAGACAACAAATTCCCAGAAGATGCCAAACAGAGAGCGAGGCGGATTCTCGGGGCGTGTGGGGGCCATAGCATAGGTCAGACAACTCCCCTTAAATCCACCAACTGTGTTTTCTTTTCCACACCATCCCTCTCTACATCACTAGTCTCTGTTGGTCCATTGACTAATAATTACCTCACAGTCCGAGCTCATGTTGTTTGAATCAAAGTACACTGCACCTGTGTCATAGGAGCCTACAGCGCCAGCCCGGGCATCGAGTGCATACGTCAGGATGTATCCCGTTACATCGAGAAGAGAGATGGAGGAATCCCATCAAACCCTGACAACATCTACCTCTCCACCGGGGCCAGTGACGCTATTGTGGTATGAGACACAAGTCAGACTGAAAATGAGCAAGGTTCTATTTAAAGTGCATATGACAGGTGTTCAAGTTCTCTTAAAGGGCCCCTTATGCTGTTTCTGATCTGTGATAATGTGATAATGTTGTTTCCTTACACAAACGTACCTGGAGTTGTTTTGTTTCATTCACACGTTTAACACACAAATCCTGCATATTTAGGCTAAGTTCCTCTCTCAAACAAAAACACTTAGTTCCACCTTTTAATGTTATGTGGTAATACAGGCTCCAGTGTTTTTTAACTCCATACACCTTCATTAGAATCATTTGGATCATTTCAGACCTGGAATTGCCAATCTCTGCAAAACAAAATGTAAAAGGCAGCTGTTAACTTGACCATTTCACTAGTTGACATCACAAGGAGATGGAGCATTTTGACCATTGGTGATGTAGACGGACTAATAAACCAGGATTACTCGAACATGTGTGAATGAAACAACACACTATTCCAGGTATGTTTTTTAACAACATTATAACATGGCATAAAACTCTCAACAATCAACTTTGCATAATATAGGACTTTTACGTATTTCCTGATTTTATATATAATATAATATAATATAATATGTTTTTGCAAAATCTTGAATAGTTATGATATCTTAGACTAACCTGATTTTATTTTTTATCCATTCTTAATTCACACTGAGTTAATATTATACTTGCAATGTTACAACACACCCAAAACTTTGTAACTTTTATATATGACACAAATTGAATTATGAATTGAAGTACCCTTGGTGTTGATATGTGCTCTTTTTAACAAGCTCTCTTTAACAATAAGCACCATCTAACATTTATTCATTTCAATGATCCATTTTGTAGGCTTAAAGTGTATTTTATAGTATATTTAAAAAAATAATAATAATAAATTTCAGCATCATATTGTATTCACAATTTGAAAAAAAAACAAAAACAAAAAAACACATCCTGTGTTTTATCTTATCAAACAAACCAAAGAAAATAAGTAAGAGTACAACTTTATGGCCTGGCCACCAGTACCATATATATCACCAGTTTAACTGCATCCCAATATAATTGCCCTTACTCCAAGGTACAAGTTGCTGGTGAGTTGACGTGTGTACTAACTGGGTGTGACTGGACAAATGTTGCCTCTATGTAATTACTTAACTATGACCTGCTGTACTTTGTCAAACAACACCTGTGTACCGAATAGATTGATACTGCACAATTAACAGTCATTGAAATTTCAATTTGAGTTGGCAAAAATGATTAAAACACAAAGGCTGCTATTATTTAATAAAATATCCTGTTTTTTAATAGAAACATCTTGTACCTGTTTAGACTTCTACAAATAATGTTCTGAAATGCAAGCAGTTCTTCTATTAGTTTTATCAGTTTGTATTTAATTTTTCTCTCAAATCTTAATGTTCCTAGAGTAACAATATGCACTCTAAACAGAATCCTACTTTTAAAACATATATTGGAATCCCCAAATAATACTGAATTATAATAGATTAATTTATTTAGAATTTGTTTCCACTCTCTTTGCAGACCATCCTGAAGTTGTTGATTTGTGGGGAGGGTCGGGGGCGTACTGGGGTGATGATCTCTATCCCTCAGTACCCCCTCTACTCTGCAGCTCTGGCAGACCTGGGTGCAGTGCAGGTCAATTATTACCTGGACGAAGACAAGTGTTGGAGTCTGGACGTGAAGGAACTTAAGAGAGCTGTAAACGAGGCCAGACAGCACTGTAACCCACGTGTCCTTTGCATCATTAATCCTGGCAACCCTACAGGTAGAACAAGGGAGTAATTAAACTATTTAAAAGCTACACGCCTTTTTAGAGTGTTGATTATCTCTGTGTCACAGGTCAGGTGCAGAGTAGAGAGTGCATCGAAGAAGTCATTCGGTTTGCCAAAGAAGAGAACCTCTTCCTCATGGCTGATGAGGTAGTGCACAATTAACCAGCAGCTTCTAACCACACTGGCCTGTTGACGCCAATATAATAATGAACGAAAACTACAACAAACTGGCTCATAAAAGCTGTACTATGTAACTTTTCTGGTGGAGATCTCCATAGAGATTATCCATAATACAGCATTCGACACATCTTTTATTTCTTTCATCACAGGTGTTTTTACCTGGAATAACATGTATTCTTCCTGTGAGCGGAGTCGCCTCTCCACAGGTCTGACATTGGGTTTGGGATCATGGCGTCACCTGCGTGTGTATTGCTTTAGCTCGATTGTTACATAGTATAGCATTACACCTACACAAGCAAAAACACCAGAAAAGTTATAGTGTACCTTTTATAAACTGGTTCTTATTTAACTAACATTATCCATCTCACATAGAAGATGTTTGTTTTAATTGTTATTTTGTGTGTATTTTTGTAGGTATACCAGGACAACGTGTACGCAGACGGTTGCAAATTCCACTCTTTTAAAAAGGTATTATTTGAGATGGGACCTGAATTCTCGAGTACTGTGGAGTTGGCCTCGTTTCATTCCACTTCCAAATGTTACATGGGCGAGTAAGTCTCAAGGACACCACAAAGAAAAGTCTGTTTGATTTCACTTTGAGCTGGAGAAATAACATATTTTTGCATTGAACAGGTGTGGGTTTAGAGGAGGATACATGGAGGTTATTAATATGGACCCTGATGTCAAAGCGCAGCTCACAAAACTAGTGTCAGTCCGGCTGTGCCCCCCAGTCCCAGGACAGGCTCTTTTGGACCTGGTGGTCAACCCTCCACAGCCCGACGAACCCTCGTACAACACTTTTATAAAGGTCAGAGCAACAAAAGCATGTACCTTAACACAGCTACAAGTGATCTGCTCTGATCATGACTTTGACGTAATGTCACAATGAATCATGTGTGTTACATAACTCCAGTAGTAGTTACATTTGAACACATGCCTTGGTGTTGATACCTTATCTGAGTGTAACCAGCACAAGAGGGTCACAGATGACCTCAACAGTCAATGACCTCTTTGGACTCTCCTGATACAAACACTTTTAACACTTGTATTTCTGTTATTGTGCTTCCTAAAAGAACTGCACTCTTACTAAAACATATTTGTGGCACAATGCACTTTCAAATGTTTCCCTTACAGGAGCGCACAGCGGTGTTGGCAGCCCTTGCAGAAAAAGCCAGAATGACTGAAGAAATGTTCAATACTATTCCAGGATTTACGTGTAACCCCGTCCAGGGGGCTATGTACACCTTCCCACGCATTTCACTACCCCAAAAGGCCATTGACAAGGCCAAGGTCAGCAACACAATATTTGCAGATGTCCTCTAAGAACCATCCTTAAAAACTATATACTTACTAAACTGTATACATACCAAATGTGTTTCCTGTAGGAAGAGGGTAAAGTGCCGGACATGTATTACTGTATGAGACTGTTGGAGGAGGAGGGAATCTGCCTTGTGCCTGGGAGCGGCTTTGGACAAAGAGACGGAACATACCACTTCAGGTCTGTGACACAATACATTATGTATCTGAATGAAAAGATGATTTTTAACTGATAAGGATTGCAACGTGTACACAGGATGACTATTCTGCCACCTGCCGAAAAACTCAAGATTGTGCTCGAGAAGATCAAAAACTTTCATATTCGGTTCACCGAAGAATTCTCCTAATCCAGTCCTCAAACCTCACGTCTGCGGTTTCAAAGTCAACAGTTGAGTGCCTTCAAATGACCCTGTGGTGTCCCACTGCCTTCAATCAAAGTATTATGGTTTCCTCAGAAGAAACAAGTAGTAATGACATTTCCTTCAATCATTTGATGCATCAAATGTAAAAGTCACAATATGTACTTTTGAAGGTCATAAACATGTATATCTATAGTAGATAAACTGCTGTCTATACAGCCAAGTGATGGACAAGAAATAAATGAATTTAGATGATTGTAACAAGTGTACAGTAAGACTTACCTTAGAATGTCAGTGTTTTATTAATAATAAGCCAGTACAAATAAAACTTAAGATGGGGAATGTGATGTCATAATTAATCAAGATATTGAGACCAGAAAAATAAGATTTGAGTGCTGGCCTCCAAAGCAGCCACACTATTTTATTAAAAAGACTTCAGTGCATACATGCCTTTATGAACAGAAAGCTGAATCTGTTGGAATGAACATTGAACAGAAACTAAAATGATGACAGTGGTCATCGCAGTAACACCTGTGTTCCCTTCACCTTTTAAAGGCTGTGTGACTCTGCAGAGCACAGTAAGAGTTCATAACTACATGCAGAGATACCTTAAAGTTCATCTTTCACCAGCTTTGTACTGTGCTTTTCTATGAACTTGCTGAGTCCCTCAACAGTCCTGTCTCCACCTTCTAGTTTGACAGGATTCTGCTTGTCATTGCTGGGAGCAAAGTATATTGTTGGGAAACCCTCAACTTTGTAATTTTCATTTGGCACGTCATTAGCTGTGGTGTCCATCTTGGCAATAACCAGGTTCTTCTGTCCCTTGTACTTCTTGCCCAGAGTCAGATAGTCCGGCTCCAGCTTTTTGCAGTGTCCGCACCAGGGAGCATAAAACTCAATGAGGACATCCTTCTGGGGGTCCATTACGATCTCTTCAAATGTCTTCCCCACCACAACTTTCACTGGTCCTTTGTTGCTCTTCGGCACTGGCTGTGATTTAATAATAGGCTTCAGCTTTCCTGTTGACCACAAAACAATTGAATTAAACACTAATTAGATGAGTGTAGCTCAGTTCAAAGTGTCATTTTGACATGTTTGCTGCCACCTAGAGGATTGTTTAATACATTTAAGATCTGCTAACATTTTGTCAAATATTTTCTCCATGAAAGCCTTGGATTCAAATGGCACCTGTGCTTCCCAATCTGGGTTTACCAGGATGCCTGGGAGTACATGTGCGCTTAACAAGGAATACTTGGAATGGTTTTAGATACATTTTTAACCTTTATGGTATTTGGAATAAAATGTTTGTGGTACATTTTATCCTTCAGAATAAGGATTTTGGACATTACTACTACATGAAAGCAAAATAGAAAAGATTAATTGGAGTACCCCTTTGGTGGCAGAGTACAGTGAGAGACAAAGTTTAGGGAGTACTCAAGAGAAAAAGGTTTGGAACCACTAGCTGAGTGTCTTGCCAAGGACACGATGGCAGTGTAATTGGTCTTCATGGAAGTATACAGGGCAATCACTAGCTGTGGTTACATGTGCACTCTAAATCTGACATCAGATGTTTGGAGTTACAAGGTTATTAAAATGACATGTAAACTAAATCAAATTTCTTTCTGATTATGGTCCCTCTGATAACTCACAATAGATTTTGTGGTTTGAATGATATTTACATAATCCTTAAAGGTCTAGAGATCAGATTATAGTATGGATGTGAACATAACCACTGCCATCTTCCCAAATAGAAAAGTATACATACAAGCTATATTTTAGGTATCAGGTTTGAGCACTCACCTTTCTTGAAAGCCATGACAAAGTCCCTCAGCACATCAGAGTCCATTTCCTCTGGCTCCATGGCGTACTTCTTTCCTCCATCACCCAAAATACCAACATTAACTTCCTCTCCACTCTCGCTCAGACCCAGGCTCTTCAGCTCCTCAGCATAGTCTTCCTCATCAGCGATGGCAAACGTGTACTCTGGGAAGTCCTTGGCCACCTCCAACACTTTAGACCTCCAGAACTGTGTGGCTGATAATAAAACCCAAGATTAGTGGACAATATGAAACTTAAACAAATCAGTTTGTTTTGGGAACTTACCCTTTCTGTAGTCAAAGCTGAAGTCTATGCCATAGTAAACAATGACCAGTGGCCTTTTAGTGTAGCGTTTAGCGTCATTGCTGGGTTTCCTGTGCCCTACTAGAGGAAGAATGTGCTTTTTGAAGAAGTCTTGCACCTCTGAAACTGATGTAGAATCCTGTTGGAATAAGTTAAGGGGTGCAGAAATTATATTAGTTATACAAATAAAAAGATAGCAGTTTCATCACTTATTTATTCTTCATTCTAATACCTGCATTGTTAGTGTGTGCTGGGCAGGTTCATACTTTGAGCGAAATTTCTCAGGATGAGCAATGACAATCTGACCAGGAGAAGCTTTAAGCATTTTGGCCACTTCTGAGCTGAAGGTATGTCTAAAAGTGAAGTCCTCCCTCAATGCATTACCTGTTAAGAAAGAGCATGAGATACATCAAACCTATATATTTCTAATTTGAATACAGAACCCCCTGCCCAAATGGTGCAACTTACAGGCCTCATTGTAGATCTCAAATGCTGCATCATCTTCACTGGAGAAAACGCCCACAATCACAGCATCATCTCCATCCTTAATCAGCTCCTGAACCTGCTTTACGGCCTGAACCTGCTTGGATGGAGGACCTGACTGCTCGCTCATGTAGTCAACAATGCCTACAAAAAAGAAATGCAAATTAATAAATACACAAACTAAATTGTTTTAAACGTAACAATTAAAAGGTAAAACTACCATATTTTTCTCTGGGTCCATTGTACTCAAATGCCTTGCCCTTCCTGAAGATCTTAAGCGTGGGATATCCTGTAACATCAAAACGAGATGCCAGCTCGTTTTCCACAGTGGCATCCACTTTGGCAAGGGGAATGGGGGGTGTGCGCTTGCTCAGTTCCTGGGCAGCTTTTTCATATTCAGGAGCCAAGCGCTTACAGTGTCCACACCTGGAATACAATTAAAGCAATATCAGTGCCATTTTGCCTTATAAGAAATCCTAGAGTGTGTATGAAGATGGAGGACGCACCATGGGGCATAAAACTCTACTAGGATGATGTCTGCGTTGTTAACAGTGTCGTCAAAGTTGTCTTTGGTGAGGACCAGTGTTGCCTCAGGTGGAGGTTTCCATCCAGGCTGAGCGACCTCTTTGACACGTTCAACAATAGCTACAACAGAGAAGATTTTTATTATTCACCTGAAGTTGCATTTACGAAGGTAATGGTAATGTGTATTAACTCATCACACCTGTCTCTGTTCTTGGTCCGTCATACTCCACAGGCTCTCCCTTCTTCAGGATCTTGATAGTGGGGTAGCCTGACACCTCAAACCGGCTGGCCAGATCAGTTGCCACAGTGGCATCTACTTTGGCCACAGGAATGGGCGGGTCATTCTCCTTCAACGTCTGTGCAATTTTTTCATACTCAGGAGCAAACTGCTTGCAATGGCCACACCTAGGACAGTCAAATAATGTAATGCAAATATTTAAGTCACAGTTGATTTAATTGATGCAAAGATGTGTTTCAAGAAAGAATAAATTAAACTCACCATGGAGCATAAAACTCCACCAACACAGTGTCCTTATCCTCCATGAACGTGTCAAAGTTGTTGTCATTCAGTACCAGAACTCCATTCTCCTCCTTCACCTCCGTGTCTTCATCTTCTTCATCCTCATCATCACTGTCTTCTTCGGCCTCCCCCTCTGCCACAACATCTAAAGAAAATAATTAAACACTTAGAATCAAACAACCTCTGCCGGTTATATTAGCTAAATAAATACGTTACTACAATTCATATATTTTTTTAAAATTAAATGCAAGTGTGTCCTGAATAATACTGAGCGGAGATGTAGTGTAAACAAGTGAACAAATAGTGTGGAACTTCATTGTTGACATTAGCTCTGCTGCAGCCTGTTAGCCTGCGTGCTAACTACCAGAGGAACTTGGCTAACGTTAGCCATCTCTATAGAAGCGCTTCTAAAAAGCCAAATTAAAAACGAGTCTGGCTTGTGATCGTATTTTGCCTTCATAAATAGTTATTACCCAGGTACAGGATAATAAGAACAAAGCTTACCTTCTTCACACCTGCTGACAGATGCAAAATGTGCAACGCCGAGTAGCACAATCAACAGCAACGCGAGCTTTCTCATTGTCCACTGCAGATGGACGCTAACCTGCTTCTTCACAGTACGAGGCCGAATAACCAGCTAAATGATGAATGTCATCAAATCACAATCCTGTTTACAGACCCGATGCACGGATCAATACTGCTGTGGCTGAACACTTGAGCTTCATACAAACTAATCAGTCTGTAAGGTCGCACGCGCCGCCTGCGTCTGAAACTTCTCTGACTTGCCACGTTTTGATTGGTCCTCACGTGCAGCCTTCGTCCAATCAGAGCCCGCCACTCAAGTCCTGATTTTGAGACGTTGTGGGACACCATTGGACATTAGGACACCACTGGGTCATTCCATTCAACAATGTGTCCTTATCACAACAACCTGTACTGTCCACGTTACAAAATACTTTCACTGAGTAGCACAAGTAGGTCTACTACACTCTAAATGAGAATTAACTGTAAAACCTCAACAGTAAACTCTAAACACATCTATTCTTCACAGCCTGGGGCAAAGCTTTATTTAATTTGACAGCTCCCAGTCACATTGATTTCATTCAGCATCGCGCACACAAGTTTAAAGACACACAGTACTCATCATTTAGATGCATCAACTGAAGTTTTTTCAAAGTTCATCATAAATCAATTGTTCTTTATGAACAAGCACTTCCACAACCACCTCTGCAGATTTGGCCAGGTTTGTGAGCGTAAACTGTCCTTTTAATGTATCCATCTCTCTTTCTTCTGTGTTTTTGTCACATTTAACTTCACCCAGTTGTATTTTATTTGACAGATCAATCACTTCTGAAATCTTGTCTCCTTTTCCTCTGTGTGGAAGAAGATGATTGAGTTCATCTGGTCCAGACCTGGGGATTTGAATGAAATGCAATGTAACACAGGTAAGTTTAGTGTAGCACAGAAATACTAATAATCTGCAGAAAATATGTATATTTTCCTTACTTTTCTAAACAAGATGAGATTAAAGCTTGTTCCATTTCCAAAGCCAAAACATCCTAAAAATATTGTGTTATAAGTGAGTGAAGTTATTCAACTTATACTTACGTACCGATAAAAGGTACAGTTTAATATTATTTTTTTTTTACATCACTCTTATCCACCTAACCCACCCACCCCAACCTAAAAACTAAAACCACTGACCCAAACACCCATCTGCTCAACCAAACACCCACCCAGGTCGTACAAATAGATGTCATATAATACTAGGGCTGCAAATTAATCAGTCAAATCAGAATCACAATTTGGGTTGCCACTGCCGCAACTATCAAGTCACAAAATGCCCTTTCCAAATAGCAAAACACTGAATTGAAAAATCTGGCTGTACCCATAGTTCAGACTTCAAATGTGTTCTGAAATGCATAGGATTCCTGCACCAGTTTATTAGTTCAGGCCTCAGACTTCTCCAGATGCAAACGCTCTTGTGTGCACCCTGACAGAATCCTACTTTTCAAACATACACTGCAATCGCTTTCACAAAAAGCACTTGCAAGATTGTTAGAAGTGTTTCTAAATAGTTTACCCATGCACGAGCCTCATTGCTGTTTTTGTTTACTCGTGTCTTAAATGAATCCTGCCTTGGACAAATGGGACTGTCCTCTCCATAGTCTCCAGTTTGGTCAGACAGAACATCAAGTCTAAACAACAGTTCGTCCAATACACTTTCAAACTGCTCAAAGTAATAGGTCTGAAAAATAGATATAGAACAGATAATACCAGTTAGTGTTTTACATCCAACCATAGACTGCATAAAAAAGTGGACTAAGGTGTGAAGTCATCCACAGCATTCAGCTCCAGTCAAATGGAGCTCACCAAGGCTGGCAGTTATGGGGCAAATTTAGACCCGAATTCCATATTGCGAATATTTATTTATGGCCAAAATAGCGAAATAAAAACACTAGGATCATGTAGAGCGGGTTAGTACAAACATTTTAAGACCAAAATGAAGAGGCTCACTGCAGCAGTTACAGAGAGAGGGGTGACAATTTTTCATTGTAAAGTGAATTTAAACAGGAAGTGCTCACTGCCTTTTTGGAACGCAGCGACTCGCAGGTTAGCTATGTCCAGTAATATATACAGTCTATGCATCCAACACTCTATCAAATACTAGTATATGCTTAGTTAGTTTTTCTCACCTTTCTCTCTATGTTATGATCTAAGTGTGCTGATCGAGTCCATATTGAAAACAGCTTCTTTTTTATGTACTGAACCAAATCAGTTATAGTGAAAATATTCCTCCTTCTTCTCACACTTTTTGCAGATGAAGACACAACATTTATAACCTATAGGGAAAGCATGTTCAATTAAAACAGTGTAAAATGATTAAAGTTTTATACTTATAATTTCAATATGTAAGTTATCTGTAAAACATACCAGGGTAATCCACATTAGTCTAGTTATAGCAAAAACACCATGATTAAATACAAGTCTTTGGATATGGACCAGTCTTCTCATAGAGGACAATGCAGATACAAAGATGAGACCTGCAATCTGTGACAAAGATTTAAAAATATCTTGACAATGGTATGCTAATACTGTGAAATATGTTTAGTATAGTCACCAAAATCCAGTAGAGGCTGCATTTGGAGTTGGTCTGGGGAGTTGTCTTTTTTACCACAGTTACACACCTCAAGGTTAGCAGGAAAAGTAATGTGCCGCGCAGGTTATGTATAGTCTAAAGATATGGAAAAGACATAATCTAGACAGTATAATTATTACCTTAAAAATTCAATTGGAGAACCTGTCCTATACATGGTCAGTGTTGGGAAGTAACTGAATGCATAAATTATAGTTATTATATACTAATACTATACTCACCCATAATATACTAATATACTAATATTTATTTTGAGAATCTGTATTCCAGTACAGTTACTTCATTTGGTGGTACTCAGAATATAGTTAATTTTCTAAAATCAAAGGAATACATTACTGTATTTGATCATGTAATTTAGGCTTTAAACTGCACATAATCGGTGAGAAAATCAGATAAAATTGCTCTTGTGGTGCATACATGTGTGATTTTTCCCTCTCCAGTAAGTGATAGGAAATGCTTTAAAAATAGTGAAAATATAAAGCTGTTATTAATACTGTGGTGCATCTTTACACTACAATTTAGATGCAACTCCAAGTAAAAGTATTCAAAATACAGTACTATGACTGAACCATGTATCAGAATATGTAACAAAATATATTTTAATGCAGGTATTCAGTATTCTGTAACTATATACATTTTCAAACTATTCTTCCCATCTCTGTACATAGTAAATGTTTTAAATGTATTTGACTTTTCAAACAAATACTGTCTTTGCTGTTCAGTCTCTTCTCACCTGATCCCAAGTGGCTAATTGACTCAAATCAATCTGTGTCTTGCTGTTTTGTCTTTGCAGTAACTCTGCAACTTCACTGACCAGAGTGGAGCGATAAATGCAGTAAAGATAATAGATGATGGCTACTATGAATATACCAACCTGCAAAAGAGATACAATATTGTTTTAGTGAGTCTACATGTTATTTTGCATTAATGGTCCTATAAAATCCCATAAAACTGAATCTTGTGACCTTTCAAAATGTTATAATGATGTTACCTAATCAAAAACATTCATTCACACATATTTGAGTCCAGGTATGTTTGTGATGAGGAAACAACATTTTTACATAGATCAGAAAATAGCATAATACAGGCCCTTTAATACAGTAAAAAAAAAAAACACTTTTATGTGTGACTCACTTCTAACCAGTTACACGGGATCTTGCTGTACATGATCAGTCCTTTCTCACAAAGAGACAAAATGTGATGGCACAAACGCAGGAATAAAATCATCAGAAAAAGTAGCTTGACAAACAAAAATACATTACAAATATTAATAGTTTATATTGAAAAAAGGAAAGAAAATAAAACCACACATACCTTACAAGCCAGAACCACATAGTCCCATTTAGAGCCAGTATCAAACACATGTACAGACTGGACAATGGCTGAGGGCAGGAGGAGCCCAAAAGGCATCTGTTTGATGGTGAGAGTGACACTGGTGAACAGGTTTGGAGCTGGACTGTACAGGATAAAATGAGCCTTCAAGACCATCGTACTATTGCCTATCCAGTGTTCTGATTTTATCTGTTTGAGTTTAGATTCAGCAATGGTCCTGAAAAATATTACACTGTAGGAACTGAATGAATGCATTGTAAATATAGTAAAACAAAAATAGTTCTTACTTTGTGTGTCCCAAAGCAGTTTTAGCTTCGTTTGTTGACATTTTTTGATCATCCAAATTATCAGAGCACATATGAATAAGTAATTTCTTATTTTTCAAACTGATCTCATGACAATTTGGTACCAAAGTTGAATTTAAACCCTGGAATCAATTGTACAGACAGGGAAAATAACATATCAATATAAAGTGATTGCCTACGACGATTACTAGTGACATTTCAGATTGAGAAAATATATTGTAGGTTACTTTGTTCACTAATACCTTATGAAGTGTTGCCTCTGTTTTCCAAAGGACAGGCTCTCCGATTAAGATATGAGAGTTTTGAAATGCAGAAAACTACAAAGAGGTAAAGAAACAAATGAAGGCAAGTACAAAGTGATTAGATTTACAACAATAAACAATATTTGTTATTTTATCAACAGCTACCTTAGATGCAGATGATGTACTTTTGTACAGTGTATCAATGAGACTAGTCTGTGCCCACCTCCACCAGTCATCATATGTTTGGACACTCATTAAACTGTCTTGTCCACTGTAAATTAAAAATGTGTAATTTGGACTATATACTGTTTATATATGTATAGCTCTATGTAAACTGTTTAAATACCTCATGAAATGTTTTTGGACAGCTTTGTTGAGATTGTAATAGTCACTGGAAGAGCTCTCATAGGTCACACACACCATCAAAGAAAGCATTGAGCCAAAAACAAACCAATCCCTAAATTAATAGGAAACCACAAATTGCATTTTACACTTTAACAATGTTTCAAGCATTTGCACAAATTCACACTTACCATATTGTTTCTTGAATAAGCCTGTCTCTTTTTCTGTTACGACGAGAGTTTCTGAGCTCTGTAAAAGTTGGGGGTCGAACAAGACGCAAGAACCGTTGTCTTTGTCGAACCTATTAAACAAAATCACATATTAAAGTGGCACTATGTAACTTTTCGGTTGGAGGTCCGTCACCTTCTTGAGTCTATGGAGATGTCATTGCTCTGTTTGGAATGTCCTACAGTATGACATTAAACTGATCTATCTTACATTTATTCAATTACAGGTGATTTTATTGCTCAAAAATACCTGGAAAAACAGGCATTCTGACTCTGCGAGTAAGGTCGCCTCTTCACAGATATGACCTGTAACTTGGCCTGGTTTGGTCTATGGGATGAGTGAAAGATTTAATGCCATACTGTGAAACATTCCAGACAAAGCAATAACATAACATGGAGAAAGGCTTTTGATGGGCCCTGCACCAGTAAAGATGCACAATGCACCTTAAATTCATTACCTTCAGGAGGGTTGGATATCCTGTTGGATGCAAAGTACAGTTTTCAATGGCTTTGAAAATGCTTTTATGCATGTGGTGAGTTGAAAACTTTAATATAAACGTGCTTTTTCTGTGCCACATCAAAACAGTGACCAGTGCCATTGTGAAAACCTATAGTGTAAAAATAATTTTAAAAAACAACTTCATTATATTTTTGTCAAGCTATTTAACTGTTAAAAGTTTCAATTTACCAGTAGTGGATGAATGAAGAAAATACAAAACAAAAGAGAGAAGAAAAGTGATTGTATCCACATCACTGCCTCTCTGTGGGTAAACCTGGCCCCAAAAAGACATACATGGTTGCAACTGTTGTCATAAAAAATACAAAAATCTCTTAAGTTTTATTTTTTTAATTACACAGTTTTTGACTGTACCTTACTCCAAGGATAGCAGAGGAAATCAGGCAGATTAGGCAAAGCAACAGCCATAGGACCCAAGCCACACAGTAAAACCATTGAGGCATTTTTGGATCTTCTTGGCTACTTTCCTTGGTCTTATAAGTTGCATTTTCTTTCTTTTTCTCATCTCTGGACAAACTTGAATCCTGGGTCTCGTCCTTACCATCAATTACAATTACGTCTTCTTTACTTATAGTCACATTATTTTGGATTTCATCTAAAATTGTATCATCTAGACCCCAACTGGAGACTGAGGAAAGATCTGTATCCTACAAAAGTATATTAAACAGTGGCAAGTTAAATTATTATTATGAAGTAAAATTAACATTAAATACGTGGCTAAATCTGACAAACTTGATATTTCTTTCTCCAGGATTCTTGCAGCCACTGTTGTAGGCTGCCCCATGAGAAGTACAGCTCAGAAATAGTGTTCAGTGAAGGAGCATCTGCACGCAAATGACAAAATAATACAACTATTGTTAAAAATAAAAAATTAAATAATCCCTGTAATTTGATTGTTTAGAAGAAGGGAAAAATATACATGCATTTATAACAAAATGTATGAGACTAAATAATAATTTCAGTAAAAAAGTACCCGCAAATAAACATCTGTGATCTATATATCAAATATTAGCTTCTGAAATAAAATAGCTGTTTCATGTTTTTAACACAAATATATTATAAACTTAAAACTTTACCTTCAGTGTCTTCTGTCTTGGTTTCCCCTGTGCTTTTAGTTGCCAGTCTCATAACTTTGACTTGACTGAGCCGAAATATAAACCATAATAAAGTTGCTGTAGGTAGAACTAAAGCAACACTTAATATCCCTGTTGTGACCGCGTCCATTGATATTTCTTTAACGTCCAGCTCAAAATGCATCTGCAAGAGAGAGATAAACCAATTGTGATGTTACAAATGACTGGTTGCACTTTGGTAGTACACAACACAGTAATAGAATTTATAGAGTGAGACCGTCAGTGTAACCTTGGTAATAACATAGTAATTACTCACGGGATCAAGTCATGGCTGTCATTCTAATTTATTTCGTATATGACAAACTATTACCCTTTTCCAGTATGAAAAATATAAATGAAAGGTCCTATATATTACACAAAATTGACTCTTGTGACTTTGAGACCATGTTAATAATGCTGCTACACCCTCAAAAATATACCTGTGACTAACCCTTTATCTGTCTATCTACATCACCAAAGCTCAAAATACTCTTTTCCACCTTGTGATGTCACGAAGCAATAGTTTTCATTAACAGATACATTTTACATTTAGTTCAGTAGAAACAGGCAATTCCAAGGGTTGAATCGATCCAGATGATTCTAGTCAAAGTGTATGAAGTTTAAAAACATAGTTGTGCACTTGCTGTATTACCACATGACATCAAAAGGTGGAAAAAAGTGTTTTTTGTTTGAGAACAGAAGAGTGTTAAATGTGTGACTGAAACAAAACAAAACAAAACAACCCCAGGTATGTTTGTGATGAAGAAACAACATTATAACATAGAGCACAAAATAGTACAATATGGGCCCTTTAAACATGGTTAGTATTTTCTTCAGTGTGTAAACAGGAGTGGCAGTGGGGCAGTGGGTGAAGTCTCTGCCCAGTAGCCAACGGGCAGCTAGGATAGAAACTTGCAAAGACCCGTGTAAATAATGCACTAACCTTGTAATTTCTTTGTGATATGATAACAGTGCTGACACATGTGTAGCCTAGCCACAATAAAATACACATGCACAGTCTTTGGCATTGTGTGAAAGAGATCAGGTTTGGAGAGGTGTAAACAGAAACCCAGATGTGGAAGTCTGCCATGTAGTCCGACACTTTGAGACACAACATCTGGAAGAACACAGGTGCAAAACTATATCAGATTCACCATGATTTAGTCAAAAATAGAAAATATAATAATAACCACTTTATCTAGGCCTTTGTAAATTGGTGGACAGCATTTAGGATTAAGCTGATTAAAAGATTTAAAGGTCCTATATTACGCAAAATTGACTCTTGTGAGCTTTAAGAAATGTTATAATGCTGTTACCTCATCAAAAATATACCCAGAGTTGTGTTTTGTTTCATTCACACATGTCTTTGTTATTAGTCTGTCTCCATCCTCAAAGCTAAAAATGCTCTGTTCCACTTTGTGATGTCATGAAGGGATAGTTTTCAAGTTTTACCTTTTGTTCAGCACAGATTGGCAATTCCAGGGCTGAAGTTATCCAAATGATTCTACTGAAGGTGTATGGAATTTAAAAACACAGTGAAGCACTTCCTGTATTAGGACATGACATCACAAGGTGGAACAGAGTGTCTCTGAATATGCAGCATTTCTGAGTTAAAAGTGGGTGAATAAAACAAAACTCCTCTCCAGGAAACAACATCATAACATGAATAAAAAATTAGAGCAATATGGGCCCTTTAAAATGTGTTGATCACACAGCGGAGAGATTCACTTGTCACGGAAGCTTTAATACATAAAAAGGGCAGGACAATTAATTATATTTAAAAATATCTAATTAAAAAGTCAAAATCTAATCAAGATCTAAATAAATAAATCTAAGGCATAAAATGTATGCATAGTTGCAAATATTAAATAAAATAAACATGGTACTAGTATAATCTCTTGCCTTTCCAAAGCTCATTTTCTGATTGTAAACTCTCAACATTCTCTCCACTTGTCCGTCGCTCCTGTCCACGGCCAACCAGCACTGACAGTCAAAGAGCCACACACGCCCCTTAACCTGATGATCCCTGTTCAACTGAATACCAGACATAAAAAATTACAAGTGGTTGTTTCTGTGTATCAAAAGGTATTATTAATGCAAAAACTTAAACTAAAGTTACCTCAAACACTTCCAAACTTTTGATGTACCATGTTGGAGTTGGTCCCGAGTTGTCGTGCCAGATGTGAATCCCACACACTGATCCCAAGCTCTTAGTTGTACTGTAAAAATAAATGTAAAAGCTACAAAGAAAACCACCAAATATACCTAGTGAAGTAATTATAAATACACAATGACATATATCCCTGGGTTTTATCTTACGGATAAGATATAATATTACGTTTTGAATAGTTGATGGTCAGCAGTCCCAATCTCTCATAATTCAGAAACTCTTGGTTGGCAAAAGGCAGGGTCCAGAGGATCAACAAAATAACTAGTTGTTATAACCTAATAAAAAGTCTATCATTTTAGTTAAAGGTGTATTGTGTAATTTTTCTGGTGGAGGGTCTGTCAAATGCTTTTCTCCATAAAGTGTTATTGCTTTCTCTGGAATGTTTTACAGTATGGTATTGAACCTTTCTATTTTCATAAAGACCAAACCAGACCAGGTTACAGATATGAAGAGAAGCAACCCCACTCAGAGTCAGAACGCCTGTTTTTCTATGTATTTTTGACCTACAAAACCACCTGTAATAGAATATATGTAAGGTAGAGCTCTTTAATGTCACACTGTGGAACATTCCAGGTAGAGCATTGACATTAAAACAAGCAGGTGACGGACCCTTCACCAGAAAAGTTGCACATTGCACCTAAATTTGACTGGAAACATGCTGTACAGCCCAACAACAACAACTCTACATTATTTATAGTCCTACCTGACAATGAAAGTGTCATGAGAGTTCCTCCTAAATAAAGTGCATCCTGGGACTTGAAGTTCCTTTGTCTGAGTAAAGCCATTTTCTCCACAAAGCACAATGTAAACCTAAAAAGTAAAAAAAAAAATCATTTCATAGCAAAAAAAAGCTAATGTAGGCTAAGCTGTACTATATAGGGCCGCTGCAAATAGATACTGTTTATTATTTCTGGGATATTTTCTAATCAAAAACACATGTATAAGTCTCACTGCCCAACATCTTCTCCACTGTTTGTTAGTCCTTGGGTAATTTTCCAACAAAAAACACATGTCCAGTTCACATGTCATGACCTATCTTTATCCATATAAATACAGACAGCTGCAATGACGACATTGTAGAATTCATTATTTTCTAGAAAGATGGCATTTGTTTCGATTACAGTTTTCTTGCTGCTTTTTCTCAGTGGATCAAGGGCCGAGGAGGGAGAGATGAAAAAAGTCCACATGAAGCAAGAAGTAACTAAAGACAACAGTAAAAGTAACATCACAGTCGATGTTTGGGCTGAGCTGAAAGAGCTGAGAGCCATGGTGATCACGCAAAAGGTTGAACTGACAAACAAGATTCAGATGCTCGAGGAAGAAAAAGCAGGTAATGTGAAGTAAGTAAAATAGATGTATGTCTGTAACAGGGTATGGTTATACAAATATTAACTGATAATATTTGTTATTAAAGCGATGGATGCAAGTTTAAGTGCAACTGAATCTGAAGTTCAACAGCTCAAAAGACAGCTTACAGGCTATAAAACTACATTGTATTATATTATTATTATATATATTATAAATGGATGTGTAGAGGTCAGCTAATGTCTATGTTACTATTCAATTGATGCAGAGACTCCAAAGGTGGAGCTTTCAGTTGGTCTAACAAACGATGGAACCATTGGCCCATTTACATCTCAAGTTGTCCAAAAATTTGGTTTAGTAGTGACTAATTTTGGCCAAGCCTACAACCCAGATAAAGGTACACTATGTAGCACTGTGTTAAGGCCAGACACTACTGCTTTTTTCTATCTTTTCAACATATAAGCTTTCACCTGAAAACAACAATATTCCTGTCTGGTACTTATGGCTGATTTTATGAAAAGATTTGTTGATATCTAATTCTAAGTCCAAATTGATGTTTTAATTAAACAAGAGGCAAATTTAAAAAAAAATTTACTTACGCAGTAAGTTCTGTTTTACTCATACTACTATTTTACTCATAATACTGTAAGGTATCCAAAGTGCAGTGTGTGTCTAACCTAAAATTTTTGGCTAATAATATCTGTTGTCAGTTGAAATTGTTCTAAAATGAGCAATTCATCTTTTGCAGATGTCTTCACAGCACCAGTTCGTGGTGTCTACGACTTCAGATACTCAATATTTAGCCTTTTCAGTGATAGAGATACAGGAGCAATCCTCTACCACAATGATCAGCAGGTGGGCTGGGCTAGGGAGTTCAATGCTCGTCAAGCCAACGCTGCAAATGCATTTGTCCTGGAGAAAGAACAAAAATGTGGCTGTTTGCTGCAGTTGTTCCAATCAGTAGGAGCAAATAGAGGGTGCTCTTGGAAAAAAGGATCAAGACTCAAGACACAACGGATTCCAGGCACTCCAAAACAGTAGAAAAAGTTAACACATCGCATGAGGAAAAATATAATTAAAAGGCCTTTATTTGAATGGCCAAAGCCAACATGTTTCGACCTCAACTGGTCTTCATTTGTCCTGGAGATTGGAAAAGGGGGATGCTGTGTTTTTGATGCTACCTGGAGGTTATACTGTATTTGATAATGGAAGCAACCGTACAACCTTCAGTGGATTTCTTATTTTCCCTCTTTGATTCCAACAGTTACATAGTACCTGAAAATACTGCCAATTATTTATACAATTACCATTCCTTTTGAGAAAATTGGCCAAAAATTTAAGAATAAAAATCCACAATGCTTAATCTTTTATATTTTTGTGGGCTAAAATAATATTAAACATTAAACTTCATAAAATACTATTATAAATTCTAAATTAACTGAAAAAATAGTGTGTTCATTTTTACTTGATAAAACACCAGTTGCCTGACACAAAAACAGGGATGGGACAAACATGTGTGGAATAAATTAACCAAACAAACTGGCAACTCAAAAACCTAGAACTGATATATTATTAATAAACAAATATATTATGGTGATTTAAAATTAGATCTAACAGTGGTATAAACTTCAATGCATTATAGGAACGATAGCACTGCCAATAAACAAGTATGATCAGCACAGAGGATTCAGATGGGAAAAAATCAGGGAACAAATGGATACAGACTAAGGGACTCACTCACCAGAGATATGAGTATGGGTATCACAACTGAAGAGACTTTGTCAGAGTATCTAAGATTTTGGATTATTGTTGTGCACTGGATGTACACAGTATCAAAACTAGAAGAAATCCTGAGCCTTTTACCAGATTTAAAAAGCTCCAGACTGACAGTAGAAGTACATTTCTGCATCTATACATTAATTAAGCTATATTTTTTCTTTATTTGGATTTATTTGAATGATTCAACCATTGTATCATAACAATTCATATACTAAGTTTGTGTATTGTCCATTAGCATTAAATAGTCTACGAGGCAGAGAGAAAGTAGTAGAGAGAGAAACAATCCCAAATACTTTTTGCTAAACACTGTTAATATGTTAAATATTAACTGACATCCTAGAAATGTGGATTATATAAAATAAAATCACCAACTAAAGTTAAATAATTGTTTTTGTGTGCTTATTACATTTACATGAATGATTTAGGTGCTTTGTAGCTGCAACATCTGCACATTAGTCAGAGCGCATTGTATTTTTGCAATTTTATCAATTTCATATATTTTAAACTGTCAGTATCAGTACACATTAAATGTAAAGGGATTTATTATAAAGTATATTTTTCACACACATCACCAGGAACTTTTTTGAGGTTAAAAGAAGGTGAAAAATAAACCAGATGTCCAAATGTTGCAAAGTGAAGATTGTCTGCAATTTCCTTAATGACCAAAAAAAATTCCAAAACACTCAGTGCCATTCATTAGTGCAAATTCACCACTGCCAACATGGCATCCCTGTCAGATTTTGCCATGTTGGTGCAGCAGCTCTTTACAGGGCCAAAACATGAAAACACTGAACCCCTTTACAAACCTTTGCGCTCATCTCTGGTGCAGAGCAGAGGCCGGTGTAGATGGTGACAGCGTAAATGTGCGGCTCACACAGTAAATTATCAGACAAGTAGTGCACTCTTCTCTCCCCAGAGACCACGCCAGCGTTTGAACTCAAAACCAGTGCGCTAATGAACAAAGACATGCCCAACAACAGCGTAATGACCACTGTCCAGTTATAGGGCACACTGATAAAAGATAGAAAGAGAAATAAATACATTAATATAAAACAGTTTGCATGTTGGTGTTTGTAAATTAAGGTTGTAAATAACATTAATTTACCTAAAAAATGCTCCTGTCTCTCCTGTGTCAAGGTTGGTTGGTATCTGCTCTTGTACAACTGTCACTGGATGCAAGTGATGACAGCTAAAGACACATACATTTTTAATTATCCTGTTACATCCCAAAGTCGATAATTTAGTGGCAGAATTTCAGTTAATCCCTTTTATTGTAACTAAAATTGTGAAATAAACAACAAAATATGTATCCTCCTGTAAAATGCAGTAATATTAAAAACTAAAGCTAATCACTTTTAACCTATAAATACTTTTTCAAATGATCCCAGTTTAGTCTCGATGTAGACTTGATTTGGTCCTGTTCTAATCCTAGTTCTAGTTTTTTGGTATTTGTGTAAGTATAAACACACCCTTAGATAAGATAAACTATTTTGGTATGTTATAATATGATCTTGTCAGGCTGGTACAGTGCGTTTTTACTTAAAATCTAATTTACTTCACTTCACAAAAATATATCTCAAAATAGTAGCACTATGGTGTTACCTGCAGTTAACAGCGAAGGACGTGTCATTAGTCTGTGTTTTACAGTTGTCTGTTGTCCACGCCCCTTTCTGAGCATCCCAGGACACACACTGGCTCCTGTCCACTCTCACTCTGTAACTGACCTTTGTATTCCTCCATCTGTGAGGCCTCTCAAAATCAGCATTCAGGAGGGCAAGGTATCCAATGCCACCAGCTTAACACGGTAAATATTGTTGAGATCATGTCAAATAAAGGTTGATTAAAAAAATTATTCTCACCATTGAGGTAGGATGAAGGCAGTGTCATGCGAATTACACTTCTTTCCCAGTGGTGCGTCGAGTGCAAATGGTATTCACTTGGCGTCGGCTTGGCAAACATCCTTTCAAATCAAATATTTTGAAATTAAACAATGGTTGAGTAATTTTTGCTTTTTTCTTGCAGTTTTGGTATAGTAGTATAGCACCACCTTTCTGTATATCAGTAATTATCACTTTTGACTGAATATATAACAATTCCAGTCTCACTAAATTATATACCCACGTACACTAAATCTAGTATCGAAAATAGATAACGTATCATTTGAAATATTAATACTGAGAAAAATCAAGGACAAAATTGGACTTTTCCTGGATATTTTTAAAAATGTTTTTGGTCTATATCTAAAATATTCTGTGTTAAAAATTACATTCCATTGTTTAAAATTTATCATGTGGTATCAAAATCAGTATTGAGTATTTTCCTTTCTATCAAAAAATAATTTTAGTATTTTTACAACACCAGTTACAAAATAGGCCAGTGCTAAATAAGAATCATTAAAGCTTAACCATTTTGAGTTTCTGTGTGTTTATTAATTTTTATAGTGAAACTATTGTATTTACCTAAAAAGTAGCACAACTGGAAACACCCTGGTGGCTGGTGGAATGAACTGAACACAAAGCTGGATAGCATGCTGCAAGTGCTCATGGGAAATATTAAAGCTGTGGTAGTTTATCTCGTTGTGTTGGAGAATGTATTCAGCCATGGCAGTTTGCTGAAAAAAAATTATATTATGTAACTTTTTATGATTTTAATAGTTCTATTTTTTTCATTTTTCATAAGAGACATACTTTTTCTGGTGGTTGTGCTTCTACTTGAAAAGGCTCAGCAAAGAAATTAATTGGGATTTTCCTTCTTGTTTTACATCTGAACAAACTTAGTTCAACCACTGGTCCTCTCAGCTAAAAAAAAATATTGCAGCAATGAATATAAATAATTTTAACTTTGAACTATGTCAGAAATGTAAGTAATAGGGATGTAACGATATCCAAATCTCTCAGTACGATATTATTACGATATGCATCTCACGGTACGATACTTATTGTGATATTTTAGAGAGGCTGATATAATTGTAGATAGGACGCTTTTTTGCTTTTAAAATACCCTGAAGATTTTGGTGTGCATTATTACTGTCATAATCCCAAGAATTCAAGTAAAAACATATAACTTCATGTTGTCTGTGCTGAACTGAATCATGGGATATGTAGTTCCCGAAGTTTATTAGCTAGTACTACTATAAAACAATGCATTTAAGCAAAGAAACTTGAAATTCAATATACTGTAACACTCCACGGTATTATTGTGAGATTTTTGATGATATATCACAATATTTCAGTTATTGTTACATCCCTATTAAGTAACAGACTAAGCCATGCAAAAACAACCACTTTTTACTATGCAGTTATAATCACACATGCCTCACACATTCAAGTTAAAGGTGCATCGTTCATCTTTTCTGGTGGAGAGCCCGTCACCTGCTTGTTTTACGGAGATGCTATTTCTTTGCCTGGAATGTTCCATGGCATGACATTAAACACATCTATCTCGCATTTATTAATTTCACTTCGTAGAAACCGTCTGACCTCACAGTGTTCACAGTGTGAACTCGTTCGCTCAACAGTAGACAGGTACTTTTATCATTTAACCAATCACTGCTATTTGGTAGTCACATACGTAATGCGTTGCTAACGGGGCTAACTGGTATATTAAGCTTTTCCCAAATCCTGTAGGAAGAACAGCAATAACGTCTTTCCCCTTGATGAAATTCACCAAACATTCTCTTTATTCCGGCTTTATATCCTCGATCTCGGGAATCGTTGACAACACTGAATATATGCCTCTTCGCTGATTGGCTGGTGCCCAAACTTGCACTTCCGGGGTTTTTGCGAACCGTCTAGTCTATTTTGATTCCTGACCTAGTCACTGAAGACAAATGAAATTGAGTGTAGGCACTAGGTGGCGCCAGCCTCGCTAACCGATAACATCTGCATGAAGACAAACAGGTGGCAGACCCTCCACTAGAAAGGTTACGCAGTGCACCTCTGTTCTTACCTTTCCAGGATAGTTAGCCCAAAAATAAGGGTTTTGGTTGAGTTCGGTCACTACACTGATCACACATGTGTCAAGATGATGGACAAAAGATTGGGGCAGGTAAAAAACACTAAAACCACTACTAACTGTAGTCCTTTGAATTTGGTATGTGGAGTATACAGACACAGAGCCCGCACTCAATTTGAACTCTTCCATTTGGTGTAGCAAGACAAATCTCTGAAAAAAAGCAAATTATATTACGACTGATATAATGACAAGGTATTTAAAATAGTTTAGTTTAAGTAGTAATAGTATTTCTCACCAGTGTTATTAATGAGACTGCTCGTAGAATACTGTCTACAAGATGCTTTGCCAAACTGAGTCCATTCAGTGAACCAGTGGTGTGTGTTAAGCAACTGTATATTGTAGATATTGCATTATTGCCTGCTAAATTGTAAAGGGATAGCTCAAATTCTGTTGCAATGTTAGTAATATCCTTTTGATAGTCATAGCCAGTAACAGTATTCAGGTTGTGTGCATGTAAAGAGATCATATTGTTCAAAGTCTTCAGGTCCACAAACTGTTTATTTGTGATTAAGTGCATGAGGCTCGTAACTTTACTTATAGTTGCTAATGACACCTAAAAACAGTCAATCAGAATTCTTTAAATAAAAAAAAAAACATTTAAAAACATATGAAATCTTTAAAAGTTGCAATGTACTTACTTGGTATGTTTTTTGCAAAAGGTTCTTCAGTATATGAATGGTACCTAGCACGGAAAACTAAAATAGGACATGTGATGTAATCGTTATATACCACAATAGCTTAGCACAGGATATCAGTATTTAGTAATAAAATAATACCTGATCAATAGCTTCGATGTCACACACAATGCAAACAAGTGCGTTACGTAAAAACACCAGGGACTGCATGTTGACCCCAGGCTCCATGCTCAGTCTGTTCAAGATATCTGTGACTATTCGGATATAGTTTAGGGTCTCTCTGCTGTTTCCAAGACGACTGGAGAGGTTTCGTAATGCTATTTGTGAACTATGGAGAGAAAAGAATGGAAAAATACAAACTGCAACAATTTAAGATTAAGATTTACAACAACAAAAGTCAGAGGTGGGGACTTGTGAGTCGTGACTTGGACTCGAGTCAGACTTGAGTCGCTCTTGTTAGGACTTGAGACTTGACTCGATAAAATGGACTTGATAAAAAAGACTTGGGACTTGACTTGGACTTGAAGGTCAGTGACTTGGGACTTGACTCAGATGTGAGGCCTGTGATGTGAGAAAACCTGAGAAGCACTTTGAAATCTGAATTCTTTCTATTCTGACAGTAATGATTCACACCAAGATCTTGTCAAGACATTAAAAATCACTAAATTAATTTCTACAACTCTTACACTCTTCTACAATACTATGATTTTTTAAGTACAATTTATCTTAAAAGTCATGTAAATTGCAAAAATCTAGTACTTTGGTTTAAAGACTTGAAATTACTTGAAGCTCAAAGCAGACAACTTGGACTTGGATTTAGGGGCCAGTGATTCGAGACTTGACTTGGACTTGAGGTTAAAGACTTGAGACTTACTTGAGACTTGCAAAACAAAGACTTGGTCCCACCGCTGACGCAAGTAGCACTCTACATAGGTTTATGTTTCGTGCCTCATTTTCTTAACTATTTATGCACTTTTCCTGTATGCTCTGTTTCAAGTTGTAAATTCTGCACTGATTTAAAAAAAATTTTGAATAGATTTTTTCCCAATGTTATGTTTAATGTTTTCTTACAGCTCCAATACTGGATCACCGGCTGAGTAGGTGTCTCTTGTAAACTGTGGCTGGACTGTGACAGAGACGGGACAGGGGCCGGTGGTGCCTCCATCAATGCTGCTCCTGATCTCTATAGAAACGGTAACTATGGAAACACAAAACACATAACATTTAAGTCTGTGCATTTAAACTCACCTGTATGAAAGTGTTACCTTTATAATCATTGTTTGGATCTCCAACGGGAAGACTGAAATAGTGCTCGAAGTCTGTGCCTTGATATAAAGTTTGTGGAGGTTTGTTTCCAACACTGTAGCTGTATTTGTAAAATAAGTCCTATAGAACACACACATGCAATAGTAACACTCAAAATGCTTTACAAAGATGTGGCAACAGGAAGGAAAAAACAGGAAGGAATGAAACAAAAAATGGACAGTAGGAAAGTTCATGCAGCATAAGTTTAACAATATTAATTTTTTGGTTAGGGATGCACCGATATGATACTGGTATGTGACGCTGATATTGAAACATTTGATGGATCAGATATCGGCCCCATGATAACGCTTCAAATGATGTCTCATTTTGGTTAATAAATTGGTGTAATAAGACAATTTACTGGCCAATGTCCATCGCAAACACCTCGTAACATTGAATTTGTATTTTTTCAAAACTGTTCTATAGTTATTTGAATGATAAATAACATACAAAATACATTTGGATCATATTTTACCATACACTGTTTTTTGTTTAAAGGACATAAATGCTGTTTTCAATCTCTGTCTTGTATCAGTTGATCAACAGATACTTAAAGCCAGTTTCGACATCGGTTTTGGAACAGAAAAAGAATTGGTGCATTCCTGCTTTTGGTTACTCTGTGCACATAAGACGGTAAAAACAGAAGTACCTCTTTCCCTGATGAACAGAAAATGCTGAAGACAGTGAGTAGCTCCACTCCTGTTAGTGGTTGCACTTGACACGTCATTCCTTTGGGAGCTGGTTTGGTTTGAAAGAAGAACTGTGTACGCCCCAAAAACAGCTTTTGGGAATCTAAATTTAAAAATGTTATAATACAATTTTAATTTTGGATTTTGTTTATAGTATTACTTTTGTGACTTGCCGTGAGCTGCTATGACTTCCAACATGTATCTGCTCCCAGGCTGCAGACTAAATGGTTTAAAATTGAGTTCAGATGAGGAAATTCCTGCACAAAACAGAAAAAGAATGTCAAATATATTACATTTTGCATAGTTTTTCATTTTTCATGCATTAGTAAATTTATATGTATTTGCCTGTAGAAGTGTAGGACTCAAAGATCCATTGCGGCACAGGGTCACGGGGCAGATCCAGTAGAGTGCGCTCTTGCACCACAACACTAGGCCTCACATCCACCAGATTACTGCCCTCCTCTCTATGTGATTCTGGGTCAAACTCCAACTCCTCCCCCAGACTGAAGCTCTCACCATCCTCAACTGGAAATATCAAAGGTAAGTGTGGTTAATCATAGACATATGCCAATAATATTTGTTATTATTTGTTAAACTAAAAGGCAGCATCTGGTCTATTTTTATCTGGCTTGCTCTTACTTTTAAATTACAGAAATAGTATATTTTTAACTTGATGATCTTGTGGCACTATTTTTTCATTTCTTTAATAAATATATGTTTAATTAAAACATTCTAAAACCTTCTGCTTCGTAAATGGTTGAGACTTTACAGCATAATTGTGACTTAAACCATTTGCTTAATCACATAATAGTATTGAAATATTAATTGTAGAGCTGCTTTTCCAATATACATCAATGTCTTTTAGTTTGTATGACACACACAGCCTGTACCTGTGGTTCTTCCTGGTGATATATCAGACTCTCCCTCCTCTGCGTTGAGGAAAGAATCATACTGTGGGTCTATGAATAGAAAATGGTTTGTAAATATTAAGACTCTACACAGTAGTTTTTTTTAAACATAAAAAACATAAAGCAAATTTTTACCAATATCAAAAGGAAAAATCCAGTCAGAAGATGATTCAGTTAAATCCATGATTTCTTGAACATGTCCACGGTATTCAGGGGCGATAGGTGAGGAGTCAAATGTGTCTAATTCTTGTACAGTATAAAGTAAGTCCTCTCCTGGACATAAAACAAATGATCAATTAAAAAATCCAAAAAAAAGCACATGATTTTTTTTTTTTTATCGTAGTTTGCACTGTATTTTTTTAAGTTATACCTGAACTTGTCATTGTAAAGTCTATTGTAGAATCAGGCCTGGGGTTCAAAACACCTGTGTAGATCAAAAGGGATCAAATGTTGAATCCTTATTGTAATTATAATTATATTAAGATAACAGTTATTTGTTTCAGTAGTTCACTATAAATATGTCATTGTTTACTTCTCCATTGTCTCTGAAAAGGAGAAGTCTCTGTGGGTGTGTCCTTTATAGCTGATGGAGCACTGAAATCCACTGTGTGGCAAAATGGAACTAATGAAAGAAAAATACATAGATTATCTTAAAAAGCTTTTACAAAATGTAATAATTACTTATTTGTTAAAATGTGCTTACCTTTGTTGATAGGTCTGGAAGAAGCATTGACCTGGTACAGACTCCACGAATAATTAATGACTGTGGAAGGGATTTTACATTGTTCACAAAAAGCCTGGACAGGAAATGGCTGATCCCAGTTCACTTTGTTGTTTTGATATTGAGGGCATTCAATGGACACTTTCCTACATCAAAATGTAATGTAAAACAAATATTAGTGTTTATGATTTGTATTTCATTTAGTTAAAGCATCATTTCTCCAGTTTAAAAGGCATGAAATTCATAAGTGCATTTTTCTTACCCTTGTATGTCTGTTTTGACAGTGAGGAAGATCTCAGATGAAGCTGATCGTCCAGCACTTTCTATGGTGAGTGTGAATTGAAACTGATCAAAGTTTTGTTTAAGAAAAGATGAAGGAAAAGCTATCACAGCAGAGGACATGGGAACTTCACGATCAAAGCAGGAGCTGGGGATGGTACTGACTGGTTTACAAATCCAGCTAAATCTGTAAAACAAAAAGAGTCATCTGTGTATCTGTAAAATTCAGCATTCTTTGAACTCATGCGCCTCTACATAATTATTCAGTTGACTTTTATGCTATAGCTTTCACGTAGACAGCTATACAGACAGACAAGTTTCACACTACTACTACTACTACTACTAAAAATAATAATAATAATGTGCTCAACCTCGTTTTTGCATGTTCTACTAATAATGAACAGTCATATTATTTTCAGTTAATTATTTGTACCTCGCTTTGTTGTGGGGAAAGTCTGGATCATGTGATTTTGTCCCATCCAGTGTGACCACAGTCATGTTTTTCTTGTTAATAAAAACATTGGTACCTCCTCGAATCATCACAACAGGAGCAGTCTCTACCACTTTCAGTCTTACACTATAGTTGCTGTACACCACACTGCCAACAACTTGAACCTATTAAAAAAAACTGTATTATTATTTCACTGATTAAATCCACATACAAAAATGATTTACGCAGATTTACACAACACTTACCTTAGCAATTGCAGTGTATGTGTCATAATGTAGAAAATGACTTGGGAATACCAGGGTCTGCCTATGTGTCTCTATATGAGGTAAAGAAATAGCTTGTTTTGTAGAGTTGTACAGTGTCCAGCTGTACTGAATTCCTCTTGAAAATAAAATGTCACAATTAAATTCAGACTCATAAGTCACTCCAAGGTGGATGGGTTCATATCTGGGAACCTGGAAGAAATTTGAGAAAGAATTAATTTCATTTTACAAAACTAGCTCTGACACTGTAACTGTGCAAAAAAAAAAAAAAATCAATGAAATTACATATTAAAAAACATAATTCGAAAATAATCTAACTTTTATGTTATTGTTTTGTATTTGCATTTTTCTGTTTTATTGGGGCAGAAATTGGCCATGCATCAAACTGACACATTTTTCTTTCAAATAAATTCCAAATTGTTTTACAAAGACTCACTATTACACTTATATATATTAACATTTCACATTATGTCAAGTTGTTGTGATTTCTAATAATTATACTTAATTACACAGACTTTTATCGTGAGTGGCCCCATGTTTTTTACAGGCGGAGGCTGGCAGGGTTTGTCCACTACAAAGATGTGACTTCTCAGAGAGGCGTAGCTGACCAGGTTAAAAACTGTCACTTCTATCACAAACTCTCCCAACCTGCATCAAGAAAGAACAATGCCTTTAGATAATGAATTATTGGAAGCACTAGCGCTAACCACATGTTAAATTATTAGTAAATGAACTAGCACACAAATTGGGAAATAAATATATAGACTGCGTTTTTACTGTAAAGGTTGTGTAGCATGAGCAGTAAGTAAAACTACAATACTTATGTACATTTTACTTTTACTTCACTACATTTGAGAGCCTTTATCTGTACTTTCTACTCTACATTCTATGTCAAGACTGAAAAGTAGAAAGTACTTTTCTTTATGGTTTGAGACCTGCTGAAATGGCTGAGACTTATTTTTAGTACATTTCGTTTGAGTTAACATCCCAACTTTGAGTAAACCAAATACGCAAAAAGAAAGCAAGAAAAAAAAGTAAAAGTACATTTTAAACAGGTACTTCAATAGTTTTAGTAGATTTTTTCATTTGATACTTATTTTTACTTGAGTAATCTTGTGCCCCTGTATCTGTACTTTTACTTGAGTAACAAAATTGAGTAGGCTCCTTGATCAACTACTGTGTATGAATGAACTGACTTTGTTTCCATTACCTACAGTCCACATTATATGGTTTGTTTTTCATTGAATCTATACTCACTGAACTTCTTATATTTAATTAATAGCATTCCCTTTGTAATTGAATAGAGTGATTTAACATACCTCTGAAAGACATGTTGCTCTGTGCTGTGTCCAAGTTTAGATGAGCCCTCTCCAAATGTCCATAAGAAATCGAGATCTGTCCCAGTATTTACTCTGCAGCTAAATACTACAGTGTGATACTGCAGCACAGAGGCCTGGTGGATAAGTCGATTTAGTTTTACTGCTCTTTGGATTATAATGGGAAAAGGCTTCGAGGTGGTGGACAGCCGAGGAGTTACCATGACAACTGTAACATTATACCTAAAAATAATATGAATATTATTTTTGAAATTATTTGTGCATTTATCTAAGTGTATTTCATTTCCTCATACCTTCCTGGGTTGCGGTATCTTTTAGTAATGGCGTTGTCTATATTTCGTGCAGAAGTTGAGTCTCCAAATTGCCATAGAAACTCCATAGAGTCCTGTGCATTTGTCCGTGCTAAGAAATGGACTTCGGTGTTGGTTGGATAGGCTTGATTTGCAGCATAAACCTCAACTACTGGAAAACAGGCACGTTTATAATAACTTAATTGTGTAGCTCAAATAAATATTATCAAAGTTTATGCAGGCCAAGGCTAAATTACTAAACTTGGACCATTATTCTGAATGAAAAATCCTGTCTTACAACTGAAAAAATATATTTAGACTAGAATTCTTAAAATCAAAACAATGATTAGGAAAACTGTAAATGAAAAACAGATTTTGCATTACCCAACCTGCCTGAATATTACACAACAGTACGTTTCCTTACCATTGCTATTATGAATTAAGTCTCTCTTCTCCTTTGCATTCTTCTCCTTTGTCCTTTTTACGTGCACAGTGTTGTTCTGAGTAGACACACAATTTTCAGATGAGACTGTCAAATCTAAGTCTTTTCCTATGCTGTAAGTGCAGGGCAATTTTCATTTTACTGTATCATTTTATGAGACAAGATCAGATCTACATTTATGTCCTGTATAAAAAGATGTGTGTAAATATGAATAATTATTTGATTTAAGGCCTTTTAACTGATTTCCCAAGTTTGGTAAGACAAAACATTTAATAACAATTTTGCACTGTCTGATGCTAATTTATACTGAATCCAGAAACATAGGGATTAAAGATGAAACTTGTCACATGTGGATGCTAACTTAAAATTTTCAAATACATATAAATAACAATATAAAACTTGAGAATAGAAGTAGGAAACATAGAGAAACATTACAGAAGTTGGAGGTGTGAAAGAATTGAATGGGGTTTCTTAACTTTACAATGAGTGTTGAAGTAGTGGACCTTGTAATCGGTGGTGAAACTGACACAGTAAATCTGAAGCTAGCAGCTGGTGTGGTTTTAAATGTGTGATTGGAATTGTTAACGTCACTGAAACTGAGAATTCAATGGGCTTTAAAGTTAAAACTGAAACTGCAGTCAGACATGGCTGTATGGCTAATGATGTGTTGTTATAATGAAAACTGATTTAAGATCTCAGTGCATTTTAGACATATTTTATTTATAGGTTGATACACCTGACAAACATTCACAATTTTCCTGTATCAATGTAAAAAGATGGTTAGTTATATTGTCTGTATTTTTTTTTTTCTTTATAAAAATAGAAAAGTGTCAGTTTAGTTGTTACCTGCATGTTGATGCATATTGACTTGGGGCAGCACGTCTCCTCTCGTTGTGTGAGGCACCAGGTACAGTCTCCAGGAGATTCACTGTCCACTCCACCACTGCAAGCAGCAGCTCCAATTAGCCAAACGTCCATCAGACCTTCTGTTGTTCGTGTCAAAACTGAGACATTATAGGTAGCAGTGAACATGGAGATAATATTGAATGCAATGACTCCTGAAAACAAATAAGAAAAAGGTTTATTCAATTATGTTTATGTAATAGAATTTATTATACGTAATTCATTATAATTTGATATGTGTGACTTACTGATTTCATATGTTCCTGGAGAACCTAAACTCCAATTGGATGAAACATTAAAGGAGCCTTGATCCAGAATGTTGACATGGAATGAACTTTGACCTTTGGGGGTCATACCCAGGAATTCCACAGTGACATCAGAGAAGTCCTGTCCTCCAACCCCAAATATCCCTAAAATAAATAGTTGGATTTATTTTTTAAAAAAATCTACAACTTACATTTTTATTCTAATTCAAAAGCATTATTTATTTCTAAAAAAACAAAACAAAAAACATCTGCATTCACTTGCTCAGCTCTATAAGACACATACAGCAACTGACAAATCAATATTGTAACAAGTCTGGGTCACATCCAGTTGTAGTTAATTAATGCTGAAATTAACACCTGACCTGAAGACTGGTTCAAAGGTGTAGCCAAGCTTCCAGAAACATGAACAGTGAAGGTTGTGCCAAAAAAGACCAAGTCTGGAGACATGGAGAGGCAGATCCTCTCCAAAAAGGGACCGCAGGTTTGGTCCAGACCCACATTTCTTTTGCTCACTCCAACAGGCAGCAACACAACCCTGAAAATAAAATAGGAGAAATTATGATAAGAACTGAGAACTGCTTTGTTTATTTAAATCATAAACAAACACATTGATCAAAATGCTTCAGAGAGAAAAAAACTAGAGATAAACAAATAAGATGCACATAAAAATAAAAAATATACTCAAGTTAATTTTAATCCCTTTGTGTTATCTTAAACAACACTGAACACTCTACTAGAAAAGAACAAAAAATATTCACGGGTTTCAAGTTACAGCAGCTAGTTAATTGTTAGAGCAATGACGTAGTTCTTATCAAAACATACGTCCTTCAAATAAGGAAGGAATTATTTGTCTCAAACTCACGAACTGGATTAACTTTAGTGTGCTCTGCCATTATGGTAGCTATATGGTATGGTATAAATTGTATTGTGTTGTCTTTATTAAATTTAAACTTCTGTGAATGTGCCTTACCGTTGTCCCGGGACATGTGTGGGGGAGTTGCTGGGACAGTCATAAGATGGACAGCTCAACAGCTCCTGATTTCCACAGTAACAGCCTCCTGAGCTCACTACAGCCACACTGCACCTGAAAGGCAAGACCGAGGACGTGATAATAAAATCGGTTCTTTCATTTGGTGGGTACTGAACGAGGTTATCATATTCGCCTAGTATTCTAGTGTGTTCGGATTATTTTGTGACCATCTTGACAAATTTTAAACAAATAAAATACAGTTTAAATAAACGCAGTAATGGCGGATAGGAAAATCATTTGAAGCAGCACGAGCTGCACTGTGCCTTAGAAAAGCGCGTGTGCGTTATTAGCAAACGAAAAGTGGCGAAATTGGGCTATTTACTAGATTTAACTTCATTTAGTTCTAACACTTTTGTAACACCGCAACAACAACGAAGCATCTTAGTAAAGTTTTATTCACTCCTGACTCACCCTCTCCTTCGGCAGCGAGCAGAGCAGTGCCCCGGGTCAAGGTCAGCGCTGCCCCATTCACTGTACGTGGGGCTGTCCGGGCACAGGCCGCTGCAGACGGAGGCACATCCCAACAACCACGAGTCTGCGACGGAACGCACCGAGGGAACGGAAACTGCAGCACTGAAGTGAAGAGAGAGAAAGCTCCACACCGAAAAGGCAAACCCGGGGCGCATGTCTCCTCTCTCTGAGGGTGTCTGAAAGGCCGCGGCTGAAACGAGGCTCAAACTAAAAACAACTGCACCTGCGCAAGTGAAATAGTTCTTCATGAATAAACTAACACAACGGAAGCAAGGTGTGGGACACTCTCAACACAGGGATTGTTTGCATTTAATGGCCGTGAGGAGGCAGGGGCAGGGGTCAAATATTACCCAATAAATTATAGTCTACATACATGGAGCTGAAGACAATCTGAACACTAGACAAACAAAAAGCTAACTGTGGATGGATAGCGTAAAGCGTGGTAGACCCTAAATTTATTCAATGACGAGCAGAGGGTTTGTAGCCTATAGTCTAACCACCTGACTTTGAAGTTTAATGCTTCCTAATGTTAAGCAACGAGTTAGCCACAGCCTACATAGATGGCTACAGATCACATAGGTCACATGATTTTGATCACTCTGATGAAACCTGCTTTAAATACTGGGTCAGCTTCTTGTTTTAAAATATGGATGTAGTATAAATGCGCATTTGCTACTTCCATATTTGTTCATGCTGAGTGTTGTTATCCCGTTGTGCGTGTCAAGTCCTGTTGCCCAAACCATTTCAACATTTAGCCTCATATTTCTGTATTCCGTTTTTGACATACTTTCAGGAAATTGACTGACCCATTTGTTTTGGCAGTTTGTCGGCTATTTCATTAAACACACTGATTACATTAAGCATCTGTTATATATAGGTTAATAATGGAGGAACAAAATTCATTGAAGCCACTAAGAATCAAAATGAAGAACCCCAGTCATGCTGTCAATCACAGAGTAAGAGCTGCTCCAGGCTGCTGGTGCCTGTGGCGCGCAACTGGCAATGCGAGTCTTTTCCTAATCTGATGATTTTGTAATTAGGTAGGCATACAAAAGTCAATTTAACACAGAAAGCATAAAATAAATATATCCTTGCTCTCAACATATCCCTTTAATTCCATGTGTGAGACTGATGTCTTGTGGCATTGTTTCCTTGAAGGGGCATATTATAATAATGAGTTGATATGAGTATGTGGCTGACAGATGCTATCTTTTATCGGCACACTTATGTGTAAGTAAATTTTCATCTTTTATTTAAGATACATTGTTAAAAACGTATTCACTTTGCCAGCTAACAACAGCGGTCCACCTTAAAAACGTCTTCCGGATCTCCAGACCTCCCCTTTAAGAGGACTACGTAGTTGCTTTCTAGGCCAACAGAGGGCGCTTGTAGACCGCACATCTGCCTCCTGTAGCCAGTGCCAGAGAGAGGCACCGTGGGGGTAATCAAATTCATTTTCTCTGCCCGCTCTACGCGCATACCCTCCTGTCGGGTTCGATTCGTCGGTTTGATTTATCTCATATTGAACAATACGGTTTTTGCCAAAGACTTTTTACGCACATATAAACTGTCCAAAACAAAAGTTTCTATGTAAGAAAAATGATCAAACTTAAATAATTGTTGCCTTTTGCGCAAAATAGCTTCACCACTCCACACAAGCCTATGATTTTGGTTTGGTGTTTTGATGGCACGCTTTATATTGACCAAACATGGCTCTGCCATTGAGTAGGCTATAGGCTATTTGATTAAAATGTCCTATCATTCAGGTGTTTTTCTGTGGGTCTCCTTAACCGCGGTGTTGAGACCTGATCCGTGCAGAAAGTGGACAATTTCTTTGCTCTTGGATGGAACCCACTCACAACCGCGGGCTCATAACTCTGCGTGATAAGTCCTTACGGGCCGCAAGTGAGCTTGAATAAACGGCTTATTTCGATAAGCGTGCGCTTTGATCTGAGGACAGCACGCGCCGTGTCACATTAAACAAACGCACTGTTCAACGAAATCTTAAACTATAGCCAATGCTCCCGCGGGGTGGGAAAGTGTGTTATATAACGCCCGGTCTGCGCCACGCGGCACCAATGCGCTCTGCCGCGTGGAGATGAGAGAGAAAGGCGCGTGAACCGCTCCGCTGTTGTCTTAATGAAGACCGATGCAGAAATGACCGGCACGTGAATCAAACGAACGAGCTATTTAATCCCGTCTTTATTTATTTTTGTTTGATATATTGAGCATTTTAAAGCATGGGTATCATTGTAAGTGATGAAGCAACTTCTCTCATAAGGATGATGTGGCCTGTGAAAATATGAGACGGATTAAATAATTTTCTGAATATGGCTGTGATCTGCTGTGATCGTAAATAAAGAGCAGATCAAAGAAATGTGACTGATCACGCTCACAAACCTTCAGTGTTCTCCTCGTATTTCTGTACCCTTTAGGTCATAACGTCACACAAATGTACCCTTTAGCTTACTTTGTGTAAAAGTAGCTGGATTTTTCCTTTTTGAAAGACTAACTTTATCTCATAGTTTGTAATTATTTATTTCGCTATAGGCTAGCCTATCGAAACTAATATTTCATCAGCTGTGTTTCGTCACTATGTTTCTGGTGTCAACACCTTCACCCAATTTGTTAGTCTACCTAGGTTCATGCGCCTCGATCACATCTTTTTCAATGAATGATTACAGAATAATTATAAATTCCCAGAAAACTGATTTGTGTCTGCGTTATTGTTTACTTTTTTAACAGGATCCCCATTAACCGCTAATAGCCGCTACTCTTCCTGAGGTCCTCTTAAAAATAGACATTACACTAAAGAAATTAAGTTATGTCTCTTGCTCAAAACACTGACACTGAGAGAGAAGGCAGGAGTTTAAATGTTTTATAGATAGTAAAGATATTATTTGTGTTTAGGCAATTCATAAGCAAACCAAATATTTCTTTTGAAAATTGCCTTTGAAAAAAGCCAATTCTCCGCGTGTAATTGCGCATAATTTTAGTACAGATCACTTATCCAATAACTAAAATTATTTTTCAAATAAAGGGAACACTGTGGCTAGAAAATTATAATCAATGTATTGCCTCTTTAATAAACTACAGTTTACTGAGTAATTTCAGACTTGTTCAGCGTGCTCTGAACTCCAATTCAGCACGGCTGAATCTGTCATTTACTATCTTATTTGTATTGTGACTCAACTCATAATTCGCTGCTGAACGTTTCATGGCGTTATCTCTTCACGTCGTTGAAGTTAAACTGAAGTGAATTATTCTTAAAAGCCTTTTGACAACGTTCTGGCGCTCGTTTCCCCGGGGGCACGTGACGGAAAGCTTGGGGGCTCTGGTTACACTCCAAACAAGTCTCAATCAAACCCAATTATTAACGAGGATTCACTGTAACGTGCTGATCTTCTCAGCAGTCATACATTTTACTCCACAACAATGATAGACAAAACATGCAGCATTAAACATGTTTAGCGAGATAATCACTGAAACAAAGCGGATTTAAAATACACACCAGAACAATTCTTTTTGAATCTCTACCATAAAAAGTAGATCAGTTACCGAGTAGCTGCATTTATAAAAGAAAAACAAAACAAAACGATGATCCTTTCCAATTTAGAATTTAAAGTTTGTATCTATCGTCTTGCATCTTAGCCTATCTTTGTTTTTTGTTTTTTTAAACCTTTTTTAAACATTTAATTATTAGCATCAGTGGGAACCTGTAAGCAGAATTTGTTAATGTGTGTGTGTGTGTGTGTGTGTGTGTATATATATATATATATATATATATATATATATATATATATATATATATTATATATATATATATATATATATATATATATACACACACACACACACACACATATATATATAGAGAGAGAGAGAGCGAGAGAGAGAGAATATTTAGCATATTATAATAATTTTACAAAGGCTAAACTCATTAAATATGTATTATACTTTTTTCCCCATAGGCCCACATAAAAATTATATTTTTAATTTTTTGCATTGTAACAATGTTGTAATAGGAAATGCATTACCATTTCCTCTCTTAAGTAACATCCAAATCAAAATGCTCTCTCTGTATCATTATCTAACCTTTCATATGCTGCTAACACCTGGTGTTATGTGGAGCAAAGTTCCTCTATTTTTATCCCAAAGATAAGGGCTCCATGGCTCAAATGAGTTGCTTACAATGAGGCTTGGGTCCCCAGCTTTCCCCTTTGTCCCAAGTCCTGAATGCTCCATATAAAGAAGTGGGACTTGTAACTTTATCTGGCAAAAGCCCAGAAAAGCCTAAAAAAGAGTCCTATTATATTTCTCACTCAGCCAATTTAAGAAAGTTCACATGAAGAACAGAAAGGAGGAGCTGGTCCACTCAGACCTGCTTTTGACACATCATATCTCCTGCCTGCGTACCCTACAGCAAAGCATCAGGCCGTGTTTTTCATTAGTCTGACTTTGACAGATTGCACTAACTGCACACGAAGGGCTGTAGGTAAGAATCTGTCGACTCATAGGCAGCCATCCTGACAGTGTAATCAATAATCAACAAGCTGCGGCCTGAATAAAGACATCCAGACACTGTTGTGTCTCTGAGTGAGGAATTTTCACCTAACACTTCAATTAAAATGCTGCTTCTTGCTCTCATATTACTGATATTATAAACAGTTGGATTTAAGCAGGCTTGGTCTAAGGAGCTTCTGTGTTGGTGGCTTTTATCCCCTGCTTCAGACCAGGCTGCCTGTGCTCCTAACTCCCTGGTATGAGAGGTCATAGGTCACAGCTGCTTGTGGCTGCGTTCAAATCCCCCTATGGTGTGTAATGTTTTCAACTGACCTGTCATTTAAAAAAAGGGACCTTTCCAGATATTGTCTTCAAACTTTGAGATGTTTTAATCTTTAGAGCAAAATGCGTGATCTGCACAAACTTCATACTAGGCTTCTTTAAAATTAGACACATATATTTGTATCATCAAATGTGTTTCTTACTGTAATTTCAGATATGTTCAGTACGTCTGAGATCATACTGAAGCTACATTTAATTATTAATCTAAATTGTTTGTTATGTGTTATAACATATGTTTTTTAAACTTGTCATAGTGGAGTAAAAAATTGGCTCTATTTATATTTATATTTTCGTTTGTTTGTTTAGTTTTTTTTTTTTTTTTAATGAAAATACAAAATGTATTTGATTGAAAAATGTACAAGTGATAGCCTAATTAGGAAACGCTTATGCATTATTCAGAAGCTTAAATAATAAGGTTTAATTGGAGCCCGAGGCAGTACAAACACAATAGGTCTGTGTTGCACATAGGCCAAAAAGATCTGTCCGGAGTTCATGTAGCCTGTTTAGTTAGGATTCTTCATTGATTTTTGTTGAATGTGTCACATGTGTTGATATAATATATTGAAATAAACTTTTTAATAGCTACCCTTACTCTGCACGGATCTGCATTAGTCCAGAGCAGAAAAGCCATTACAAATGCAGTTGAGCTCCATGACTGAGCACGAGTCTTCCGCTGCTGCTTTTCCCTCTTTCCTCCCTCTTTCCTCCCCCTCAGCTCCAGCACTGGTCCCGGGATCTGGATCCTGCTGCACACTGCAGACCTGCGGGCTCTGCGGTCGCTTTTAACCGCGTTCACAAACACTACACACGCTGATGAAAAACGGCCATTTACTAAAAATAATTTACAGCCTTAATACACTGTCTGTCGCCTTTACTGTGCATGCTGGTCAATTGTTTTTTTCACTAATCCACAGTCATAACGAGTTTCCAGAACCCATGGCAAGATCTGACCCAGGGTTTGGCGCGAGTTGTGCTGTGTAAACCTCAGATGAGACACCGCTGTTTCCTGATCTAAAACTAATTGTGAATTGCTATAGTCTATAGGATCAAATGCAGAGAATTCACGTGTGTTTTTTCGTGCTTATTTAGGCTAATAAAAAGTTTTGCAAACAGAAAATAGCCTAAATTTGCAGAATATCTATTGAAATTTAAAACTACTGTAATAGTATTATAATTTAGATATAATAATAGATGGTAGATGACTGGTAGGAGTATATTAATGTTATGGGTAGCTGACCTCACTCATTTAAGGGAGAACGTAAAGACAAGGTTAAACCAACAGAAGAGCTTATGAAATTTGTCGATCAAAGATGAGAATTACATTATGTTTAAATAGAATTTCCAACAGTGTTGAAGATTGTGGAAAAGGTTTATGTAAATTACATTTTTAAGTGTGCATGAACCCGTTTTGTTTGTAATACAAAGATTTGCTTTACGCACCTTTTACGGATAAATAAGATACGCAATACAGCTGCCATTTGCAAGTCTGGATTGAAAATATATCTGAAAATAAAGACGCGTAACTCAGCACTCCCTCGCTCTCATAGCTAACAAATCTTTACACTTAGCGCACCATAGGCTGTTCTGTTTGTTTGGTTGTTTTCATTTTTTGTTAGTTTTTTTTTTTTTTTTTCATTACATTTCTAAACCGTTGGTCTAAACAATTATCCTTGCGCATAAAGTTTGTTCTCAGTTTATTTATTGAGTGGTGGCTTGTTTTTCCTCTGGATGTTCAAAACCAAATATAGTTTGCCTGCAAGTGACCTTCTGTGATGGGTGAATGTTTTACAGTTGAGAGATTAAACATAAAAACGTCCTGACAGCTTTTATCGGTCTCTGTGTTTGTGATTGTCTCAAAGATCAATGCATTTTCAATGCAAAGTGCTGTGCCTAGGCGTTAGCTTAGTTCGTCAGCATTAACCATAATTTTGGTCCCCAATATATCGCTGTGGTGCAAACATCATTTTAATAACGTTTTTGTTTTTTCTTGACCCAACGCAGTCATTTCCTCATATCCTTTCTGTCGCTATTCTATAGAAGTTACAGTCTACTGGTTCCCAATCCGCACTGGAATTTAACCCTGAAACGCCAGCAGCAGAATAATGGCTTGTCTCTGCTCCCAGCCCGGCCCCTCCAGGCTCCAGCAGTCAAGCCGGGGCCAGACAGCCTGCCAGCCCCGGCTCCCCTTATCAACCTCAGGGCTTTGGCCTGGACAGAACGCACGGTGCCATTAATCAGGGGGACATAACGTCAAACATGGTGCGTTGGTCTGGTCAAAACTTTTTTCCCTGTTTTGTTGGTCTGTTTTGCCACCTTATGTCCGTCTGTTCAACTAGATATCTCCTAAGTGTTATATGTCCATTTTCGTGTCACATTGCCAACGTGCTTCTTATACTTTTTTACTGTTGTTTTAGTCTGTGATTGATCAGGTCACTCAAACTGCTGCTTGCAACACACTGAAATGCGGTTTGCGTAGAAGTCTGCGGTTTCCCTCGTGGAGCTTCACATGCAGAATATTTCTACCTGACTATACCTGTAAAACCCACACGTAACTCATGTAATCTTGTGGTTTGTTTCAAGCTTTTAACTGTGAGCATTGCACACCTAATAGGCTACATTTTCCCTCAAGAAGTCTAACTGAAACATCAAAATGAGTTTTGATATAGTTTTGACATATAACTTTCAACGACTTTCAGTTAATTTACTATGTAGCCTATGTATTATTATTAATATAATATATATTTTTGTCATATGCAGTTAAAACCACAGACCGGTTAGTTCACATTCATAAACACACATAAACAAAAACAATGAGGCATGGATGAATTCACACCCAATCTCGTTTAATGAAAGCTTGATAATTAAAAAGAAAGTGCTGCAGAAATCTGCCGTTCAAGTTTCCATACGAGTGCAGATGTCTTTTATATAAGTTCACAACAAGAATCATAACAGGAAAGCCCAGAAAATCCATAAAAATAAATATTCAGTTTTATATAAACAACCAGTGACTAAAAATCCATGTCAAAAACCTGACCTCAAGTATTTTATCAAAAGAGAACAAGAAGGGCAGGGACGAGGGAGCAGGGCCCCGAGCTGCTGCTACACTATGCAATTGTTTACATTGATAGCGTCTACTCCAAAGACTTATTTGTCTTAACGATGGAAAGGGCCTCCCAGGCCGTTATACCATCTCGTATCCGTCGAACGGGTCTTTGTGAATCGTGCGTGAGAATAGGTTGGTACGTCAGGGGGGCGAAGCACGGGCTATCCCTCCTCTTCTTATACTGAGCAGCCTGTGCTTTTGACATGCGGATTAAAGGTTGAAGTCTTGCAACACAGAGACTCCCCCTCGACCCTTCATGTGCATCCCCCTCTTTTTCGACTGCTATTACGTGCCATTAGCACTGCTTCCAAAATATGAGATTTTTACTAGTTGAATCAAAATTCAAGTCATGAATTATCTTCAGTGTCAAGGGTGGGGGTTCTAAAGCGGATCATGTAGGCCTACACATTCTTATAATTCATACATATACTCCTTTACAAGTCATACAATGAACACGCCGTTATTAGGAGACTCACATCATTGAGGGCTTTAGGTTTGTTGTGATCTAGCCCGCCATTAGCTGCATGCAGGCAGAACGACTGACAATTAGCACAGCGTAGGGCTGCCATTAAAACGTGCACTATATGTGCGTTTGACTCGAGGGTGATGCTACAGCTTTTGAGTAGGACTACGTACATTCAAATAGCTGCTAGGCTATATCTGAAAGCTAAAGGAGCACCTTCTTTGTGGTGTGGTTTTAAGGCTTAAAATGTAGGTGATTGAACAATTAAACGATCTAGCACCGTCCAGTGTTTTCACACTGAAACTAGACTCCCAACAAAGTGCAATGCCTGCCAGTGTCTGCAGTGCTTTGTTACATGGGTGTTTTTAGAGTTTTCAGAAAAGATGTACCACGCTGTTTTGGTTCTGTCTTTCTTTATGTAGCTACCAATCCTGTTTCATAGGCCTTTATTAGCACAGACGCACCTTGGCACGCTTTTACGCGCAGGATTGGTGCGTAAAAGTGGCATGTACAAACGGGGGAAATGATTGGCGATTGAAATGAAAGCTTGTACTTTGTAAGGATTATTATTTGTGATTGTCCATAGTCTACATAAGGCCTATATGTCATGTCTAGGCAGTGCAGTTGTATCATAAACCTGACAATACTGCATGGAAAAACACAAGCGCGGGTCTAGAGGCACAAACTAAACCATACAACCTCTAGAGAAGTTTACGTGAAGCGTTAGCGCGCAGACATACCCACTTGAATCGTATAGCATACGATTTAACCCTTACGCAGCTCAACCAGAATGACAGCCGTATAGGCATATGAAAAACAATTTGAAAAGTCGAAATAATGAAACAAGCTTCTCTTTTCGAATTAAAATGGTCACAGAAACGCTGCGAGTTAACCTCTTCCCTTTTCAGACAAAGCACATCAGTGAAATCTGGCAGTGGCAACATACAATCCACCAGGTCAAGCCGTTTAAAAGCCATGTCAAGTAAATACAACATAATAGAAATACATACAAATATATTGCTTAGGATTGGTAGCATTTTAAAAAGTTATTCGATTCTAAGCAGATCCATCATCGGTGTCTCAGTCGTCTGCGCGCTTTCTGAAACTCCATTTTTCCGAAATAAAACTTTTGTCATAAGTGGAATGTATCTCCATTTACAGCAACAAAATAATAGAATAAACATGAATTAAACTGTTAAGAACAGCCCATAACGCACAGACAGGAGCTACGATCTGGCGGGTTATAGCCATGGTTCAAGCTTTTGTTTTTGACTATTTCCTCGTTCTTTGAGCGTGTGGGGGAGGGAAAATGTGTCCGCCAGGCTGCCACTTCCACACGGGGTGGGACTGAGGGGGAGGCCCGGGGAGGCCCCTCAACGAGTTCAGGGAGTAAGCAGGACACAAATCCCCATCGCTGCCAACAACCAAAGACGGTGTGGACGGAAAATTTGCCATTAAACTGAAAGGCATTTTTGCTGGAGATGCTACTACAGTGTATGTAGTGCTGCGTTTACGCCTGCTCGGTATATCCAGCACTTGTGTATCTTCGGAACGAGAAGATGAGGATGATGATATTGAAGAGCAAGGAGTACTTTTGGGCCTGCTCTGTTTTGTTCTGAGAATCATAGGTCTTTTCCCTAGCGCCACAGTTTTACAGTTTCTAGTCCTCAAGCGCGCCCCCTCATCTGCCGTGTCCTGGGTGCTTCTACATTCCTGGGGGCCACATGGGGACGTGGGGGCTACATCAGAACTCTCCTCGATTACCCTTTTAAAAACTTCTCCATGCTCCAGGCTTTCTGTTAGATCACGTTTACATCCAACAACTGCGTCCTGGTATTCATAGTCATCGCAGGTTTCCTCTTTAATTTTCACATTTTGGATGTTAAAGGGGGGTGTCCTACTTGCCCTGTCGCTGTGTGATTGGGGGCCAGTAGTGACCAAAAGCTCTTCAGTCTCTGTTTTGATTTTTTTCAGTGGACTAGCTGAAACTTTAACGCATGGCACTCTTAATTCATCTATTTTCTCGTTACATTTGGGTCTCTTGTCCTGGTCACTATGTTCACACAGTTGTGGAGAATTTTTGGTGGATACAAGTCCTTGTGCTTTAACCAAGCCTGGAAAGAAATTGCTCTGGTTTAACCCAAACTGGTTATCCACTGTCCTATTGGGATCAGACTTTTCCGGTTTGGATTCGGCGAAGAAACTGTCTGCCCGAACAAGTGGGGTAAATTTTGGTGGTTTTAAAGGTCCAAAGTCTTTTTTAGCCTCATTGCATTTTAAGTCACTTGGGGAAGGGCCAACGAGGTCCGACTTGTGCTGTTTGTCCTGATTGTTGTAGTGAAAGGTTGGTTGAAGGACCAAAGGTGCTTTGTTGAGAGTTTTGGCTAAAGAACCGACCCGGGCCCGTCTGAACCGAATGCTCTGAACAGAGACCCTGCTGGAGACGGAGCTGGAGTCTGACTGAGATGAGCTGTCCTCCTCGTCGGTGCTGACCTCTGAACTTTCAGACTCCTCTTCGTCCTCCTCTTCCTCGTCGGAGCTGCTGGTGCTAGAGAGACCGGAGCCAAAGTCGGAGTCCTGGTAGTCCCTGTCCGAGTAAATGCTTGACTCAGTGTCGCTGGTGTAGCTCTCCGGAAAACTTCCATGGGGATCATGGTGATAATGTTGTGGCCTAGGGTCAAAGTAAAACTCTGGGCTGAGGTGAAAACTACCAAACGAAGATCCAGAGGTTTTGGGATGAAGGAAAAGCACAGGAGATACGTGGTGCGCCTGTTTGCTTCTGCTCCACGAGTGTTGTCTCGTGCTGTCTCTGCCGCCGCCCCCCTCGCGCCTCCTCTTCCTTTTGTGAAGTAGGTCGCCGGCTAAGCGCGAGTGCTTGGTCTGAGTCGCTATGGCGGACTGAAACAAAACCGGCTGCCGGCTTACAGAGCTCCGGAAAAACCCATGCCTTTGGCTCCAAGCAAAACGATTCCCTGTTATTTTATCATTTTCATAGTTTTTGAAGTGTTTATGACTAGATCGAGCAACTGAGCGCTGTTCACGCCCCGTGGATTTGTGGTAAAATTGAGGTAGTTTGGAGTCGCTGCGCTCTTTCCTTCTGCCCAGTTTGTTGTGACGCGCGACCGTTTCTGGGACGCCGTGCAAACTAAACCAAACTTTTTGCTTCCACAGTTCGGCGTCCGTGTGACGGAGATCCGAGGGTGTCTCCTTGTATTCGGGGGCACATGCCACTTTCGCTTTCCTTTTGTTGGACTTTAACACGCGCTCCGTTTTGCAGGAGATATACAAAGCCTCCACATCCTCACGCGAGATAAGTGTGCATTTAGCTGCATGAAAAGCTATAGAGTTTATTGCTTTGAGCTTCCTGAGCTCCTCTAGGTCGCAGTGGTGCTTTTTCACCTTCAGGTGATCCATGCGCTTGTGCACCGTGGTCCGAGGAATGTTCTTCAGAAGGTCGGTGAAGACCTGAGACAAAGCAAACATTTGCTTGCCTTTGATAAGCAGGTATCCCAACCTGACTCCTTGCATTTCCTCAAAGCCACATTCCAAGTCTCCCATCTTGATTTTATTCACTGTTAATCCACGTGTCCGCTCTTTTTAGTCTGAAAAGCCATTTGAGTTGCATCCTCCTCGTACCTTTAAGTCCTCACTCTGCCGCTGCTGTGTCATGAAACTGCAAACTTTGACATGCAGCGTTAAATGGAGCAACCGGCGTTTAATGTGCCGACAGCAACCATGCGTCGCCTCCTGCCGCGGTCCGGCATGGTTTAGGAATGCTGACGGACGCGTAACCCAGGCTTGGAGTGCTGTCTCTACCTGGTGCTGTTTCTGCCCGCTCCACTCCTCTGTGGACGGCAGCAGGACTACTGCTATAGGTGTACCACTGCTTCAGTCACAGAGATGAAATAGCGAGAGGAGAGAGAGGGGCTGTGAGGTGGAGGGAGGGAGAGGCAGAGAAAGAGAGAGAGAGAGAGAGAAGCAGAAGAAGAGCTAAAATGCAGCTGCTATTCCTGCTGCTGTTCAGCCACAAATAAAATGACAGAGAGGGAGGTGCACGAGTCTGGAGACACCTTCATCAATTAATTCCCGCGGTGAGAACGCCCATTGGACGCCGCTGACAGGTGATGCAACAAAAGAGGATATCACATCTCCACCTCTTCCCTCACACCACCATTACAATGTTAAATAACTGTACCTCTTTTCCTGTGAAAAATAATTTAAAAAATGCTCAGATTAATAGCCGAAGTGTAATATTTTTCCCTAATTTTTTGTCTTATTTAAATTATTTACAGAAGTGCATCGTGTTGCTCCATGCAATCCAAATCACCAATAGGATACTGATACGTTCCTAAACTACTGCTTTATGTTTTCATGTTTGTAAATTTTATTTTTTATTTTTCCCCCAAACAGTTATGAGGTTTTTGATAAATGATCTGCTCTGTCTTTTTTAGGATTCTTTTCCAACAACTGTAAAATTGAACATCTTTCTTTTGCTCATCATAACATATTCTCGCTTATTGGTTCTTCACACATGGTCTTTCACACCATAAGGCAAACGTCGACAATAAAGAATTTTAGTGCTAAAAAGTGCAATTGGGCGTTTGGAAATAAATGACTTACCCTTACCTAAACGCAGTGTTATTTGGCATCGCTTAGCCTTTGCCTGACCCTTTAGTAAAACAATGGTAGCCTACAGAACTAGCCTACTATTCCCACACAATAGGCTACACGCATTTTAGCTACACTTAATACTCGGGATTTTGGAGACCGTGTCTGTAACAATAATTTACATTTTCGCCCTATTCAAAAGCCAAACATAACAGATTTTCACGATCTCCAATAGACACTTTATTTTTCCATCGAGTCTTTTTCAGTCCAGATCTCTGGACTAGTTTCACGAGCGTCTAGGCTGTATACTGCTTGTTCTCTTATTTTAGGCTCACAACACTATGTGGATATGAGTATAGCTTCTCTTAATAAATACCCGCTATTGTCACGAGCACCTCGCGTATGAGAAACACACGCGCCCTGTCAGATATGCAGAATTGTGCATAGAGAGAGTGCTGCGTCAACGTGGACCATTTAAAGTGAATATTAGAGGCTAAGCGTCTGAAATACCCCATGCCTATGAAGGCAGCCTCGTTGACTATTGTGTGGCCCCTGAGCCATATTTCCTCGTGCCTTACGTTCAGTCTTTGTTATCTCTAAAACACGTGAATCCCTTGTGGCCCGTTCCGCCAACAGAGCTGCGCGCATGAGGCCAAACTCAAGACTGGGCATGCTCATCTGTAGAATACCCATTATTTAACAGGATCCCATTAAAAATGAATCAGTGTTGCCATTTAATGCTACATCAATGTTTGACTTTCATCGAATCCCTGTTTTCTGCAAGAATAAATATTTTGGAGAAAAGCGTAAATGTATAAAGCGCATGGAGCACACGCTCCATTGAAATAGACTGCGCCTCACTCTTCTAGGCAATTTTTATAGAGGTTTTCCAATATAGTCTATATCTTTCATTGTTGTGTGTATTTCACCAAAAGAAATTCTGAATATAGCCTCTATGCAGTCGGGTAGACCTAGGATACAGTAGGCATATCTTTGCCTTTGTTCCGAATGGTCACTGCAGCCTTGTGTAGACGTTTCTCTGTGTTCTCGATTACGCTTAAAATATGACTAGTTTAAAGTCTAACACTCAAGTAAAGCTTACGTATCCCAAGTCAAACTCTTAGAGGATACAGCCACGCACACTCCAAGTTTGACAGTCACAAGTTTTATTTTCTTAGGATCTATCCGAGCAAGCTCTGGTCACAACTCCTCGTGTTCCAGTGTGAAACAGGCAGATTTTCGCAGAGGCAGCACACTCAAGTGAAGGAGAGGAGGGGCAATTTGTTGAGGTACGGGTCCCCGGGGGAATAACATGATCCCAGCGCCAAGGTGCAGCGTGCCCGGCTCGAGAGATACAGCTGAGACAGACATCGAGGTTTCTGTCATCCCATATCCGACTTCGGCACGCCTCTCCAGGAATTTAACTTATCTATTTCACCTCCTGTGTTGAATTGTCTTAGCCACGACTTCCTTCACGGATTATGAAAGTTGCATCATGTTCTCAGTTGTTGTTGCAACGTTTATGTGAAGTCTACAAAGTTTTTATTTTATTTTATTTTATTTTATTGTGCAGGTATTCTACTACAACTCTTCACACGTTCGTTCAAATGTTAATTGGCCTATGTATTGAGACTCTCACAGTAAGTATACAAATTTAAAACCTATAAAACAATGAGCACAGTGGCCTATAACACACTTAGAATAAATCAATAGAATATATTAGACTATATCTTCCTATTAGAAATTTGGGGAAATTGTCATGCAGATTGGTGGTGCCAGATGCCACTTTTCGAGCCAATTGCTGTATCTGCATGTGGTCCGGAACCAGAGGGGAGGAGATCTGTTCGAGCTGCCGTGAGAGACGCACCAGGCAGGGGGAAGTTTGCTCGGCACACCGCTCTGTCTGAGGTGCACCACGAAGAATGTTCACCTCACCACAGTATTCGTTTTTGGTCATTTGCATGAGACAACAGACCAAGTCAGTAGTTCTCGGATTTAGTTTGGGTAGCGCAAAAGTCCGGTGCGTAAAAGAGCGTTTCCTATTTATATTCATAATTTGGGTAGCGCATTGGTCTGGTGCGTAAAAAGCGCGTTTCCTATTATGATTCTCATTGAATCTTGAACGTTGAACACGTGTGGATTTTGCGTGTTAAACTGTTACTTTATTTGCCTGACAAGTCCAGAATGATATTTCTCTATATTGGAGAAGTGTATTCTGAATCCCAGGAAAGTATACTTGCAGGACTGTGTAGGCTATGTGGCTTTCCATTCAATATACACCCAATGAGCTGATAAGGGCGCAGAAACTTGAAACACCAATGTGCATTCTACATCAAACCTGTTTAGACATGTGTATCGAACAAAGGTGACTTTAATGCCCCCACTGAAGAAGGACATATAGGCTACTGAAGTTCAACCATGTAATAGGGCCACGCAACGTACTAAACTTGGCCGATTTGACAGAAAGCTTTCCACGGCCGTTTTCGTTTGTTTTACTGCAAGTTTTATGGAGACACTCGGTCAAGAAGGCACAAGCACTTGTAAGAACATAGACTTTTATGACACAAACGCACTGCTTCATGCCAAAACAATGAATTCCTCTCCACCCCCACCACCCCGAGTGCGATTCTGTCTATAGCCTATGCAATCCGAGCCTGAAGTGTGTGCGGACAGTGGGTAGGGGGAGGGCTCTCTTCACCTTTGACCTCACCGAGTTAGGATTGTTGATATTTTTTCTGGGCCTTTGCCCATCAAATAGACAACTACTGGTAAATTGTCGTAAACCTGATGTGAACAGAAAGCACAACTTTCATTCATATATTACGAAAAAAAAGTGCGTAAGTGCGTCAAAGTTGTATTTTCTCTGTACAACGTCGTGTAAATCGCAATATGACACAGATGGGAATGTAGGCAGTCTGTCACAAGCATTATATCTGTTGAATATCAAACAAGTAACTACAGCCTATCGCACACTATAAGTTATTATTCTTGGCCATTGTTTCATATCATCTTTTGATGTCGTACAGCCTATTTTGTGTAATTGCATAATATTTAAAAAGGAAAACTTCCAAGTGATGCTGAAATTAAGGAGAGACTAGCTTTATTGTAGCCCACCATTCATGTAGGAAAAACCTTCACTCATACACATATGGTGACACAATTAAGGGCTGCGTTTAAAATGGACTAGCCAAGTGTAATTAAGCATGGGCTATCCTTACAGGCAAGACAGGATAAAACAATAGAGATTATAGCAACTTATACTTATTATAGCATTAACAATAGAATATAGAGATTTTTCCATTTTATTTTAACGTATAAAATATTTCCTTATTATAACATTGCAACAAACCAACAAATTTGTGTTTGGCAATATAGTGTTCATTGGCCATAGCCAAAAGCTTATTATTGTGATTCATTCCTTTACCTATACATCAAAAACATCCATCATGTTGCCCGTGTCATATACTGTAAAGACTTTGACATAAACTGTAGCGTCTAAAAGGGTTGTTTCGATATAGGTAATACTGAGTGCCTTATATTATATAGCCTAAAAGCAATGAGTGGGAGCCTGTACGTATCTTGAAGTCACCATAGTTGGTCAGCGCAGCTATAGCCTAATGTTATTTTTCCCTTGTTGAAAACGCTCTTCTGACAACCTGAAGCCTAAACTACATACTTCGTGCAGACTTTGACTTAATCAAGTGCAAGTTATAAAAATTATTTGCCATTTTCAATGTGTCCGTAGCTCCATAGGCCCCATAGAGAACCAGGGCCCCCTCCTTTGCCTCCCTTTGTTCTCTTCAGCTCTAATAGGTTTTCCCCTGCCACACACGATTCACTTTTTTCTCTTCTCAGCTCCCCATCCCCCACACCCCCTTTTAGTGCAGTGCCCAGTGTCGAATGCTGCATTTGAGCAATTTGAAATTAAAGCAAACAATGGGCAGGCACTCCCAGGGACCTCTCGCTCACCATATTACACGGAGGACGCTCGTGTGCTCTTGCGCATTATTGGCAAGTCATTACGTTTCTCTGGAAACCGAGAGCGGGAGCTTGCTCAGACGAATCGGTGATGCAAGCAGCAGCTGAGTGCCTAGAATAACATGTGTGTGCACTCGGGAGCATCCTTGGAAACAACAACAGTATTGACAGGTCCACTGTGTTCAACATCTCTCTTGACTATCTCTTATTTTGTGGAAATACATGGCTACACTTTTACCTACTGAACAGAAGATATTTCGACGAAAGGCAGATGATTTCTATGGCATGCACTTGCTATAAGCTCATAAAGTTATTATTTTCTTCAAATATTTAGACATAAATATTCACTTCAGTGACACTGGCATTACAGCTCTCTGAGGACTAAACTAACTACATTATATATTGCTTTTTTTGGCTAAAATAGTTGGGAAAATCATGCTGGCCTTAATGCAAGTTAATAAGAATAGATAGGTCTGCATTTCGTCAGTTTGGCCATTTGAGCAGGTTTCCTGCCAGTAGCAAGATTTGCCTGTAAATCAAACACGTGTTATGGGCAAATGCACTCCTACTTATTTTTTTTACAGGATTTTGTTTTGTTGTTTTTACCATATGTTACCGATATGAAACTCTAAAAACAAATCATATTTGCCTTGTACTTCCTGGAAGAATTCACGTACACAACGTGCCATACGTCATTACGCACTTCCTGTTCTCTACGACGTCCCTCTCTCGTACTCGTCGTAGCGCAGTGAAGTGGATGTTTTGGTAAAAATTACTGCATTGGAAGGGATGTAAACACGCTTTAAAGATGACACGTCGATCGCGTGGGACTTAATATGGTGTAGCATTGGAAAACCGATCGTCTTCATTCCAGATTTTGGCTTATCTTTATATCGTATTCCTCCGCATGTCCGCTTTCTTCGTAGATGGTTTCCAGCGAGCGTTGTCTGGCGGCGGACGACGACTTCTCGACGAATAACATGAAGGAGATGATAGGCGGGTGCTGTGTATGCTCAGATGAGAGAGGCTGGGCGGAAAACCCTTTAGTTTATTGCGACGGCCATGGCTGCAACGTCGCCGTGCACCAAGGTAAGATGTTTGTGTGTTAGCTCGGCTCGGGTTAGCCGTTAGCTCAGAGGCTACTTAGCGCTGTATTGCTGCAAGGTTATGGAGCTGTGTGCAGCCTCCGCCTGCCCTCAGCAAGGCCAGGCTGAGGTCAGGTCTTCAGCATCTATGATCTATTAGCATTTATGATCTAGAGCGTCCTCTCAATCCAGGATTGGAGCGATTATGTGTACTCTGCATCTTTGTGTTGTTCAAACATGAAACATGCACATTTTAATGTGAAGTCACTAAAACCAAAAAAGACACAAGTGATATCTGTTATGTTACACAAAATGTACCTACAGCTAATAAGACCAATAACAGATCATAATAGCAATCGTGTTATGACACATGAAATGTCAAAAACGTGGCCATAGTTTCTGTGTTTACAAACAGCAGCTAAGTGTCACTGCACAGTGCACACATGCACAGTCTCCAAGCAAGTGGATGTCCTAATGTCAGAAGTACTTTATTTATTGTTTAATAGCTGTTAAAAACGTCTGCATTGCCCAAACCTTTTGCTTATGAATACCCTTAGGTATTTTTTAACATAATCTCAGACACTGTAATTTACCATTAAATATAATAGCATTTCAAAATGTACAAAAATATAAAATGTAGTTATTTTCAATAGATTAAAATTATTTAAAATTTTGACCTTTTGACCTACTTCTATATTTTCAATAAATTTACTCATTTGGCAAACAGCACTATATAACATGCATTAAGAATAACATGCATTAAAGAGAGCAAGGACTATCTGCTTTTTATTCATAGGCTAACTTTTAAACTCCACTCCACTTATTCTCATTTTTTTATTATAAACCTTACAAATTGAAAACAGCATTATTAAATCATTAATGAATACTAAAACATTTTACTAATTTACTTTTTAAAAATTCATTATTAATTTTACCTTTTTTGTTTATTCAAATAACCATATGATCAAGCTGTGATGATATAGTAACATCAGTTAAATATAAGCCACATTTGCTTTAAGATTGTCTGAGATCTTCCTGTTTTCAGATGGGCATTATTGACAGGTGGATTAGCCAGTCAGGGATACACATGGTCCATCCGAATCAAAACAAATCTGGCTGCTTACCAGAAAAAAAAAAAAAAACATATCACAAGGAAGGAGAGTTTCTACAGAATTAGTGAGTGAAATATTAAACTCTGTTCATTTGAGGTGTCATGGGTTTGATTTTGTTTGTAAATAATAGATGACCAATGAGCTCTTTTATTTCACGTCACTGAAAAAAATAAATCTGATTGCACGATCATTTTTAGTCGGGCTCGAGGCACGAACCAGGTCAGGCTAATGTCCATTTGTATAAAAAAAGATGACGTTCTGGATTTGTCAGGCAAACCTCAGGTCATAGGTCATAGGTCATAGAATGCTCTATGTAGCAATCAAACAATTTAGATATTCATATATACTGACTACAATTAGAACCCAGATGTGGATTTTTTGTTTTTTTTAGCTGATACTGTCTTATTGCATTTGTCCATTCATATAAAGCAGATGTAAGTTTTTATTGTGTATGATATAATTTCTGTATGAACCTCTCAGTACGATATGTATTGTGATATTGTGAGAATGCGTACAGTATTATATATATTCATATATATTATACTGTGAGCATTCACACAATATCGCTATATCTGGATAATAAAATACTTCTAATCAAATCTATTATAGATGGGCTCACGATTTATAGTTTTAACATTTTCTTGCTCCGTAAAGCACTTTGAATAAGGCCCTACTTTGTATTGTGCATTTCCCTTGCTTACCCATTAAATAAAACTGCAGTAAAGTTCCTATTATTTTTTTCAACATCAGAAAATATGTGAGTCACTGGCAGTGTTCTGCAGCGTACCTTGTGCTGTTGGTATTTTAGAGCAGCACTGTTGGTCTGAACTCTTTTAGCCTGGACTTGACTTTATTTTTGATGGATTTCTAAAAAAACTTTGTGTCATTTTGCCAAGCGAATTCTCATGCTGCTTTTATTTGAAGAGGATACATGCTCTGTGTTTCAGCAGAGCTAATGCTACTACAGTGCTGTTCTTCGTGTGTCTCCTTTTCTCTGTTAGCACTTGTGGTCTTGGGAAAACCAAAATGCATCTGGGATTTAAAGCAGCTTTCCTCTTTATCTATTCTCCCATCTTCAAAAACGCTGACAAATGCTGTGTTGTTGTTGATGCAAGTGTGGAAAGCGTGCAGCGTGCGATCCTATTGGCTCAAACTGTGGCACAAAGGAACATGGTATATGTAGCAGTTTTTCTGTTTTGAATTATTTTAGGCACAAATGCACTGTTTGTATTTGACAGCATTACTATGAAAGTGGCAAATACTAAGCAAAATATTATTGGCAATTTTGTTTAAAAGTGCACTGAAGTAGTTTTCTGATAGCTTGGTGGCACCTGCTTGTTTCATGGACAGGGTGTTTTTTTCTGGAATGTTTCATAGTAAGTTGCATTCACTAAAGGCAATAATTGAAAAAGAAATCAAACTTGCTCTTGTCTTCATGGAGATGGATAGGTTTTATGCCATACTTTGAAACATTCCAACAATAGCAATAACATCTCTATGGAGCGACCCTCCACCAGAAAGGTTGCATAGTGCACCTTTAAAAAATGTGCAGAAAATAAAGTAATTTCTAAACCATTTTAAGCTCCTTGCCAAATGTTTGTGTATAATTTTTGTACAGATTTTATGTTCACAAGAAGGTAGCAAATGTTGCAGTGTTTTTTATGCATGCCTTTTTCTGAAAATTAAATTAATTAATAATGAATTAATTAATTCAAAACATGAACTAAATTATAAAGCTCACCAATTCAGGATAGGATGATATTCCTACTGGTCATGTAGGACAGATTTAGTCCAGGGAGCTGCATATGCAGCAGCAGCAGCCTATCTTGCTCTGGGTGAGAAGGGGCTGAATACAGAAAGAATAAGATCATGCCAATATACGCTGATAATTTCACCTTGTGTCATAATGTAACACACCTTAATTAAATATTGAAAGTGAAACATGAGCACGTGGTGGATCTTAAAGAGCTTTACGAACAGTGTGCTCCATCAGCACAAGAGTCAGAAGAAGAAACGGCGAACTGACCTGCACTCAGTACAAGGGCCCAGGCCGGTTAGCATCACCTCTAGGTCGAAAAGTGGGCATGAATGTGTACAAATAATGTAGAGTTCCCAATCCATGCAGGCTGAAGTCTGTCTGGATATGCATGTTTGTTTACAAGTTTATACGTGGATTTAACACAAACTTGCTCCTTGTCTCTCTGTATCTCTAGATTAATTTTTGCCTCATCTCTGAAAACCCTGATGCAAGTTTTTGGACCGAACCGCCCATTTCCATGTCAAATAATTTTTTATAAGTCACAAATATAACATAGAAAGTCATACACGTAGCATTTTGTACGTGTTCATGTTTTATAATGAGACCCTGGCAAGGCTGTTCATTGTTAAGAATACATGTTTACAATTTTTTTCAGTGTATTTGTGAGTACTTAAACAAGTGAAATGTAATTGATGCAAGATAGTTAGTTTAATAGTACCTACTGTGGAACATTCCAGGCAAAGCAATAACACTCCTTCATCGGAAATGTTACGTAGTGCACCTTTAACTGTCTGGATTTTATAAATTATTTTATAATCATCCTTATCATATTCACCCAGCCTTTGATTGTAATTCAACATTCCTGACATGGTCAACACTGAAAGAGGTGTTAAATGAAGAAAAAAAGAGAGACAACATAATGCAATTTATAAGCATTTATAAATGCTTCTTGTAATGGTGATAACCACTGTAACAATTGATATCTGTACACATCTGTACACATTCAGCCCCAACTTGTTAAAAATTATGGTTTCTAATTTGGTTGGGAGTTTCTTCATTTGAACTCTGTAACCTGAGGATATTTTGTTCTCTGAAATGTGGATTATTACCAGTGGATTATGAGCTCTGGTCAGATCAGACATAATCTGAAAATGTGAAGAGGTAGGCTATTTACAGAGTGCTGCTTGAGCTGCAACTTAAAGTCTCAGCCTCGCTCCCATATCTAAAATCAGGTCATTACATTAGTAGATTGCTTATCATTTCTATCAATCAAAAACACAACACATACATCAGATGTTTTATTTGTAATTGTACAAAAACAGTGTTATTACAACATTTAAATTTAGGCCATGCAAAAAACAGTTCGCCCCTACTGTTAGACACTAAAGTGCACCTAGTTTTGGTCTTGATAAATTGACTCTCTTGATTCACTCAAAAAATTAAAATGTGCTCATTGTCTTTTTTAGCTCGAGTTATGCTAGTGTCCCCCCCATTGTGCTTGATGCAATGGAGCCTCTGGTTGTGCCATAGTATTTAGTGGTTGCCAGGCAAATCCAGAATGAAATATTACCTCTGTATTTGTTATAAAGAGGGATCAGTGTGGTCACCACTCCCTCAGTTACGCCTCGAGCTGGGCTCAAACACAGCAATCAGATTTGTTTATTTCAGTGAAGTATGTGAAAGAAAGGGACTCATTGGTCATCTACCTTTTTGAACAAAATTAAATGTATATCATTCAGATTAACAGAGTTTAGTACTTTGCTCAATGATTCTGCTGAAACCCGCAATGTTTTTCAGTCTCATGTAATTTTTTTCCCTCGTAATCAACCATTTTGTGTTGATGCTTATAGACCATGTGTATCGCTGGTAGGCTAATCCACAGGCCAATCATGGCCATCTGAAATCAGGGAGTCACCAGATTCACAACTTCATAAAGAATTGAAGATACACGTGTCTTCTGGATCTCAGGCAAATTGACTGGTAGTCCTGTGTTTAATATTCCTACGCAAATGAACATTGACACAAAGTGTAAAATTAAGCTTTAAAGAGGGGGTATTATGCACAATTGAATTTTTTTAGCTTTCTGTAAAATTTTACTCCATCAAAAACACGCCTCAAGAAGTTTTAGATGCCATCTAAGTATATTTGAGTAATCTAGCAATCTCTCACGCTTGACAATTTTCCATAAAAATAAGAAAGCAGGATACAAAACAATGCACTAGTTTCATTAGTGGAATCCATGCCTGTTGTGTTATGATGGCACTCTGTGTTATGTGTTAGCAGTTAATACCCCACAGAAGTGTAATACCCCCTCTTTAAGAGAATACTTGATATTTGCACTGCCGCAGTTTCTCATGTCAACACTTGTGTTGAGGTTCATCATCTCTTTAATGAGATTAGTGTTGGGAATGTGTATGTGAAACAGACTTTGTAAAAGATGTTCGTCTGTTCGGTGGGGCGTGTGTGTGAGATCTTATCTTGGATGTGGTTTCATAAGGAGTGGGCTTTACTTTGAGAGTGCTTAGATGTGGTTGTGCTCATGACACTGTTTTTTTGCAGCGTGTTATGGCATCGTGCAGGTGCCCACTGGGCCATGGTTCTGCAGAAAGTGTGAGTCTCAGGAGAGAGCAGCTCGTGTGGTGAGTTACAGACACCGCACATCACTTATTCCCCCTCTTTAAATTATATTGCATTATATCTTGTATTGCACTGTGGTATATGAAACTAATATGCCTATGGAACAGGCAAAGAGCACAATTTTACATGTGAAATGTGATAAAATGAAAATGTTTATAATAGAGTAAAAAATTATTTAACAGAATCTGTCTCAACGGTCTCAATTACAGCACCACAGTCGAACACATTACTTAAAGCCGCTGTGCTGTACCTGGTTTTTACTGAAGCAGAGCTATTTCAGTTTGCAGTAGTCCAAGTTATACCACACTTTCCTCACGTATCCTAGCATCCTAGTTATTATCTGCAATGAGTTTATAAGTGCTTTTCAGATTTTTTTAAATCCAGCATGCAAACATCATACTTCTTCGTTCTCTGACAATAAAATGATTTATAATTGGTTCCACATAGCACACATAGTGGACTGATTTTGAACTTGAGTGCTTTTGGAATATATCTGAGCTAGGACAAAGCAAATGTAGAACAACTACATGGAGAAAATACAGTACACCCCCTTTAAGCTGTGCCGAGCTCATGTTGATTATCTCATCGCGTCACGTTTCAGTCCAATGCTGGCACAAGCCGCTGTATCAAATGAATTGTGACCAGAGGATTCATGTCAAACACACAGCACTGCCAGTTTTCACAGCCTTTCACAGATTTTCACAACTGCACTACACTCGCAACATTTTCTGTCGCCCGTGCCTCCCCTCGCTCCACCTTCCCCACCTCCTCCTCCCTCACCTCCTCCTGCCTCAGCCAAAACCAGAGGTCCAGTCTGGACACACTTTGTCTGGTTTCCATTGCGTTTCACCAAATGGTTTTTAATCCTGATTGAAGCTCTCTGTAAGATTATCAGTGCTGCATCCTTCTGGACCAGCTGTGTCAGACATGTTTATTTGCAGCGGTCATGTCAGGATAAGATCTAACAGATCTGGGAAGAAAATTATATGCAAAAGGACAATGGAAGAAATTTAAAATACAGTAATATTAAAATTATATGCGTTATAACTGTAGACAATTCACGATACTACTGCAAGAACATTTTTTACAACAATATTTGAGGCAAGGGTGTCTTAATCTACCAAATATTTTATCAGTCAACTTATTATTTTATTTGTATTTTTAGGATTTATATGGATCATAGCACAAAGTTGGGAGTGATCGTTTATTCTATGTTTTCACTTAGGAAGATGCTGTTTGCCCATCCCTCTGTGTGTACAGTAGTAGAGTAGTTTTTGCATGAGACAAGATCCTCATATTCTGGGAGGTTTAGCCACACTATTTTAGTCAATTAATTGATAGACAGGGAATGTCTTCTAATTACCAAATAATTCTTGAACTACAGCTCTATACAAAACAATAAACAAATGTTTTACAGTTAAAATAATGATCAATTTCTGCTCTGTGTTGAATTCATGTCTGCATTTCTTCAATAGCACATTATAATTTATTTTATTAAAGCAGGGGTGTCATAGTTTGTATGGCCCAGGAACCAAATCTGGCCCTCAAACCATTTTTGTTAGGCCTCAGGGATCTTGCTGAATTGGCCTATGTGGTCATAGGCTGTACTTTAATTGTGCAATTCAAGAGTTTTTATCACTGTAACCCATCTGTAACATCTTACTGCATTGTGATACAGAACTAAAATTAGTGTTTCAAGACTTTTTAAAGGTATGGTGGCTCAGTCAAACCTGTGTACAATGCACCTATCAGAAAGACTCACTGTACTGACCATAGGTTTGTAGCCCTCAGTGAAAAATTCTTGGACACTCCCGGCTTAAAGGTTCATTGTAATGATTAATTGTAAGTGTGTTAACTAGGGTGTGGTTCCGTGATTGTTTATTAAAATTAATCTATAGCTAATAGAGTGAAGGACACAAAACCATTTTGACAAGGTTGTGTTTGTGCACAACATTTACCTCACTGACATAACCTCACTGGCAGAGGTGATGAAAGCACATAGAAGAAGAGCAGCGTCATGACTAATGATTCATGTTATTGCACATTAACAATGCAAAGTGTATGTTGTGCAATAGCAGCTGAAGAGCAGTTTAGGGAAGTTCACACCATAAAAAAGTCATCGCCGCAGGACTAACGGCGTCCTCAGTGGCATGTAGCATGTAGCAGAGATGGAGCAGAGCTGCCTGGCTCTGTGCCCAGTAGTGCGTAACCTGCTGCTTCATCCCCTGCTGTGGCATATTTGTCATAGCTTTGCGCTAACTTGTGCTATTCTACCTGCAGAGATGTGAGCTGTGTCCGCACAAGGATGGAGCTCTGAAGAGGACAGACAACGGAGGTATCTCACACTTGCCCATTCACAAACTGTGGCTTGTTTTGTCATTATGGACTTTTAGTGGTGTGAGCTTGCGGGTTAGAGTTATGTCTCCTCTCTTGCTCTGTACGTCCATGTTTTACGAGTGTGTGTGAGTGTATGTTTATGAGGGGGCGGTCCCGGGATGGGTATAGTGCGTGGCCTGTGAGGAGTCGTCTCTAAGGGTTCACCGCGGGGTCAGCTCGGTGGAGACTGTAAATATTCTGTGCGTATGTGTGTGTGGAGGGGAGCACAGCTGTGGGATTGTGTCCAGGCCTGCAGGGAGGCATCAGGACAAGACTAACACACACCGTTTTACTACTTTCTCTTTTATTTTACCCTTGCCATGACCCCGCTCTCCCTCTCTCCTGCCTTTTTAGCTCCCCATCTCTCTATCACCATCTCTCTTTTCTCCCCTGCACCCGGAGTTCACTTGTTGATCTGTGTGGTAGTGTCTGTTATTTCAGGTGGGACAGTAATAAAGTAGATTGATGGGATTAGTTTGAAACGGGCATTTGATCTTGCATTTTTACTTGTGGTGGTAAGATGGATTGACAGTTAGTTGTAACTGATGACACAGCAAACATAGGGCTGGGCGATATGTAAAAAAAAGGGTCTTATTTAAACAAATTAAATATATTAATTTCCAGAACATAAACAATACAGGCTTTTAACCACTGCCTTTTAACACAGTTAAGTGAAATTTCTTCCTCAAAGTCTGAAATCAAATTTGATGAATTGCTTGAATCTACTTAAGATACATTTAGGCCTAGCTTTAATGTAAATTAAACCTATTAACGCAGAGTACAAATACGCTGTGATTATGGTTTGCAGATACAATTGACACTGGTGCAACAAATACTTATCCTCTAAGAATAATGTTCTATGTTAGTTGACGTGCATCACCCTAAATTCTTTTCAAGATGCTGTTAAGAGCCGCAAGCCATTTTCAACAACTTTGTGGTATGTTTCCAGGCCTTTCAAGTTAAATATCACACATACATTTTTGATGGTTAAAGATCAATGATGAAAAACTACATGCATGGACATATCCAACTTTGGGCCTTTGTTGAGTCTGTCTGATAAGAGTGATGTCATTGTACGATGTTAAATGGGGCTGTCTTATTGCATATTTTATGTTATTTGTTCTGCCTGTATTTCTTGTCTTTGCTGTGGTTACAGTTGAGGAAATGAGTTAATGATTTCGACTCATTTAGACCAAGGAAGGTCATCAGAGGCCTAATGCTTGTAGGGTTAAGAGCGTGAATGCTCGATTAGAGTAGGAAGCCTTTGCCTCTTTTATAGTCCTGTTTTATAGGCCTCTTCCAGATTCTTGGAGGGCCTTCAAAACAACAACATGCCCCCATTTCACACTCGCTCCCTCCTCTCCGCTCCGCCCCCTGCCCTCCTCCCACCGTCCCGTTCACCAGGTCAAAGGCAGGCCACGGGTTCAACTGTAAGTTTAAGCCTGTTTTTGTTTCCGCTATGGGGGAAAAAACAGACACCTCAGGCCAGGCTCCCACCTCTCACTGACCTCTGGTTCACCTCAGCGGACTCCTCCTCGGCGCGTCGTCAATTCTCTTGCCACTTTGCCATGCCCTGCTGTCACTCCGCCGCCCCCACTTTGTCTTCCCTGACAGGCAGCTGTGTGTGTGTGTGTTAGGCCTCAATAAACAACTACTTAGGTAGATTAACTACAATTTACAAATTAAAGCGTTTTACGACTCCAGGGTTGAAAAGTTGAACTGGAGATATTTATGTGCACTATGTGGTGGTGTCAAAACCATGACTGGCATGTTAATGCCAGGTCTAGACCCTATTTAATGCTTTTTATGCTGATATTTATTCCCTTTTTTGTCCTAAAAAGCTGATGGTCCCTCTTGTGTTTGCAGGCTGGGCCCACGTGGTGTGCGCTCTCTACATACCTGAGGTGGAGTTTGCAAATGTCTCCACCATGGAGCCCATTGTGCTCCAGTCAGTGCCACATGACCGCTACAATAAGGTAATGACCAACTCACATTATTGGTCCATAAGAGTATAAAAAGGCTTTGGAATGGCCATCATTTTCACAATTTTTTGGTAGGTTTGATTTTTTACTTCTGTATCTGGCTTTTGAGAAGGTTAATTGCCAAAAAAAAAAAAAAAAAAACAATAAATGAAACTATTTTCTGACCTTTTAGTTGGAGTTAGTCTGGTTATATTTCTACATTTAGAGCAGAAGCACAAGGTCATTTGTCTCTTGTGTAACTGTTGTGTAACTTGATGATTCTTTGTACTTGGGCTTGACGATAACGATTTTTGTAAATCTCGATTATTAAAACTGAATTAATCAAATTAATTGGATTAATTTACTCTACCCAACCCTACTTTGTACTCAATATTCTTTTCTGTTCCTAGACTTGTTACATTTGTGAGGACCAGGGCAGAGAGAGCAAAGCCGCTACCGGAGCCTGTATGACCTGCAACAAACATGGCTGCCGGCAGGCCTTCCACGTCACATGGTGAGACCCACTGGCCTCACATTAACTTCATCAGACAAAGACAAGGCCTGTTTGTGAAGTCCCTCGCCCAGAGTCATGACTCCACAATGTTATGGATATTTACAACCTGTAACTGTAGTACTATTTTCTCATGTATATGACTTAAAGTATAAATAAATGTTATACCTGGTTTAGTCCAGGCTACATCTTGAGAAACATTATGCAGTGCACAACCATGGTAAATTGTTAGTTGAAATCTGTCTTGTTTTTTTTTTTTTTGTCTTTTTGCAGTGCCCAGTTTGCAGGCTTATTGTGTGAAGAGCAGGGATCAGATGCAGACAATGTCAAGTATTGTGGATATTGCAAATACCACCACAGCAAATTGGTAAGTGTCAACGGGTTTTGTGAGTTTACTAATTGCATGATTTAAACATAACATAGCTCCTAACCAGGCAAGCATGTTATTATTTTTTATTTGGCCTTATTTCTTCTTTCTGGTAATGCTGAAGAATGGATTGTAAATTGAATCATTCTGACCACTGGCTTTGTTTACTAGATTTGGAAGGGTGACTAATTTTCTATGAGACTCTGCCCAATTTTTAGGTCATTCTTGTATTATTAACACCATGCATTTAGAACAGTGGAGGATTGCTTTTGTTGTAAGGCTAGGCTCAGTTTATACATAATTTCCACTACCTTTGTTCACTCTGGTTCTTCTGCACAACCCTTTTTACACAGGCTTTTCAAACTGGTGCTCTTATTCCACTGTTTGTTTTTCTAAAAATTGGTGTCTTGGATCTATGCTATTGGCCACTGTGGCCTTGCAATCACACTGGCTGGGAGCGCTGTGTAAAAGGGGCCTTTGTTTTGGCACACCATTTTGACACCATTAATTTATTGTTACACACTTTTTTCACATGTATTACACTTCCCCAATTGAATTTCTCCTATTTCACTCATTACTGTCCTTTCTACTCAGATCTTCTGCTGATCTTTTCCTGTGACCACTACATACATATTACTGAGACCAAGCAATATATTGTTTTTAATCATGTTGCGAGGGGGGGTGGGAGTTGGGGAATGTAAAATATCTTAATGTGGCACTTAATAAGTAAAGAGAAATCTGATTAATAAATAGCATAAATATTTGGAAACTTATAGAATTAATGTATTTTGTCTCTAGTTATGGCTCCCTTTTTCCTGATCACTAATTCTCCTGTTATTCCTGAAAATATGATTCAAGTTTTATCAGGGACACTATCAAACACATAAAAAGTGGAATATGCCTGATCTGTTGTGCTACATATGGAGACTCTGGACTTGCTTTATCAGCACACACACTGCACAGAGGGCCAGATGACATTTGGCAATGTTAACAAATGCTGATGGAAGGACTCATGCTGAGATATTGATCCGGGGCGAATGGCTTTGGATGGTGGGGCATAATGTCATTAAGCTGGGATTGTATGGATGACAGCGATGCACGAGAGGGAATCAATGATGAAGAAAGCAATGTTGTTAGCTGAGGGTTTTCATAAATTCAGCCTGATGGATGTTTATGGCGTGTTAGCAACATATGGCGTTTGACCCGAGTTTCTCAAAAGCCATTTTGCAAAAGTTAATCATTTCAGCTTAAATATTTTTGTCTTTGTGCTTGACATCCATTTCTCTGTACGAGTTTAAAAAATCAGAAGTTTTCTGAGCATTTCGACTCAAGGGGGAGTAGCCCATTCGCGGTTTAAGATAACCCTTTACAATTAAAATGTATTTTTACCTAACTGATAATTTTGTACATTTTTTACACAATATATGGTATGATAAACGGTAATTTTCTGTTGGAAAAATGGAGGGGCAGGGTCATCTCTGCCATGTAAATCTAATTATATGTGGTGTAATTATTGAATTTAAAGTGGTATTAGTTTTACTCCTATTATGTTAATCTGAAATACTGACTTCCTAGCCGTTGAAAAAAGTAATTTTGCCCGGAAGTGTGCTTGTGTAAAACCATTACCTGTGTGTAAATAATGTAGCTATAATTTTATTATGCACTTCTTTATCACTATGGCAACGTAGTGTATACAAGATTAAAGCAGCCTTGGCTCAAATTGAAAAGGCAAACCACAAAATGATGCATTCATTTTTAGTAGTGTGATGCCTTTTATTTTGCCCAGTTTCATTTTGTGTAATGCCTAGACTTGATTATAATATGGTATCTTAAATTTGTTTTTCAAATACAGTAATCTGACATGTCAATTGTCTTGAAAATTGCTATTATTTTTTTTAATAATTAAATATTTTTTATTATTACTGTTTTCTTTTTATTTAAGTCTTTTTTAAAATTTTAGTTCAAATTATCCTTAAATGGTTTGGTTTAAGTCTCTTTTGTGTGAACTTCATCCAGTAACGTGGAGTTCCTTTTTACTTTTTAGCGAAGGAGCAGGGGCCGTGGTAGTAGGTCTCAAAGCTTAAGTGACTCTTCCTCTCAGTGTTTGGATAGACCCTCAGACAAGGACAACAAGGTAAGCCCTCAGTCCTGTGTATACCTCCCCTCCATAAATGTGCCTCTGCAAGAAACCATTACATGCCTCACAAAGCGGCAGTAGGCTCCAACATAAGGTACACTCAGATCAGATGATCCATGCCCTCCATTGACCATCCCGATTCACGGACTTACCATTTCTGCCTTTTCCACCTTCTGTAATTTTACTTTATTTTAAAAAATCTTTGAGTGTGTTTAATAATTTTATTGTGTATTTCCTTTTACAAAAAATGCTTTTACAATTAAATTGCTAGAATAATTTAACTTTTAAATTTTTTTAAGCATGTGGACCTTCAAGGATTTATTTTAAAGGAAACAGCCATAATTGTATACAAATGGTTATAATTATTATCATTTTATCTCTTACATTTTTTGGCAGTAATTTAAAGCTCTAGGCTCAAAGATATGCATGTAGCTACTCATTATTTTTATGTTGAATTGCATGTGTGGCTGTAGAATTTGCTCAATACTGCTGCAAAATTCAAAAGGAAAAACCTTGAATTTATTCAATCAGAGTTGAAAGGTGATACCATAGCCTTCTACTGAAAGACCTGGGTCTAGTTTTTCTGTTGTATAATATAATATAGTTGTAGTTGTGTGTGTGTTGGCAATGCATCTTCACCCATCGGTGACTATTGACTCCTCAGACGAGTAGAATATTTGTCTTTGAGTTAACCATTCAGTTGTGTCATGCAATGTGTCACTGAAAAAGTGTAAAAAATTGTTTCTGAGGTCATATTTTTTCCATTTAGTATTCACAGTTCATATGTCATATATGTCTTTGTTCAAATTACAAATCTGAAGACTGACAAGAGCCTTCTACTGGTAAATAAAACAGAAGCAATTTCAAAATTAACCTCAAATTATTTTCATCCAGTGTTTATTTTAGTACAAGCTTGCATTAAAATGGAGTTTCTCTGTTAGCCATTGTCTAGTCTTCAATAGCATCTGTTGACCTATAAAATATATATAGAAAAATTTCACTATTTAAATCTTATTTATTCACATTTTTTTGTTTTATAGGCCTAATAATATAAAAGAAATCAGATTAGTACATTCCAAGATCTGTAAGGTCAAGGAGTATGCAAAATCAGCCATGACATGTAGGAACTGTAATAATAGTAGTTGTTTAATGGGAGAAAACCAAAATATCTTATTCTATTGATTTTAAGTCTCTACCAAACGTCATTTTTGGTTTGATATATCTTTGTCAGAATTCCTTTTTATATATTTGATTTCCATAGACACAATACATTTTCCAGACAAGTCAAGAGTACAACCCCCCCCCCTTTTCTCAATTTTAGTGGCATTTTACCCACTTCAGAGTAAATATTAAAGAGAACAATGGATATTTAACTTGATTCAAACAGTAATTAGCCAGGTCCAAATTATCCTTTCACCTGCTGTATGGCATTTATTGGTTATTGTCTGTCGCAGCTCAGGCTTTTATTAATAGTGGCTGATTTGCATTTATCAGAGCCCACTCCTCTCACTCAATCAGACACACTGCCTCTGTATCCACATTGCGGGTCAGGCATATCTGTGTGTGTGTGAGCTAAATATGAGGCTCAGATGGATCCCCTCCTTGTGGTGGACCCTCAAGTCAAACTGCAGCAGCCCCCCTCCTACTCACACTCACACTCTCACACTCACAATGGATGGTCAGAAAATCGAGCAGGAAACAGCACAGGGGAATTCCTGCCCGGCCAGGGAGGATTATCTTCCCTTTAACTTCCTGTTCCTCTGTTTCCCCAAGTCTTCCTCACCCCTCCTCCCTCTGCACCCTCACCCCGTCCTCTTCCTCACTACCATTGTGTTCAAATGCGCGCTTTTACATTTTTGTAATGATCTTGATCTACAGGGTATTAAGGCAGATTAATGGTTATCTGTGACTGTGGTCTGAGCTGACCACTGCACAGTTTTGTTTATTTAATGACTCAGGGAAAGTGCACAATATACACTATACAATCGTTTTAGCAGCTTTTGTTTTATAGAGGTACCAATTGGACTAATTGTATAATAGCGACTAGGGTTGCAGGACATATTGCTAAAATATAAAGCCATATTGCAATATATAAAAATACCTCAATATGGCTGACACAGTATAATCAATATCACAAAAAATAAATGTAATGCAACAATACAAGGTTCTTCATTTTAAAGGAATGTCTTTTTTTAACAATAAACAATTTAATTCATGATTTTCCTCTCCAAGTCCTAGACTTAGGTTGGTGTTGGATTTTATTTTTATTCTTGTTTTTTTTTTTTTTTGTTTTTTACCTAGTTTTGACTTGTAAATGGAGGTATGTGCATGTTTATTTTAAATTTTACTGAACTTGTTCCAAAAAGTATATTAATATATATCAATAATATCATTATTGCAAATCAAAACACAATTATTGCATATTGCATCTTTTTCTCATATTGTGTCACTAATGGTGACTATTTCTGTGTTTTGTGTCCATATGCCATACATCAACAGAAATACTAAATAAATGCTACAGCTATTTCTTTCAGTCAAAAATTTTTTTGTGTGAAAATATCTTTAAAAAAAAAAGTGAAAAGTCATGAACTTTCACTGGAGGGGAGATGCACTTCATATGTATTTCCACATGTTCTGTATAATTGTTAAAATTAAGTTTCATATTAGTCATTAGCACCACAAAGCCTCTGCTCCTGATAGGCTCCCGAAAGCACAAAGAAAAAGACTGTTACAAATTTCCTGGTGATGATTGACTTCTCCTGTCCAGGGGCCCACCACCAGCCTTAGACATAGACAGAGCGGGCTTCAGACCACTGTTGTATTGCTCATTGTTGGAGGGATTGCTGATAAATTGACGCAACCCTCATCCCCTGTCTCCACTCATATTTAGCTCAGTCTGCCTCAAAGGCCACTTGGACATGTCAAATGATGGGGCTGCTAACGGTCAGCTGCATAGAAAGAGGGCAGAGGACACTTTAAAAGCCTGTGTCCCTGCCTGTATAATCAATTGACCTGATTGATAAGGGTGTGTCAGAGGTACATTGTGTGGCTGTTGTGTTTCCCACGCCCGGTGCTCCTACTCTGGCTCTGTGCGTACGTGTGCGTTACCCGAGCCCCTCTGTGCTGCCTGCGTCCGTCAACACCTTCTCAGGAATGTTAATGAAAAACAACAAGGGAATCCCCAAGAACTGACCCCTCAATCTCTCAACTATCATTGTTTTTGCAACGAATTTAGAGCCTTGAGTGCAATTACAGTTTATATTCACCATTATCATAGAATTAGAATTAGAATTTATACCATACTTTAATGAACTGCTCAAGAAATTTTGGCTGATTTGTTAATCATACCTGTTAAATTAGATGTAACTGTTCTTGCTTTGCTGTTAAAATTGGTGGCAATAATTTGGCTGTCATCTAATTTATTTTGCTTTCAACACATTTTTAAAGAAACTAAACTTGAGTTAATGATTTTACACATTCGGAGAAACATGTTTTCTCCATCTGTTCTTAAAACTGTTATTGCTCACATCAGCGGAAACAGAAAGGGAGTGCATTGCTTTGGAGCTGCCATCTCCTCAATGAGCCGCTGGTGTCTGTTAACTGCAGGAAGTGTGGCTAAACTGTCACCAGTCTCCAAGAGCTCGTCCCACACTGAGACCCTGGGGCAGCACTGGGGAGGGGGGAGCGAAAGAGGGAGGGAGGGAGGGGTGGTTTCATTTCCAGAGCAGCCCCATGCAGACTCTCGCTGCATATTTTCACTGTCTGTGTGCTCGTGCTTGCTCCTTTTCTAGTGCCCACAGTTGCGCTTGTGTGTGAGTTGTATGCACCTGCCTGCCCCGTACACGTGCACTGAGGTGTGATTGTGTGGGACGGGTGCATGAGGTGCAAATGCGCTGGCACCCAGTCGCCACCTTGGGGTGCAGGGAAGGGTGCAGGAGCTTGGTGTGTGCGAGCGAAGGTGTAAATTGAGCTGTGATGGTCCAAGAAAGAAGATATGATTGGATGAATCGATGAGACCTGGTGTGGTTCACGTGAGGCACTTAGAGAGTGGGCTCTGAACTGCAGCGTGCGGCATTCATGTTGCTTCCTGCCCCTTTTTATCTGTCTGTCGTCGCGCTCTTTGTGTTAGTAGATCTTCAAGCTTTCATCTCAGACAGTCCCTTTGAAATTCAATGCTCCGTCTTTCCCTCTCTATTCAAAACACATACTCACACTAGCGCCGTTTTCTGACTATAAGCTAATAACGCATGCCTTAGCTTTTTTAAATACTCAGCTATAGTCATGTGACTGTAAAGTCTCTTAAGATGCCTTTAAGAAGCATGCATTCATCTACAGAATAACAACACATAATCATAGAAAGAACATAGATTGAAGCAGTGTGATTTGTGCAGACATATGCACACATCTATGAATGGGAACAATCAATCAAACTGAAGCTAAAACACACAAAACATATTTTGTCCTTGACCCATTTTTCTTCATGTTCCTCCTAAAATTGACACAATGTCTGTATTTAATTAAACAGTTTTAAATCTTTTACCTGGGGATTGTTTGATGTGTGGTAATGGAGTGAACTCTTAACATTTTTCATGAAATTTCTAATTGTGAGCTTTTCTTCAAACTTCTTTTGACCGCTTCTTACACTAGCAGCATAGGTTTAAAGAGCAGTTCATAGGAGGTCTATCTTTCTGCACTCGTAACTGCACTCATGTCTCAGACAGCTTCACCCATCTGTTTCCTCTTCTGTTTCTCCCCCTGTTCAGAAACACAAGGAACGGGACCGACACAAACCCAAACACAAGAAGAGCTCCATGGACATGTCTCCCTCCCTGGTTCTTCCAAACATCATGGTCCCAGAGAAGGTAAAGATGCACCCTGCCCACTGTGGTCACTTAAACATTGTAGCTAGTGTTTGGAAGACTTTCTTTGCCTTGAAATTTTGACACTTCCTTTTTCAGACACCGTTGTTTAGATACCCTTTGTTCCATTCCTTCCTGCCCTCCCTCTCTTATCAGCACTTTATGTCTATCCTGGTTTTGGTCCCACAGAACTACAACAGCACCAGCGCAGGTGGAGGAGTGCCCTCTCTGCCCACATCCTCTCAGAAGAGATTAGAGGACAGTGCAGGACGCTTCACCAACGCCAACTTTCAGGAAGTCTCTTCTACCTTATCCAGCAGTGGCTCCAAGGACAGTCTGTGCGCAGATGGAGGCAAGGCCGCGGCCGATCAGAAGAACAAGAAAAACAGCAGCAGTACTGGGACTCACGTGGCTGGACAGAGGGGTGGCCGCAAGTCTCTCACCTCCTCAGGGAAACCCCTCCCTTCTGCTGTGGTCACCATGGCAACCTCTTCCACATCTGTGTCGGCCTCCACAGGGCCTTTCCATCAAGGTGAATTAATGACTGTAAATGACCCTCTATGTTAATTTTCCTACCATCGGGATTTAACCTGCTGTTAGCAGAAATGTAAACCTCTGGATAATAGTTGGTGATACCTGTAGTTGCTTGAAAACTTAAAGTACATATATTTAAAAAAAAAAATAGTCTCTTCTGCCAAAATACTGTGGAAATGAAAAAAAAACAAAACAAAAACACAGCTCTAACCGTAAGCTATTGCTTTTATCACAAACCTCCCACAATAATAAATAGAAGCAGCTATAGAATTAAAATATATAAATAACAACTGAATCAGCTGAACATGCTAATTAACGTAAGATAATTTATTTTAAACACATTGTGTAAGTGCATATATTGTGCTGTCATCACAACAGCATTTTGAGCTTAGTCCAAATAGTCTATTTTTGTTTGGTTGTGATAGCTGTATTTGGTGTGGGTGGGCTTCAGGCTGCTCTAATCAGTGGCCGTCTGGCAGTGGACCTGCACAGACAGTGAGAGATAGCCCATGTGGGGAGGTCAGGACCTGAATAGGCCCTGTGCCGCTCTCAGCCCCTGTGTTTTGTACCATCCCCACCTCCAGACCCTGTCAGGTGTGTGAGTGGAAATGGGATCCGAACATTTGTGTCTTCATTGTTACACACAGGGCAGTGGGTAGAGCAATGGATGCATTTTCTGTTAGTTTCTGTTGCCTTTGCCTCATTTTGATCATGCAACTTGATTCAGAAAGCTATAAATGGTGTGTGGAATGTTTTCCTTTATTCAAATGTATATTTCTATTGATGGAAACATTTTTTGTCTATGATCATTCTGATTTCTTTCTGCTTCTCATTATTTTAAGTTATGACTAGTATTTATTTTATTCCGTATTCTTCTTTTAGGCCTCTTGTTGACTAGTGCCAACAAGACTCAATCTGCCTCGTCCGACTTCCTCAGTTTTACAGACTCCTCGTTACGTCCTGGAGCTGGCACTACATTCTCATCCCCTCCATCATTCAGCAGCTGCCTCGTCAAACCCAGTTCAGAGAGCACAGGTTCAGATGGGACAACCACACTGTTTGGTTCTCTAATGTCTGCAACCACCGCCTCTGCAGGTGATGTGATTCAATACCTTAGTATAGATAGTATAGATGATTATAGAGCAAATAATGTAAATTATGCCACACTAAATAATAATAATGATAGTGATACAGTTAAATATAAGTCTGGTCTCTTGATTTATTTAACAGTATTACGTTTTGTTATTGCTCCTGACAACTGCTTTTTGATCATTTTAGTGGGCGGGAAACTGTATGAAAATTCCCACAGTCACTCTGCGAGTGAGACGACAAGCCTCGGTGGGTCCACGGGCTTTAAACGCGCTCAGCCCTCTAACTCTGGCCCCACGGTAGGAGGGGCAGACGACGGAGTGAAGAAGAAAAAGAAAGGAAACTGGAGGAACCGCTTTGGGTCGTGCTTCAGCCCAGATGTGAAGCCCCCAGAAGCAGCTCCCTCCCTGAGCCTGCCCACGTCTGCAGCCAACAGCTCCTCCTCTGTGTCCTCTGTGCTCTCGGGCCGGCCCGGCTTAACGTCCAGCGGAGGATTAGGAGTGGGGGCTGGAGGGGAGAAGGGGCTGGGGGTCATGGGTGTCGCTGGCATTCAGAAGTCTCCGGCACTCCTCAGGAACAGCAGCGGCCCCACAACTGTGCCAGGTAAAGTGTAATACATACCACACTGCTGTGAACTAAGCACAAAGTATATATAATATAGTTAATGTGGTTATATATGTTCATAAACATATGTGTGATCATGGAACATTTGATCAAATACACATTAGCGGCAATGGTGCAAGCCTCTCTTTGTCCAGCCCATTGACTAGTGATGAATGAAACATAAATGGATATAGACTGCTTCTCTGCAGAAAGGTATTACCATTGAGCGTCTCCGTCACAAATGGCAGGATTGGACACACCTTTTCACTGGCTGCTTGTGTGAGCGTAGCTCTGGTATTTGCCGCACACGTGGAAGTGGTCTGTATATCCTCTTTTTTCCTCATGTTCTGTTGCTTGGCAACTGTCTTTATGCTTCGGAGTTCCCTTGGAGCACCCACATCCTACAGCTCTTCTTTCTTCAGAATTACCCTTTTGTTTCCCCTGCCTCGCCTGTGTGCTCTTACCTGCCTTCTGAATCCTAACCTGTTGATGTTTTGGCTGCTCAACACTTTGTATCTCTGGCCCTAATTGCACATGCAGTTAGTTCATCTGTGGAGGACAATGAAAAGGGTCTCTCTCAGCAAAATCTATGAAAGGAAATATGCAAAAGCCTTTATGGCATTTATTCATGACTCTGACAAAATTTCAACAAATTAAAAAATTCAAATAATTAATTCCATTTTACTTAGAACAATTTAATTATCTGTGCCTGTTTAGTGTTTGAGTATATATCTATCTTGAGCTTTTCATGCGATTTTCTGCTTCACTTGTTGTTGTCTGTCGTAGAATTTAGGGCTTAATGTTTCTTCAATGCCATTGTATCTATCTGCCTTAGACTGGGCATCTTGGCCACATCTGGAGCTGCAGCAGTTCTGTGCTGTGGTTGAACCTGGAGTGTGTGAGAATCATGCTTCTTGTTTCTACTGTAAATATTTAGCCCAAGGTTAATGCAGGGCAGTGATGGGGAGGATCTCAGCGTCTCCTTCGCACTCTCATTCACGGAGTCCCCTGTGCTGATGGATAAGCATAGACGGTCAACTTGATAGATATTTGTGTGTGTGTGTGTGAGTGTGTGAGTGTGTGTGAGTGAGTGTGTGGGTGTGGCGGTGGAGGTTATATTTTGGCCAGGTTAATGTTTGACTGGGGGGGTCACTGATGGGTTGCCAGAGTCAGTGGAGTGAACGCTGTGTACAATGTAGCAATAGAATATTTATTTAGTTTTGAATAGAAATTTAAAATCACACAAACCAAATATTTTTATATTTAAAATGATTGTGAAACTGAAGTTATTAAAATATAAATTAAGGCTTCGTGAAGCCTTGGAATTATATATAGATTATAATATTATATGGTAATTTTACCTCTAACCCAATTCCAGACGGCTTATGACAAAGACACTTGAGATGCTGGGAAAACCAGTATTGTATTCATTATAATTTAAATCCCCTCATGTGTATTCATTTCTTTTTTTTTTTTAAATTCTTTTTTTTAAATTGGTTTGCGGTTTTCTTCACACTTGAACATACTTGTGTACATATTTTAATGTGTACATATTTTGAAATGATACAAAATATGTATGTGTGTGTGTGTGTGTGTGTGTGTGTGTGTGTGTGTGTGTGTGTATATATATATATATATATATATATATATATATATAAATATAATGAATTAATCCACTTGATGTAAATTGTTTAAACAGTATACATTTTCAAAATAATATAGCTGCAGCCGTGCTTTCTCTCTCACACACACACACACACACACACACACTCTCAGCCTGCTGTGGGTGATGTGCTGCGGACACACTGCTGTCTTGTTACAGTGGAGTGTGTTTTGTGTCCAGAGCTGCACATTTCTGGGAATACCAAATGTAGCCACATGTCCACAGTGTTTGTCTCCACATTCCCTTTTTAAACAGTGATTAAATGACTGTCTCCACGTTTGGAAAACAAGCGCGGCGGTCCTGCTATTCAACATTGACCTGCTACTCACATGGAAATTTCCCTGTAAAAGTGAATTAAAGCTTTTTGTTAGTTGTTAGCTCAAGTTTTTAAAACACAAGTTCTATTGGCTGTTGAGGTAATGCCAGCTTGAACTAATCACAGTAAATATTCTTGAAACATGCAGAAATGTTCTGAGTGAAAAGAGACCAGACCTTTACTACACTCTGACATCACAGACTATCGCTCACTCCTTGTTGTTGATTTAGATGTTGCATATCTAATATAGATGTGTACAAACTACTATTTAGAATGTAGTTCATTATTCTGATTTGTTATATTTAACAGCCAACATTTTAAATTAAGATTGCATTTATATTCTATTATACAGTGGACATACTTGCAGTATTTGCAAGTATTGTATGAATATTGAAAACAAAATATTAAAAAAATTATTACCTATGCATAAAGTATAGACAAGATAAACTTGAGAGTTTTGTAGTGCATGAGCTGGCTCTGTGCACTGTGTTAAACTGTGCTAACTGTTGGTTCAGCTCTAATCCAGCTGCGGCTGGTATCAGTTTTTCTGGTGCATATTACAAAGCGTTATAAATAGTCTGTCGGCCCATGTAGCATTTGTATCTCTCTCTCTCCTCTCTGTCGCTCGCCCTCTCTCCTCACTCGCCCCTCCCATCCTGGCACAAAGATCTCTTGTTTCCCCAGTGAATGTGTGCTGCCCTGAGCCATTCAGGCTTTTGTGGGACCAAGGGGCCCTGGCTCCCCCTCCTCTGCTGGGGTCAAAGGGGGGCAGGGGGGCTTGTCCCTGGGTAGTGGGCAAGCACTGGGTTGTGCCGAGGAAAGGCAGGAGATAAGCGACCGGAAAATGCCTTAAAAAAAAATCTGCATTAATGTAAATGTTTAATGTTCCATTGGGCCATGGGAGCACAAAGAGACAATGTCAGAGTAGTGCAAAACTGTTTCACCAGTTTACCTTACCTGTGCTTACCTGGGAAAATTTAGACAGGTATTTGTAACAATTCTGCAATCCTTTAATGTTGTGATAGACAAGACGGTGGTCAATATATTTTCTCTCCCCTTTCTATTACGTTGAGCATAGACATAAGTGTTTTATGTATATCTTATCATCTGCTTTCCCCCAGGTAATGTAGCTCTACATTTGCGACATGTTGTTATAAGTTTTCCTGACAATGATATCGTTGGCGTCTTCTCAATTCAAACCAGTTGCTTTGTGATTCCCTTCTCATGTAATGCTCTGACTGTTTCAAGGACACACTTCTGAGAGGATAAAGAATAAAAACCCTGTCTAAAAATATATCTGAAGCGCTGATGTGGGCTGTGCCTCTCCACAGGTGTTTTCTCTGGTGCTGAGGGGTCGTCGTCGGGGGCAGCCGCTGTCGCCGGGGGTGGAGTCGGCTCAGAGTTGTCACAGCAACAACAGCCCACGCCTTCACTAGCCCCTCCCTCTCCATTCAGCGCCACAGCCCCGCTCTGCAGCACGGCACCCACACACGTGAGTCCACAAACATACACTCAGTCTACATGCTACAAAAACCAATCACTGCAAGTAAAAAAAACTCACATGAAGCTGTGAGCGGCATGTCACAGGAACAGTACTAAACAACTGAGAAATTATTATACAGTGTTTAGAGGTGCGCAGAAATGATGGTCCCCACACTGGTGACTTTACATTTTTTTTAATTACATTATTTTTATATTAGAAATTACTTTTTAGAAACCAGGTGAAACGGACAGTTAGTATAATGGGTATGTTCTGAATGTGAATGTGACACACGCAAAACATAAAAGTACAATGTAATATTTAATTAGTGAAGTAGATTTCTGTGTATTTATTAGTATTCTAAATGCTCTGATAATAAGTAATAAATAAATGAACTGATTCCTCCTCTGGAATTCAGCCACACCTCGGCTGCATCTCTGCATTATACAAACGGTGGGAACACAAATAAACTAGAGCCGTCTAATTAGACATCTCCTGCACCAAATCTCTGAATGCTTTTATTAATCCAGAGCATGTTAATTATGTGCGAAACGTGTGAGTCTTGACCTTGTGTGAAGTGTTTTCTTGTGTGTCTGATGCATACACCTGCACAGAGCCGAGCGGCCAATTCAGAGCACCCCACATTTCTCTTCAAGTATTTATTATTCTGCAGCCTAATTTAATAAGCACCTTCAGGCTCGTGCTGTTTCTCCATGATGAGCAGTTTTTCTAAATGGTAATTTATAGGGAGGAATAGCTCACAAGTTGTCCTTTCCACTCATTTCTAACTGGTGTATTTTGCTGTGTGTGTGTGTGTTTGTTTTATAATTGTGACATTATTTACAATAAAAAGCCAGAAATATTAAACTAAAAATCATCATTACAATTAATTAATTTGTAATAAATATATAATGGTTTAGTTTTTCTTAACTACACTTTTCATAATATAGAACATATATTTTTTAAATATATTTTTCTCTTTATTATACAAGACAAAATTATGCCTGAGGTTTTAGTTTCTTATATGAATGATAATGAATTTTGCTTTGAGTACATTTAACAAACTGGGATATTTTTCTTTAGTCATGCAACTCTAAAGCTCTGCATGACCCTCCAACTGCAGCCCATTCACTTCCCTCTCCCTGTTGTCTTGTGATGTAATGACGAGAGACAAGCGCCTCAGTGGGACGGATGGAGCGAAGGGAAGAGGAGAGGAGGGGGAGGGCATGTCACCCCCCCTCACAGTTAGTATACGTCGAACAGGAGAGGCCCAGGGAAGCATAGGATATCATGCCTATTTAGAGCATGTATAGGGCATTTGCATCTGTACTTGATTTACATTGGAGATTTAGAAAAAAATGTTTTGCCTCAAATCTTTCTTGGATTCACAAAATTTTTTGTACTAATTAATGAATGATATTCATATAAAAGTGTAGTGTTTTTTGGCTGGTTTTTCTTGTCTTATTTCCTCTAACTTATGGCAGCTTCCCCCCATTGTTTACTTAACAAGCACCGTTAAGTAAACAATGTACAGTAAAATGGCATGACTAAATCCAAACCATATAACCATATAACTGACAAGCTTTGAACAGTCAGTAGAACTTATGTCAGTGTGTGTGTGTGTGTGTGTGTGTGTGTGTGTGTGTGTGTGTGTGTGTTCGCACATTATTATTAGTAGTGAAAAAAGTCTTAGCTTGCAGGTTTTGGTCATTAAAAACTTCTAAATTAAAGTAAAGTAATTTACTAAACAAATAAAATTTATACATTTCATAAAATTCATATTGATAATATGAGAAGTCCAAGAGTTTGACTGGAACATCTTTATTGGCCAAAGAAAAAAGTATGTTGTTTTCAGTTTGCTCAGCCTCAGTTATGTTATTTTAGGTCTGAAATATTATTATAATTTAAAACCCTCATAATGCTCCATCCTGGTCCTACCCTCACACCTCACACCCCACCCTTCACTTCCTGGTCCTTATTTGGGAAATGCCTTAATTGGATTAAACGCTATGCATCAGAAACACTTTGTCAGCATGTCAACGTGCTGTTGGGGTGCAGAGGTGCTCGCAGCGCCGTGTGATACCAGATAATGAGCGGCTGCTATAATGTACTTTTTATTTTATAACATTGACATTTGTTTAGTATGCTTCACTACTAAAGCCTCATATTTATCAGGCATTTTTTTTACTTTCATCTGGATAATTTATTAAGTAATCACTGTCATATTCAAATGCAACATGCCCTTTTTATTGGACAGTGTTACAGAGTTTGTCCTAATTGTATTTTTCTCATTGGTGTAAAAAATAATCAATATAAATTAGACACCTCCTTCAGTTAATGTAAAATACAAGGATCCAGTTCTACACTGTGTATTTTGTTTATTGTGGAAAACATAATTTGTTCTTATTTCAACTATTATTAATATTCGATGCACAGAGTATATGTTCCACTAAATTAACACATGAATTCAGTATATAAATAAAATTAGAATAATGTAATTTATTAATTAATGAATTCCGTTTAATGTAATTGTGAGAAACTGAAACTCAGCCATTTGTTTCTTTTGATACAAATAGTACAAATGTAGTTTTATTGGTTGGATTACATTTGTTTCATGTATCCACAGGTGAGTGGTCTTCCCGGGTCAGTGTTTAACCTGGCCCCCTCACACATGTTCGGAAACAGACTCAACCCAAATTCAGCCATGGCCGCGCTCATTGCCCAGTCTGAGGCCTCTCCTGCAGGTAAGGAACAAGCCTTGCTATTATTAAAACTGCTCCTCACACTTCTGTTTGTATAAGTTGAATTCAGGTGCTTATATAAAAATACTCAATAAAGATGCAGTTAATTTCAAATTAATGAACACTAAATATTCCAAATGTCTATCACAATTACATGAGCTGATGTTTAAAAAAACAAAACAGTATGCTGATATGTTTATGTATATGATTATATAGTTCTATAGCTTCTTGTCTCAGTGTTGTTATTGGCACAATTGGAGAGAGAGTTTGTGTGTGTCCAGTGCAGGAGGGCTGATGAGGGAGTAGGAGATGGCTTCAATAATGAGTAGCCACTTCCTGATACAAGACATCTGGTGCCGAGCAGGCGAGGAGGAGGTGGAGGAAGAGGTTTGGTAGTTCCTGCCGCTGGTCAGCAGTCACCAGAGCTGCTCTGACCCAGGGGTCAACTCACTAATCAGGCTGAATGACAGCGGGCCACGGCTCCGAGACACACACAGGAGCATCCACATACAATGATGCTTTGTGTAAAACCAGTAATAGGGAACCAGTTACTCTAGCTATGGGGAAGTAAATATTTAAGTTGCACTCTTAAAATGTATATTGTTCTGTGCATACTGGTCTATTTAAAAGGGGAATTGTTCATAGTGATGGTAATTGAAAATGAAGAAGTGATTTAGCACGGTTTGACAGTGTCACATGAATTTCTTGGGAAGCGATCATGTGATGGTCTCAGCATGGACACTCTGAGCTGATGGACCCAGTGACTGGCAGCATGAGTGAGCAGCCACATAAGCTGCCGTTTTGTCCCTGTGTTACCAGGGCATGTGTTGCATGTAAGGTGTGTGTCTATGAATGTGTCCATACATGTGCACTGTTTATTTTGGCACTTTCTCTGTCATTGGAGTATCTGGACAGGGGAAAGAGTTTAAGAGAAAAGGACATTAAAAAGACATGAGCAAGGGCTGGAGTGCTGACCCAGTGGGGCTAAAAGCTGGATTGACTGTCTTAAGTAGAGGGGAGTTTGTGGCAGTGTGTACATGTAAAGTGTGTGTGCTGCGCTGTGTGCATGTGTGATTCATTACTCTAACTGAAGAAAATGAAAAGAAGCGTCTGGCCAAAGGCCCAAGGGGAGGAGGGTGAGTGACTGTCACAGAGAGTGGAGCGAGAGAGGAGCTCAATGAAGCTTGTGTGAATTTAGTTTAGGAAAAGCTGTTTGGACGTTGTGTAGAATTAGTGGTTCACACCAAGCTATTTGTGTGTTTTTGGGGTTTTATGTCAAGTTTATGTCGTTATGCATGGTGCACGTTCGTATTTATATTCTTAATTGATAGCCGCTACGCTTGACAAAGTGAGTACGGTAATACAGAAAAATAAAACTTGTATATTAGTGAAATTTGGAAAAATATTAAAATATTAAAAAATAATATACTAGATACCTTTTTTTTTTTTTTACAACTTTCAAACAATTGTACATTTTAAACTTAAGCATCTCCATAAAAATATTGTTCACTGCAATATTTTTTAACAAAATTAATACATGTAAATTACAAATATCTGAAATTTTTTGTCTATAGACATTTATTACATTATTTGTATTTATTCTCTGTTTCTGATATACTGCCATTGTTTCTTTAAATACACTGCTAATTTTAATTAAGATTATTTATATATTTTGTGCAAAAATGCTTATATTTTGTATATTCTAGAAGATTTTTTTATTGATTTTGTGTGTGTTGTTGCAGATCAAGAGGTGGGAGACAACAGCAGCAGCGTCGGAGCTCAGGGCTTTTCCATAAGAGCTTCTCCAAAGACCACCCCGCGGTGCGTCCATGCGCACGCACACGCACACACACGCGCGTACACACACACACACACACACACACACAGATGCTTCAGTCCCATTTACATTCCTCACAGCTCCCTCCGTCACCCCTCCCCCGCTCTGCTGTTCCCCTCTCTGGCCCCTCGCCTGCTCTCCGCTCGCTCACACACACATGTACACACACCGCTACAGGCAATTCTCGCTCTCTCAGCCAACGATAACTTGTGTTTTTGAAGGTGGTAACTATCCTTCAACTCCAGTTACATTTTTTTGTTCATATTAACCACATGAATGCACACCCTGATGACTTTTTACGTCATGGTTTGTGTGTGTGGGCATGGATTTGTTTGGGATCCGTCACTTAACAAGGTTGGTTAGTTTTTAAAATGACTGTTAATTTGCATCAGTTTGTATTTTTAAATTATACAGTTGGGGAACTATAATATCTAAAGGTAAAACAAAAATGTAATTTGTCCGAAAAAAAATTACAAATAAAAATTAAAAATCTTGAACACACAGACAATAAAATGTGTCTACAAAAATAAAATTACAATTTTATTTTACAAAAATTAATAAAGAATTATAAATTTTTGAAAAGACAACACCTGACTTAAAATTATGTTTTTAGAATGTTTAACCTAGACAGCATTACAGTACATAATTCAAAACGATTAAAATAATTAATACATTGTTTGTACGATTTCTTTTAAGTTGTGGTAGTGGTAGAGTGGTTTACTTGTCTCTTGTGTGCCTGTTGTCCCTTATTCGCAGCAGATTGTCTAAACGTGAGCGCAACAGAATTTATTGTATATTAACAGTCTCTTCATCCTCCTGCCTCACTCACTCCTGAATGTCCCGTTTCTCGATCTTTTTGCTCTCTCTTTCTCTTTCTCACAGACAGAGAGAAAGCCTGGCCCCTTTTCATTAGGGGCCACTGTAACAACAAATTGATGTAGTTTTATAGCCAGCAGTGTCTATGTTTGTCTGACGTTTATGTTTGGTCGTTAATCTCCCCATTGACCTCTCCATCTCTCCCTCACTCTTCCACCATGCAGCTCTCCCATTGGTGGCCTGCAGATCCGCTACGACTCTTCGGGGTCGTTGCCGGGGCCGGGCCTGGGGTTGCTAGGGGCGGGAGGAAGCGAGACGCTGCCCCCGGTGGCAACCAGCATCGAGCAGCTCCTGGAGAGACAGTGGAACGAGGGTCAGAGCTTCCTGCTTCAGCAAGGAGCCCAGGGCGACGGTGAGAACACAAAACTGCTGAAGGGAGCGAGATTGTGTGTTTACCACGCTCTGAACAGAAGCACACTAATGAGCTGGGTTATTTGCATAAATTGTGCAACTTTAGAAGTCCTTTTGTTTTCTTGTCATTGTGTCATTTGTCATACTTCACCTGTGTCTCCTGAACCACGGGAGCTTTTAAGAAAATTTCAGTTAACGTGTTGCTACAAAAAGTGACAACTGCAACACTAAAAAGATGCAGGCAACTGAAATGTTTTAACATGTCAGAATTTCAACTCATACGAATTACTCAAATTTGCAATTTGAATTTTATTTGTGCCATTTAGTAATTGTGTAGATTAATGTATTCTAAAAAAAATAATAACTTTAATTTAATGTGTCACGTGGTCAGTTCTGCTTCTGCTAATGGATTACATCCAACCAGTACAAGCTTAAGGTGTAAACCATGTCCATGTCATTTGACAGCCTAAATGTAGCTTTTACACATGAATCATTTGTGTTTTTTCTGTGTACATGAACTTCTCTTTAAGGACCAATAAAGTGATAATGAAAAAGACCAGTCACCTGATTGTTACAAAGGTAGCTGCTGTTCAGTGGGGCAGGTCCAGTCTATGCTTCCCCTTTGGGCCACTTGTTCGTGAGTATGTGCAGGCTTGGGTTAAGGCCTCTGTAGCTGATCTTGACCTTTGACCTCTCAGTGGAGTTCATCTGTCTAATTAGTCACTGGGTTTGTGAACAGAAACAAGAGCACATTATCATGTTTGACCTCAAGGACGAACTGCTCCATAAGGCCCTTTTTAGCTTCATCCCAAACAAAAAGCATTCTGAGCATTGTATTAATTCAGGCACTGTTGTGTGTGTGTCTGTGTGTGCTCTTAGTGGTGGGCATGTTGAAGTCCCTGCACCAGCTGCAAGAGGAGAACCGCAGACTGGAGGAGCAGATCAAAACTCTGACCATGAAGAAGGAGAGGCTGCAGCTCTTAAGCGCTCAGCTATCAGTGCCTTTCACCCCATCCTCAGCCTCCTCCGGTAAACAACTCCATCAATGTCATGTTGCTATTAAAGCCACATGTTGTTCTGTGTTACAGTGGGAATATGCAGGGTTCTCATTACAACTTTAAAATAGTTGGAATTTGGGGGAAATATAGGGAATATTACAATATTGCTACACACTACCAATCAAATGTTTGAACACACACCCTCTCATTCTTTTTCTTTATGTTTGCTTGCTTTCTACATTTTATGTACATACAAAGGACAAAATGTATTAAGCAAGATGTATGGAATTATGGCATGAAGAAAGAAAAGTTAAATAAATCACCTAAATATTTTTTTTAAATTTATATTTAAATGCTAAAGGCACTTCTTCCTTTGTCGACAGTACTGGAACCTTTTGGTCTTCTCTCATTGGGCTTCTTGATGAAATCTCCTTAAATGGTTTCACTTCACTGGTGTGCCTTGTTGGGGTCAAGAAATGCCAAAAGGGCAAACCAGGGTTGAAAGCAAAGGGTGGCTATTTATTTTGAGTTAATTTTTGTTTGCTGTATTCCATATGCCTTCAGTGAGAATCTACAATGTAAAATAATCATGCAAATAAAGAAGAAAAATAAATGAAAGTGTGTCCAGAGTTTTAACTGGTAGTGTAGGTTTTGGTCTATTGAGTGTTTTAATTTATTTATATAGATTATTTACAGCATGTTAGAATAAACATTTTAAAATCGTTGATGACCCTGAAATGCAAAAATCAACCAATGTGACTTTTGTCTAAGAACAGGGTGTTAATTCTTCTGGTTCCAATTTGTACTTTTGTAAATGCAATATCTTGTGATTATCTGAAGTGGATTTATATGTTTCACAGATGTCAAAGTTGGTGCCGCTGACTCCTCTCTTGCTGCTGCTGCTCAGGTACAGAGCTACTGTATATTGTGTGTATGATTGCTTTCAGTATTTGTCATTAACAGTGGGTTTGGTGTGTATTTGTCTTCCCCTCAGGACAGTGCGTCGTGTGGCGGGCACAGCAGTAGTGGTTCCACCTCCTCCCTGTCCACCCCTCCCTCAGTGTCCCAGAGCCCGCCTCAGCCTCAGATCAATGGGGTGGGGACTTTAGGGGCGGGAGTGTCCGGGCTCATGGGTGCACTGGGGGCAGGGGCCGCTCTGGGCATGGGGGGTATTGTCGGAGCTCTGAATGGAGTCATACAGACTCCAGGTGGTACAGGAACAGCAGCGCTCACGGTCAACAACAGGTATATACTTTACCATGTAATGGAAATCAAACATTTTAGATCTAGCGTGAATACTGCATTAAGTATTAAGTTCAAACTAAAAAGGACAGTCATTGAAATAGAATCCTTGTTTTGTGTTTTCCTTTTTGAAATCATTGTTGTTCTGGTTTTGCCCTTTGCTTACGATATGGATTGTAGCAGCACAACCACTAGTAAGACCAGGTGAGCCATGACTTGTAGTCATTGCCATAGTAGTATGTGTTGATGTCATTTGAGGGTTGTGGACAATGGCAGGTGATGTAGTGACTTGTATTGGGATAGGGAGCAGGCTGTCCTCTGCTGAGGGCTGACGTGTGAGGACAGTTGTGCGTGTGTCTAAAGTTGTGTTTTGTTGGCAGCGCTGCGCGGCTCCTCCTGCAGCAGCATCAACATCAGCTGCAGCAGCTGCTGTCCTCACAGCCTTCAGCGGTACGACACACACACAGGGCGTAGTCAGACTGCACACAGCCATCCGCTCTATCAAAGGCCTCTTTTACTCTTTCATATCTGCATCACTTGTTCTTATGTGTTCTTTGGTTTGAGCATGCCGAGATGCACAAACTACACCAATCAGCCCTCAATCTACAGACGTAAAGGCTGCATACTACTTTCACACACAATATTTTTTCCGTCCAATTTGTTTTGTATTTTAAATGATATTTTCCTTTGTGAATATTGTCCACTGATTTAAATTCCATCATTGGCCATTCTAACAATGTTTTTGTTTTGTTTGTGCATGTCTCAGGAGCAGCAGCAGGTGTTGCTCTACCAACTGATGCAGGCGCAGCAGCAGGAACTCCAGGGGCCCTCCGCTCAGAGCCAGGGCACCATCACAGCCAACCCCTTCCTGGCCCTCCAGCACTCTGATGTCCCAGGACAGAAGCCGCGCCTCACAGAGAAGGCCGTGGGTGTCGCTGGACAGGAGAAGACATGACGCTCAATGTGTCTTTGACTGTCTTTTATAAAATAAATATGCAGAGGTGCTTGGAGGAGCTGCCTGATGCTTAAATCCAAGTCCTAAGTCTGGTCTAAGCTTTCACATCAATATAGTTTATTTCAGTTTAGAAAAAATTTAGAGAAATATATACTATTTATTTTCTTTTAAATTAGTTGTAGTGCTGCTTAAGTTTTGTATTTTGTCATTGTGTTGTTAATATTTGTCCATTTTGTTAAACAGGTAATTTTCCTATGGACACTTTTTCAGTCATAATCTGTCCATTACCTCCCATTTAATGTGTGTCAGTTTTATATTTCTGGTATATTGTTATATTTCTTCATATTTTCTGTTCTCCTAATATGACTTTGTCTGGTTACTCTGCTGCTTCACTTTCTCAGGGGCCTCAGCTAACCAGAGCTGTGCAGTTGGCAGCACACTTGCTAGCACACTAGCTAGCACACACTAGCACTAAAATACTACAAAGGAAACTGTCAAGTATTACATGAATATAAAAATGCAGCTCCTTATGACAGGTCGTACAAGTAGCAGAGTCATGTTTTACATCTGTCTCGGCTGTCCCAAGGGGAACACTGAGGGAGAGGCTTGCAAAGAAAAATCCACACAGCAGCCTTTCCCCTTGTCTCCTCGGCTAAGTATGTATGATGTATGTACTCAAGTGATAAAGCCAAGTCTTGTACCATCACCGAAGACGCCTTTTTCTGCTTTTGGGCAAAGATACTGGGGGCTCACTCAGCACCAGAATAGAAATGTAAAAAACTAAAGAAAAGAAGACTCCTATGAAAAAGTACTGCAGGAATGAAGCTGATGGTTTCATCTTGTTGAAATCGTTACATTTGGTAGAGCTGATTGAGCCCCTTGCTGTACCTACCTCTCCAACAGGACCAGCCTATGAGGACCTTGGGCCAACACCAGCGCCCTGTTTAAATGGACCCACAAGTGTCAGGACTGGCCAGTTAGGGTCCAAACCCAAGTGCCTAAAGGCGGAGGAGAAGTGATCTACCCTGTTTGCCCTTTTCTAAAATCCACTGGTAATTAAGCTACAACACAATTACACAATTTACAAAACAGAGGAATATTCTGCTGCATTTCTCAAAATCCAAGCCAACTTTATATTGCGCTTTTTATTTATTTCAAAGTGTTTGTAAGATGATATATTTTAAAGTCCAACTGGTGTGATTGAAAATTTTCTACTACTGTGTATAGTTTTGTTTTAATTTCTTATACAGTCAGATCTTGCTGTAAAACCCCTTTAATAATCTGTTTTTAAATGTTAGAAGACGCTACTTGATCATTGGCTGAGGGTGGCTGTACATAGCTGTGTGTAGATGGGAGAAATAATGTGTCCAGGGGCAGTGACACAGTTTTTACCTCGTTATTTGTAAATAAATAAGTAAATTTCTCATTGGTGACTGGTGTATATATAAAATGGTTGTGACTGGCCATTTCTGGTTTGAAGGAAAGCCAATGAAGCCTCAGTCTGTGTGTGTGAATCTTAGGACCAGACAAAATGTTTTCACAGTGACTGGATACAAAGTATTAATTTATTTTTATATGTGCAGGGACATTGTGTTTCTTTTTTAAGTTTTGCACCATTTTCTTTGAGTCTTTTTATACTTGTGGGCACCATGCTTTCATCTGTGCACACGTATTGATCAAGTTTTGTACAATAAAAAAAACTAATATTGTATTTGAACACCAAAATAAAGAAACACTCTGGAATTTTAATTTGATTGTGTTCTTTTGGCACTGTGGCAGGACCTCCAGGGGCCCTCCGCTCAGAGCCAGGGCACCATCACAGCCAACCCCTTCCTGGCCCTCCAGCACTCTGATGTCCCAGGACAGGAGACACACCTCACAGAGAAGGCCGTGGGTGTTACAGGACAGGAGAAGACATGATGCTCAGTGTGTCTTTAAATTTGCAGAGGTGCTCGAAGAGCACTCTGGAATCCAACATTTTGAGGACTTTTCCCCAATCAAAAACTCTTATTTTGTTTTAATTTGTTGATCACTATGGCAATGATGCTACATTCTCATCATTCTGAAAGCCATGGATACAAAACAAAAACTGAAATAAAAAAATATAAAATAAAAATATTTTCATATTTCTATAATTACCTAAATTTAAGGTGATGTTAAGAATCCCATACACATTTACACTGAATTTATTAAATTAATTTGAAATAAATACACAATAAGTGCACTGAACAGTAAATATAGTCAACATAATGACACGCCACTGGGTTAAGGAAATACATATTTATGAATGGCTACTTGATGGAAATTGTGTTAAATTAATTAACGGGCTAATTGCGGTTTGCAGCAGTGGAGGTGTGTGGAACAAGTTAGATTTATTCATAAAGACTGGGAGAAATGAATAATCATGGAGCTGAGGGGTGCCAATAGGAGCTTAACATCTTACATTTAAACATTGTGCTCCGAGGCTCCTGTCCGTACAAATATGCGCGCACACCCCGGAGCTGATGACTTCCAGCTGCCAAGAAACGCCAGTGCGCGCTCCGAGGTAGGGGCACCATCCTGCTACATCTGCTTCTGCCCAAGTAATTAAAAGCTCACTTTCCTCCTGCGCCTCTGCACCCCCACATCTCCCCAAAACAGCCCCCAATCGCCCCTTGAGGAGTTCGCAGTGCCCCTTTTCTTGCATTCACAACATCACCCCTCCTCCCCCATCCGCTCACTATCAGAGCTGTCAATCAAAAGCAACTACACCCCTGCCTCTCAGCCTCCACCTTCCCTTTTAAAAGCCCCCCCACACACACACACACACACACGCACACACACACACACAGGGGGCACAGCGGCTGTGTCCATCATCGATCACCCCACCCAAAGCCTGCCTGCTACACGGGCTCCGGGCACGGGGGTGAGAGGGAGGGCGTACAGCTGATGAAGGACCCCTGTGTGCGACCACACCAGGTGCCTGATCAAAAGTCAAGGCGACACTGAGCACGCAGAGCTGGCGCAGGGGTTAAGCCGGGGATGATTGCACAAATGTAGGGCAGATATGCGCTGCTTTAGTTGCGGGATAAGCCGCTGTCACACAGGAATGCCCGGCGCTGCTACCTGCCGCCTCAACTGTTTTTAAGGTGTGGTTTCATTTTAGCACTTGTCAACAAAGGCACAATCACGCTGTTGAGAAACGTCCCAAATAACCTTACAAGCTCTCTCTAAAAAATACATTTAAAATAGGGACAGAATGCAAATACCAGCAATTAAATATTGTGCTGTCACTGATGAGTCTCCCGTAAATGTGATAAATTCGGAATAATCAGTAGCAAATCTTATTTGAATTCATGGGTTTGCTTCCTCAACAAGAAAATACAAGTTATGGATGTCCAATATCGTATGAAAAATACAAACATACAAATAAAACACAGTTTGTATGTAGACTACGTGTTTGTATTTTTCTACTAAAATAAACGATTTAAATGTTTCTGCAACAAAATTTGTAAAAAAAAAAAATAATAATAATAATAATTTAAAAAAATAAAATAATAATACAATTTATTTTTATTTTTTTACAAATAAGATCCTGAATGGTCCTCATAAGGTTGGCAACATTAACCCTGAAATTAAACATTACTATTGTAGCTAAAATAGGGCTATACAAAAAAATATATATTACATTTTTATAATTTAAGGACTGCAGTTCTACGCTTTATGAGGAACAAACTTTTGCAAAACGCATGTAATTGTAGCAAACGGACTTTGTTATTCATTTAAAGATTGTATCTTGATTGCTGAATTTTACCAATTTACTAAGTGGTTTATATGGATGAAACTGATAACAACCAGGCAGGAGAAAAAATAAAACAAAAGTGTATGACAGGTGGCTCGAGATCATTTAAAGCCTGAGTAAACCTGGTTTACCTAGAAGACAATTTACAAATTGAAACATGAACAAACAAATATGTGTATCCGAGCACACAAATATGGTTGTGATGTCACAGGATGGGCTATAGATTTCTGAATCACTCTCAGGTGAGGACGAATAAAATACACATGGAACTGGTGGCATGAGATTAGGAGTGTAGGTTTTAGGATTATGTTAAAAGTAATTGAGGGGAATTCTTTCACGGAAAAAGCTTCAAAGTGACAGAGCAGAGGGCAATAAAGCCGTGGTGTGATAAACCATTGGCAGGAGGCAGCCGCTGTGTACAGTAATGCGGTGTAAATCATCAGAGTGGTGCCATTAGGACGCTTAATCCTGAACAGAAACCTCCCGGCCAGAAGAACCGGATCAGGACTACAGAGGTGTTTAACACCAGGAAGAGGGACAGAGGACAGCTGAGGAAGTTGCCATGGCAGTGTTGTGTGCATTAACATGGCTGTTGGTGGATGTATGTGACTGTCCTTTGCCCCCCACGGCTTACAGGGTGGGATAATGGTGGCGCGCACAAGCAGAAACACAGCCTTGTCTCTCTTCAGTGTAGGACAGGGTATAGAACAAATGTTTAGCTTTGCTTGTCACAGCGACAACATATGGTCTTGTGCCCGTCAGAATCTCTAAATCTAACATTTTAGAAAAAATACATTTTAGGCGTTTTACTTTGGTGGCGTCGAATGGTTGTGGCTTCGGTCCATTAAATAAGAAATTCCATTTATGAGCATGTTTTCTAATGTCATTCAATTGTATTGGCAAAACACAGATTTAAAAAGGCTATGTGTACGAGTATTTTCATGATTATTTGATGCTTAAACAATTTCATAAAATAACATTGTAATCCAGTTTAATTCCTGTTAAAATGCGTCAAATGTATTTTTTGTTTTGTTTTGTTTTAGTCAGTACAGTGAAATTGACAGTAAAGCGGCAGAAGCCGCGCTTTGTTAAATGGCTCGCTTTCACAGCTCCGCAGCCTGCGCTCTGCTCGGGACTCAGCGGCTCCTGCTCTGCTCTAGAGCCGCCTCTAGCGACGCGATCCCCGGACACACAGCCGAGCAGCTGCCGATGCCTTCGAATTCCGCGAGTGACATAGAGAGGGTCAAACGAGGATTTTCAGAGTTTAATCCGGGCTGGTTGGGCACTTTTTGCATGGAAGCGGTTCTTTTCCTCATTCAGCAAAAGCGGGGAGCATTTTAAAGCGCGTGGTTTTCTGTTGTCTGCTTTTCCCCTTTGTCGCTGCGCGGGGAAATGCAGCAGCAGCGAGAGGCGCTCGGCGCTCGGCTCTGACCGGGAGGTGTGTGAACTGTGTGCTGCCACAATGCCAAAGGCATCGTAACACAGGCATTTATACGTGCGACATTTACATTACATTTGATTTAATTATATTATAGATAATGAATTCGTTGACTGGTTTGTATTTCACGTTAATAAACCAAGACATCGATTTTACCGTGCGACTATTGTTTCTGTGTTGCCATAAATTAAACTAATAATAATATTACAACTTTACAAGTTTATTAATTAGGGTCTTATCCTAAAATTTAAATGTAGTATAGGCAACAGTTAACTTTGCTAATAAATACATTTACTATAATCATTGGCTTTTAATAACTGAAATATACTGCATCAGTACATGTTCAAACTCAGAATCTATAGATAAGGGTTGTTGTTTTTAGTTTTAGTTTTAACTGACTAAAGCAGACACAGCATTGAGCCTCATGAGCAAAATGATTTCTCTGCCCTCACCTTAAACTGACAATGCTAGTTGGCTGGGTTGGCTGTATTTGTGCGTATAGTGAGAAAGTGAAACGCAGCGATACAGCTGTTGGCAGAAAAAGAATGTGATCTTGTGCTTCTATAATGAATGTGACAGGATATAGGTCTCAGATGAATCTGGTTTGATCATCAGGTAAAAATAGATCAGTCACTGAGGATCATTACTGATAATTACTCTTACTCCACTCTGTAGTTCCTGCTGTGTTAGGGACCAAATGAGTGGATGGTACGGTCCTGAACACTATATATTTGTCTTGACAAAATCTAACATGCTCTTTACTGAAAGCTTAGCCTTTAGCACACAAAGCCATCTTATGCAAACATTGCCTCTACAAGTTGTTTTGCTTTCTCCCCCCACATTTTTGGGAAATTCTCAATAGAGAATAATTTCTGTGTACCAAGGGGTTGCCCTGAGAAGCTCTGCCTTGTAAATCAAATAATAAGTGCCTTGCTCAAGGACAGTGTAGCCAATACGGAGAGGGCATCCCTGCAGGGACTTGCATCTGATTTCTAATATTCAAATCTAGACATGAACGAACTGCAAGGATAAATGAGCCCACAACAGGCATGTAAAGAGACCTGGGATTTCTCTAACTGCAACAGCTGTTGAATGGTATAGACCGTGCAGCATAATGGTACACTCCACTGTGTGTGTGTATGTGTGTGTGATGAAAAGCCCTCCGCCCCCCCCTCATCTACCTATCAGCAAAACTCATTTATTATGCAGACTGGAGACCCTTGGGCTGGAAGTGAAGGCTGTGTGTTCTTACTTGTGTATTTTGTAAATATGTGGTACAAAAACAGCTGATTTAGTTTTAGTCTACAGTGTGAGAGGAAGAGAGCAGAGAGGCTCGGCTTATTGTGTAGACCTACAGTCAGGACGTACGTGTGTGTGATTACACTGCTATTGGTGAAGGACTTGTTGCTTCGCCTCCAGGTTGAAATTCAGTATTAGCTCAATAAAGAGCCAAGTGAATTGTTTTTTGGTTTGACTAAATGAGCTTGTGTGTGTCACACAGACCTTGACGCAGATACAAAGGAGGCTCCG